CCCACATCAGGCGAGGATCAATATTTGTTTTGCATCGGAGAAAAGCCCATTTTTCCGAGAAGCTTCAGTGAAAAGGTTGTGAAGCCTTGGCATGTAAGAGCACGTAGGCGGCAAGCAGATTCTTGTTCTTAGCCGAAGCCGACAAAGTCGACGCGTTGTTCGCGCACAAGACACATGTGGCAGGTCTTGAATGCAACAAAATCACAAGCTTTTTGGGCAACGTAAACATTTTCCCTGCTACTGAAGTAGACTCCAAGCTATTCAAGGTGGGCGTTGACAAAGTCTGTAGCTGTTGCTGATCTGCATGTTGTTCGCTCGCGTCCCTGCAATGAGAAGAAGTCGTCACAGGAACACCTTGGATCACCTTGCGTGAATACGACTCCGCGCCTTCGCTCCGTGGGCCCTTCATATTTGGGCCTTGAATCTTCACGCGTGCGTCACGGCGAACTGGCATGCCCTTTTCTCTCAATGGGCGGCCCTAAAACTTTGTGTCAGCCTGCACCCGCCAATTAGTGCAGTCAGTAGAGTGTGGTCGAAAGTGGCAAGGATCGTTTGCAGCTGGAATTCCATCCCACCATCCCTCATACGCCAGTTACTGGGCATTCCTCCGTGCGCCGCGCACGTAATCAGCTTTTCTTTCACTGAGCGCCCCAGAAATTCCTGTGTCAGCCTAGCCCCCCACCCGCCAATAGTTTGGTGAGCAAACTTTCGTCGAATGGATTGTTTGCACCTGGGATGCCAGCCCATGACGCTCGCTCAAAGCATTAGAACGTGACGCCAGCTATTGAATGTCCCCCCGCTGGGCCATAATATGGTTCTTGTGACGACGAATGGCAAGCTCCGTCAACATTTGGCGAAGGCGATGAAGGCAGCCTGAGCGTCCTGCGGCTGCTGTTAACTCTGCCGAGAAACATTCGCGAAAGAACGGAAGCCCAAGACCCATGTTAGCTTCTGAGTCTTCTCCGGTAACTTACCGCTGACTTCGATCAATACATCCGGAGACATCTATTAGAAAACTTGTCAGAATGTATTTTCAGGCTCTTTGCTTCGCGGCTTCGTCGTACCTTGTTTCCCACCCCGCGACGGCACGCGACGCGCGCGCAAGCAAGGAATGGCGTCCCTGATTGTTGATCAACGTTACATGTCAGCCTCTACCTGCCAACTATTATAGTGATCATCGTACCATTGGAAAGTGGCAATGACCATCTGCATCTCGCATGGCATCGTGGCAATCTCGAATGAATAGCATTTCTGACGCCATCAATTGGGTATCCCTGCGCTCGGCCCTCCTTGGGCGCTACTTCTTTAACTTCTCAGTGGCTGCGGAGATGACGTAGAGGGTCTTTTAAAAGCTTCCCACTCCTCAAAGCTTAAGCCTGTCCTCGTACAATATATGTGGTCCGCGTTTCTGTTGCGGCGCTGCAGAGGATCGGCGACCTCGCGTACGTACAGCCTCGGGCTTCGCGGCCGAACGGCCATTCCCTTGTCTTTCTGTTGACCGTCTCATATCTCGTCACGCGCGGCACAACCCCTAGCGGCCCCTTTATTCAAGAATCAGATGGCTAACATTCCGTGCAAGCTAGAGTTGGCAAAGTTGTCAGAGAGCAACTGTTTGCGTCATGAGCCGAAGCCGCGGCCAGGAAAGAGCCGAGGTCAGAGAGACTTTGAAGGGTTGCTTGAATGATTCTACTGTTCCATACACTGCGCGTCAAAATCTTTTCAGCAAGCTACGTCTAGGTTGCGCTGGCCCAACTGCTCCTTAGCGACGTGATGACTCTGGCGCAACAAAATTACTATACGGCCATATATGTAGTACGGCACGCATTAGATTTTGGGTTGATATCGATGACGCTTCCAGCCCAGTCCTGAGATATTTCTCTCAATATCAGTGGCACCAGGGATGAGACTCAGGAAGTCTGTAAGACATGGACAGTCATATAATGACAAAGCATTTTACAGAAACAAGATCCTTTCTGCCATTGTTTCCGATGGTTCCGATCAGGCATCAAATCCTGTTTGAGCAAAGGTTGAGGATGGCTAGACGTTTTCCAGATGCTGTCGAAAGTGTTCAGATCAACGCAATTTCTTGGCAAGTTGTCCAAGAAGGGTCTGAGTCACTTGTGAATCCCTCTGATATCTTGGTTTATTCTATTTCCGTTTCACCGTTCAGTCACAAACTTCAAGTTCACACCGAAACCAAACAAATGTTCCTCTCCGACGTCAGTCAACGAGGTTGAATATTTGTCCATCGTGACACCGTTTCCGCGAGGCGGCAGTGCACCTGCTTCCGAGCGCCTTTCAGCACCTCCTCAGGCGCACTCTTCTAGCGCGCGCACAGGGCGCCGTGGTTTTCGGAGCCGAAGCGGAACGGAACATAATCGCCTGCGGATCAAGCGTGGCCGACTATTTCGAGCTCCAATCGATTTAATAACACACAGGTCCACGAGAAACGGTGCTTCCGTTCGGTCCCGTTCGGCTCGGTCACGAAGTCGAAGATTCCGTTGAGACCGACGCCTTTTCAGCTACTTTTGACGCTTCTTCTTGCGCTTCCATCTACTGCAGAACCGGCTCTCTTTGCCTGACGCTTTGATCTGTGCCACCCCCTCGCTTACGGACGGTTTTATGGCTCTGATGTTCGTTCATAAGCATGCGGCAAGCGACATGTCACTGAGCTTCCTCGTCCCTCTGATGCGGAACCTCCAGATCAATTTTCTGAAAGAACGGGTTAGGCAAGGACGACTTTTCTCTGGACTGTAAGTTCATTCTTGTACCCTTTGCTGGACCAATCGGGATGCCTTTATAAATTTTCCGTCTGTCTAGTCCACTTGATGCGGTGTCGAAGTGGCGCAATACGTATGCTTCGGCCCGCACGGAGCAGGCAAAACCCTAGAAACGTAACCTGTGTATCTTTTCCATTCAGTTGCCGTGAACGGCCAGGATACGTACATCCACATCGGCTGTCAGCTGCGGTCTAGCGCCGCAAGGTCTGACTGTTTGAAAGCGGTTATGACGCCAGTACAGCAAGCTATTGATGGAAATGCGTCTAGAAAATTTGACGGTCAATATCAGGGACTCAGTACGTCCCTGTGCTGTCCTCCTTTGCCTCCCGCTCGATTCGGCAGTCTGGTGGGCTGTTGACATTATTGGTGCTGCTTAAAACAAGCGCTTGACGCAGAAAGCTTCACGATTCGTTTCTCGAAAAGCACTTTCTGCAAGCAGGTCGACAAAAATGTCTGCACGTTTTTGCCAAAGCGCCCATGTCTCGCTAGGGCGAGGATAGTTTCTCCGTTCACGTAGAGTTTTGGCCGTGATTGAATGCGCATGTAGTTAGTGACGCTGGGAACGACAAAGCCGACGTCTGAAAGCCAAAGAATTACATTTCCAATGAAACCCTCGCTTAGGCCCTTTGGGGTAAAGCTCGTTCAGCTACCGAATGAGCAATTTCGACGCACTTCGTCGTGCCGGCGCTCCAGTCCCGAATCCAACGCGCTGTGCGGTCTTAGCTTCCCGTATGCCTCAGAGGCTTTCTGTCCGTCGCACAAGCGCTCTGGTTCTGTGTTCGACGGAGCTTATGTGCCGCTTGGTGTATCCACGGGGGATGGCTAAGTTTCAGTGCTTAGCAATTTCATGTTCTTTCTTTGTGCAGGAACTTGAGAGGAGACCAGAGAAGGAATCAAAGGGCAGGGGACGTGACGGGGGGGCAAACAATATGCGGAATGGCGGAGCAGCGGAACAGCGGAACGGCGGAACGGCGGAAGTGACATAACTCGATAAATCCTGTGTTGACACCCCTTCGGGCCCATGGCGCACGCTACGGTCCTTATATTAGAAGTACGAGTGAATGAATGAGTTACAACTGCAATTGTAGTATCAAAAGAGCCAAATTGTAAATATTGAGGCTTTGCTGGATGGTACAAATTTTTCGAAGCCCTTGATCCTGCTTACTAGTTGGTGGGCGAGTATGCGCATTGGGTAATCACAAAATTCATAAGATAGATAAGACCATAACAATCTGCAGTTGACGTTGTGCTTTTCGCTTGAGTAAGACTTACTATTTCGCGAGGGTCGGCCATTTTGACTACATAGGAAGTTAGAAGCGCGTAGTCATGATTAAACGGCCCTCATGTACGTCGAACCGCAGAACAAGAAAGGCGAAAGAATTAATTTGCAGAATCTGGAATGGGCATCACTACCTTTTGTCGGGCGACTATTTGTTTCCCTACTCTAATCTGAAGCATGTTTCCGTCCCTCGACACATATCTTTGAGGCGTGCGTTATTCGCGGCAGTGCTTGTTATCAGCACGCTAAGACATACGTACAGTAACGTCATCGAATCCAGCATGCATCACCTAGTAACGAAGAAAAGCGGCCCTGGCGTTTTGGATCTCATGATAGCGTGCGGTAATTTGACTTTTAATTTTGAGGGTTGGCTCAATGCATGATAAAGGCAAAAACTCGTAAGCGGGATTATTGTATTAAATACAGATTCCGGCACTCCGACTACTATGCGCTTGTCCCTCCTCAGAAACGAACCAATCTTACACCGAAGCATGCATCTTTCCGAAAAGGTCCATGGAATTCATAAGAGCCCAATCAAATGATGAACTGCGTTCATGGCCACAGGTGTTCAAAAAACGCCACTCTGTATTTACATGGCATCTACGCGTACAAGAAGTCAAATTCTCTGTCAAGGGGTACTACCGTTTTCAGCCTAACGTGTACTTTGCTTTTCGTATGTACATCATTGTTTTACAAGGCCCAGATTTTGAATACTCGAGCGTCTAAAGGGCCTCCGCATGATCGTACCCCTCTATCTTCATCGCTTTTACACACCCCATATACATGCGTGTAGCCTGTACCAATCCCGTGGCCTCTTGCTATCTTTCTTGCGCAATCCACTTTCGGAAGGCGTTCTTTTGAGAAGCTAATCTCGGACAATCTGACTTCATCCCTTACTCCCAATGAATCCCGTTGCACGTCCTCACTTCTAGCCCCGCTTATCAAACCTCCTGAGATTCCTCACTCTCAGCCCCTCCCGAGTAAACCTCCTCTAGGATCTCGATGACTGCCCCCTTCACCCTCCCCAGTCCATCGACAATCTCTTCAATCACGATCTCCACTTCCCCTAACTCCTCTCCGTCACTTTTCTCCCTCTGGGCGATGCACTCTTCCGGCTGATTCTCCAGCCATTGCTTGATCTTGGTCTTATCCAAATCGGTCGCGGCGGCGAGAATCGTGTTCGGGACCGACTTGTAGACGGACTTCTTCCCCGCCAGGAAGACGGTCTTCATCCTGGAGCAGGCGGTCGTGGTGAAACCGATCCACTCCAGGTTGTGGTCGCCCACGCTCTGCACACGTGGCAAGATGACGTCAGAAACAAGCTAGAAACATCGGCTGACGTCAGGAAACAAAGAAGCAAGTGACGGTTGCGATCCTCAATCAGGCGGCCGCAGGTAGCGAAGCCAATTATCCACTCCAGGTTGTGGTCGCACGCGCTCTGCGCAAGTGGCAAGATGACGTCAGAACTTGAGCTGAAACTGTACGTGACGTCAGCAGGATACGTGGTTCCGTTGGACAATGGTTTTCATCCTGGAGCAGGCGGTCGTGGTGAAGCCAATCTACTCCAGATTGTGGTCTCCCACGCTCTTCACACGTGGCAGAGTGACGTCAGAAGGAGCTTTCATGTCGAAAAGCTAACGTAAGCAGATTAGAAAAACTGTCTTCATCCTCGAGTAGGCGGTCGTTCTGAAGAAGAACCACGCCAGGTTGTGGTCGCCTACACTCTGCACACGCGGCAAGGTGACGTCAGAGCCGGCCTGTGCTGTATAAATAAGATGACGTGAGCAGAATAGGTGGTGCCCAGTTTGTGGGAAGAAGGATCTCATACTCGAGAAAGCTGGGGTTCGATGTGAAGCGAATCAACTACGCCCACGTGCACGCTCTGCAAACCTGGCGACATCGACGGAGTTTTCCGCTATCCTGGCTGACTTTTAGCAGAAGATATTTCGGAGCTTTCTTCACGCAGGCAAATGCGTCGAAGGCTCACAACGTCACCAAAATGTTCAACTGATTTGAAGTTCTCACGCCAGAAACTCCGCTCCTAAATCAGCCAGCGCATTTGGAGTGCCCGCGTCAAGTGACCATCAAACGAGTCGCCCAGGTGTCAATTGCAGCATCTGCGATGAGGTCAGCAGATACACCGCAATTTGCGCAAGGTTCTGAGAGGCACGAGTCGACCGAGATTTCGCAGTGAGCTCCTTAAGACGACACGTGGAAGTCAAAGGCAGTGGGCGACCAAATGAACAGATTCTGCGACTCAAAACTCATACCACAGCAAGGCCACCAGAAGACACTGAATCGAAATAGATTTCTCTATGAAAAGTGTTACTAGCAAAAGATGGTTTGCCGTCAAGATACAAAAGGGGCTCACCTTCTGCACGAGCGGGAAGAAGCGCGGCACCACGAAGACCTCTCCCGGGCCCAGCTCCTCGTCAGTTCCGGTCGAGCCGTCCGGCTGGGCCACCTGCAGAAAAAGACCGGGAAAGCCGCGTCAGTGCGTGACGTCAACCGTGGACGAGCTGTGCCGTTCACACCATCCGCAGAAGACTGTATGTTCGGTCAATCATGCTAACACACTGAGGACGGGATGTTTAACGAAACCAGCTTTACTGCAGGAGAACACGTTAGAAGAAATTGGAGGGCCAATGAAGAAAAATCGGAGCCCAAATCTGGCGGACGAAAGTTTTCAATTCCAAAGCATGATAGCCACACGCAATATTGAACCAGTCAAGAGATCACCGTCGTTAGATGGCAGCCGCCGTTTGCTGATCTGACATGTCAAGTGAGAGATTTGATTATCTCCTCATGAGCCCGCCATGTAACTGGTTGGGCCCTATCTAAATCACAGACGGATCAAAAACAATCTCCAAAAGCCAAAGAAAATCATATATTCTATGGAGCCAGCAAGTTGGGACAGCCGTTTCCTGTTGTCAGATCCACGTTCATGTCAAGCCCACTTGTGTTTCTATTCATCTTTAGGTTCGAGCTCGAAGAAGGCTAGCGAAACGTAGAATGTCGCTTATACGGTGCAGCCGTGTGATTAAGCACCCACCTGGATCCTGGCACGTCCGGCGGTGATGAAGCCAAGGAGTGACGATGTGGGGTCGTAATGTGGCAGCACCATGGCGCCCTGGACAAATAAGAATATCTGACTCTCAATTCATGAACGTGCTGTTGCAAGAACAGGCGGAGATCACTTGAAGTCCGATCTCAGGAGTCAGAGAGCAGCTAGGATCGGTGCTCTAGTTCCGTATGAAGAAACTCTGAATCTCACGGAAACGGATAAAAGCTACAAAAACATCCTCAAACGCGTCTGCAAGCATGATAGAAGCGCTGAAGCAGGAAATGACAGGATCTTACCGGCTTGAGGCTAGTCTTGACGGCCCCTAGGGTCAGGTTCTTGAGGATCGGGAAGTCTTTGCTATCGAGAAGCGTCACCTGCACAGAGGAGCCAAATCGCGACTTCAACCAGGAGATTCGAGGCCATAGCCTGGTACACTCTAGGTCGAAAGCCCGAGATGTGACTTCATTTTATCACGCTTCGCGATCAAATTTGCTTCTGCAAAATCGGCATCAATAGCTTGCACAATAAAGTCGGCTGGGAGCGAGTGGGATGTGACGAAGCTCCCTTGCTTGTCGTAAGCATAATTACCAGGCTGTATTAAACAGTCCACTCGTCGCTTTCCCCTTCCTCGACGCCCATCATCCTGCCCCCTTGGCTTTCCTGCCACCGACAACTCAAACGGACTGCAACTAGTGTGATGCAGAATCACCGGATCGCACCTGGCCGCCTTCGGCTTCGTAGTCGGGATCCGCTTTGTCGATGTTGTAGATGTAGCCGTCGTCCTTGTGCGGGCTCTGCTGCTCGCGCAGGCTCAGCTCGTGCTCCATCGCCAGCAGCTCCGCCGCGCCCAGCTTGATAGTCCGCTGCGGAACGGAACAGGAAGGAAATGAGACTGGACTTCGTTTATAGGAGTGTCTGGTTGCTTGCGTATGCTCAGCTCGTGCTCCTTTGCTAGCATCTCCGCCGTGCCCAGCTCTATCAATACGCTGCAGGAGAACGTAGAATCGGAAATCTAATGAGAGCGGGAGTTATCACGGGTCAGACGATGGTCTTACTGCTCGCGCAGGCTTGACCATTTCCCAGCAGCTCGCCGCGCTCAGCTTATCCAGTCTTAGTACCGGATCGGAAGCGGAAGCGGAAACGGAAACGGAACTCGAGAGGGATTGGGATCGAAGCGGACAGAGGTTAAATGCACGTACAAACCAACTGCTTGCTTGCGCTAGTTTACTGAAGGGTTCGCCATCAGATTCGCTGCGCCCATCCTTTCGGATCCCGTTCCAGATCCTCACCGGACACCGCGTTGAAAGTTTGCGCACGTCCTCAATCTTTATTAATCGCTCGCAGCTCGCGCACGTGATCAACTCCAAGCATCTCAACTTTGAAATGGCTGGCTAGGGACCAATTGAATGACCAAGTGATCTTAGATTGTTCTAGCTCCGGCTGGCTCACGTTTCCGGCGCCTTGGAGCGGACGTCTTCCACGAGGCCCTCGTCCACGTTGAACGCCTCCGCCAGAACGTCCTTGGTGAAGCCGTGCAGGATGCTCTTCTTTCCGCTCACCTCACCGGCCACCAGCGGAAAAGCCTGCAAAAGGATGTTTCAATTTTGGTTCTTCGAATTCTAGGGTTTTAATAAGTGGGCTGCTTATAAAAATGCGTGCCCTCAGAGGTCGAGTGAATGGGCTCATCAGGATATTCGCTAGGCACCGTGTGTCACGGACTTCGATGTCAGCTGGTTGTCGACAACGAGACTGCAACAGGTGAAGCGAAGTTCAGGTTTGTCCGGGCCACCTCGCGAATTTTCATTACATTTTCGCCATTGGATGGCTCCAGTAGGAGAGAAGATCCGAGGACGCTGTTCGAGATATCTTGGGCAGTATCTGCTCCACGATTCGCCAGAACAATATTTCCAGGGAAATGTGTGATTCCCGAAGCTGATGCGGAGACCTTTGGAAGAAAGGTGCGCACATTATCGGAGCAGCAATCTGGCGAATCCCTAACAAAGAAAACCAGGAACTGATGCGTTTTTAATACTGACTCAGATCACCGACCCAATCTCAACAACTCCTGCGGAGTTGTAAACAGGCAAACGTTGATGAAACAAAAAGCAAAGTCCTACCCACGTGGCCTGGTCGCAGGACACAAGCACCAAGCGTTCGAAAAGCCCAAGATTTAAGCTTTCGCAGTGACCCTCCTCCCACTTGGACGGCTCGCAGATCCCAACCGAATCACCGGGCAACTTAAAACAGGATAACCAAGTATTTTTAGTGACCCACCTCCCACTTGGACGGCTCCCGGGGGACTGTCACCGGGCGCACTCCCCCAAGCATGGAGAACTTCTGCTGCGTGTCGTTGTTGAGGATCCACACGGCGTGCCCAGCTGGCAGCGCGATGACGTCACCGCGACGGAAGCTGCGGACGCCCGTCTCCTCGCCCTTGTCGTTGAGGATGCCCGCGCGCGCGGTGCCTGAGGGTTAGTCAAAGAGGTTAAAGTGTTTTAAAGAAAGAATGAATTGGACTGAGATGCTTGAAGAACGAAGCAGACGAGAAGCAAACAGGGCATGATAAACGGCGAGATGCGCTGCTGGAAAGGGGTATCGAATCGGTTTCCTCGCTCTGATCGTTGATGAAAGCCACCGTGGTCGGTGCCTGCGTAAGGGTGACGTAATCTGTTAGCAATGACGAGAGGGGATGTAAAGCGAATGGAATGCAGGGCGGGAGATCCCAGATTTTCTGATGGCCCCAATTGTCAACGTTATCTCCTTCAAGAGACTTCTGGTGACGAAAACTGCAGACCTTAGAAAGGAAAATATTTGGGAAGTGGGGCAGACGTGTAAACCACTACAACAAGAAACAGCAAAAGTCTAAAGGCAGGCCGAAATCAGAACGTAGAATGGGCACCTTGCAGCACGGCCATGAGCATGTGCGCGTCGACGAAGTGCGGCGGGCGCAGCGTGGACGGCTCCATGACCAGGATCCACGTGCCGAAGTCCTCGTCGATGAGCGGCTTGGTGTCCGTGTCCGAGCCCCAGTTGGACTCGAAGCCGCCGTCCGACTTCATATATTCGGACGGCTGGCCTGCAGAAGTAGGTGTTTGCTGTCACTTCGACAAAGTTTCTGAAGGTTTCTTTTTCATAGGTTAAGATTAAACTTTGCTAAAGGCTTTTTCATGTTGCTTGCAGGATCAAGGGCTCAGATGATAGGGACAGATTGGCACAAACACATATCCTGAGTCATCAAGGAAAGGGCAGAGGTTCCGGACCTGCTCGAAGCTTTGTTTGAAAATCATCAGCCTCACTTCTGAGAGCTTCGAAAGAAAGGAATCAAGCAATTAGATCTCTTTGGCATGCTTATGAATCGCATGCCTTATCAGATACAAATAAAAAGCTACACTTCTGGTTTCAGATCACGCAAAAATGCTGCTAGCTTTTCGAAATATGCCTTTCAGTTTCTCAACTTTGTCTGACTTGCTTCAAGATCTCCATGCAAAACTGCGTAAGCGCCTGAGGAAAGAAGCCCAGCAACCAAACCCGTTTCGAACATGCCAAACCTTACCTGGAACGAAGTCCCCGGATGTGTACCCATGATACGCCACCACGGACACCAAGCAAACCAGAAGAGAGCACGCCAACAGCACATGCTCGAAGGTCAACCTTGTGGACGCCATCTTTACTTTTCAGCGGGTCTCTATTCACTTGCTTTTTACTTGGGCGCTCGACTTAGGTCTGTAAAGCTCTAAAAGAGGATGCTGAGCCAAATTATTGTGTCGAAGCCCCCTTGAAACGGAAGAGGAAAGCCCGCAGAAAACTACTATCAAAGGATTGCTTGCACAGCAATCTTAAAAGTGCACCGCGCCCAGCTCTGACAAGAGAGGCCCCTGAGAAGTAGCCTGAGTTCCAAGGTTTTTCGGCAGCGAGCTTGCTTTCAATTGTGGGCAAACTTGAGCGGCGGCGGGGCAGAGCGTCTCTCTGCGATATCCTCTGGGCGGTGTCTTTTCGAGAACAGTTCGTTGAAGAAAGAGGCACTGTCTGAAGGAAAGAACGGTTAACTTCCATTGATCTTAAATTATCTTTGGCTCAGCATTCGAATGCTTTGGCTCAGCATTCGGATGCGAAGAAAACATTTTGATCGCTAGAGGGGCTTACATGCGTCATGCAGCGGCCGATAGAAAGTGAATATCTCTTCAGTACATATACGTGTACGATGCATGCGAGTACGTGGCACGCAAAATATCTGACGCGCACGCGCGGCCGCCCTTCTGCCCAGCGCATGGCAGCGCAAGAATACACTGCACAAGCTGCTGTAGGCACTTTGACATTCGCTCGAGGCCGGTCGGTCGGCTCGAAACATAAACTGAACCAGTGCAGGCGCAAGGCTATCAGATTGCGTCTTCTCCAAATGGAAGAGACGAAGAGAAGCTTGAATATCTTGATTGAACACCTGCATTCATACGAGAGCTCTTGCTTTCAGAACACAAGCGCCAGGCGCGGTTCCAGAATCTGAAGTCCGCCAGAGAATTGAAGCTTTCTGTTTGTTGTACAAGCCTAGCAGGCGCTTTTCGGATTGGTCCTGGAGCGAACAGTCTACAAACCAAAACGAAGAGGATTGCGTAAAGCAGCTCAAGCTTGACACGGGTCAGTGTTTGGAAAGTAAACAAAGCTCAACCGTGTGCTGTCAAACGACCTCTGCAAGAAGGAAAGCTTAGAAACTAGGGATGGCGAGGAAACGGGGCTTCGCGCATGTCCTCTTGGCGTGCTATCTTCTAGCAAGCTTGATTGCAGCGGGCGCGTATGACTACACGTCTGGAGATTTCATTCCAGGTGACTCTAATCTGCTCGGTTCTCAGCTATAATACTTTGTTGGACAAAACCCTTTCTGAATCATGCTCAAGCTCACAGCATCAGGACCTTCTACAAGATATTAACTTCGACCAAATCAGAGCCTCATTGTCCCTATGCAAGTTAAATCAACCCGAGCTTTTGTTGAGAGTACCCATCAGCAAAGTCAAAACTTATTCTCAAACAGCGGTGCATGACCGGGCAGTTGCTTGTGTTCAATTCAAAATTGTGCTACAAATTGTATAGCGGGACAAAGATTAAACTAATCAAGCCAGATCAAACAAGAATGTGAAGTAGACGGATTGCGTTGCTTAGAATCACCTGCAAAGACCAGAGATCAAGGCCTTGCGGCTCTAACGACCAACACTTATTCCTGAAGGATATGAAGACGGAGAATCTGTGCGGCTGCAGCTCTTTCTGTCGCTTTTTTATTGGCAGCTTCTCCAAGTGACACGATTTGGGCGGGGCGCGCGATAGTTTCTAAATTCCTGTTGAAATTCTCGATCAAACTTCGTTCCATGTGGCCACGTACCTGACGTCGATCAAGTTACCTTCCGACATATTCGGACGAGCATCGGTAAATCTTCTAGGCCAGCACGTTAAAAAATGAGCACTTTCTTGAACACAAATGAGCGTTATGTTCCAAAATGCATTTAATTGCACATCCATGCAATCAGGATTTAAACGGAGAATCTAAACGTTTTCAGCATCGAATCCCCTTCCAGGCCCCCCGGCGGAGCACCTGAAGTCGGACGCCGGCTTCGAATCGGCATGGGGCCCGGACACAAAGACGCTCAGGGACGAAAACTTGGCCGCCTTCATTCTAGTTATGGAGCCGGGCACGCTGCGCCCGCCGCACTACGCCGACGCGGACCTTCTCATGGCCGTGCTGCAAGGTACGGGGTTTGGAGGGTTCTCCGGTTGGTCAGCTTTTCTTAGCTCTACTATCTTGAAGGTTATTATTCTGTTCGGTGAAGGGGCGTTCTGGAACACACCGCTTCGGCGACTGGACAGCATACGTGCCGCCTCTTTGTTCACCGGTCCCTCGCCTTTCGTCGAGTTGAGCATTCTCCGGCGATCTCGAGGTCACAGGTTTGAACCTACGGTCGCCGCGAACCTTATGATGTGGCTTTCGGAGCAAGCGACCACGAAGCTGATTCTTGAGCTTTGCAGTCGCCAGCGCGTTGCTGTCTTGGAGGCTTCATCTCCAAGATTCCTACAGTTGTACGTCGATTCTAGGGCGGGCAACTTCATGTTGGGCTTTCTCACAAATGCATGACACTTGCGCGGTGATCACCCGGCTTTCCTTGAAGCTTGATATTGACTTTTCGAAGTCTATGTCGAAGTAAAACATTCTGTCGCATCTCGATCGCATCTCGATCTTTGCCGGAATCCTACCTCTTCGTTTCACCTACGCCCCACCATGTTCCACCTCCTCGAGATCGGATAAGACTCATCCGTTTCGTGATTGTGCTTATAAGCGGGGCGGTTAATGTCCGACCACCCTTCTTAATCCCTAACCATCTCGATGTTTTCATCACCGCCTCACAGAACTAACCTCATCCTGAACCATCTTTTCGATGCCGACCCGTGCCAAAACCAGACCCTTCTAACCGCTTCCTTAACCCGCCCAGGGACCGCGCACGCGGGCATCATCAACGACAAGGGCGAGGAGACGGGGGTCCGCCGCTTCCGCCGCGGTGACGTCATCGCGCTGCCAGCTGGCTGGGCCACGTGGATCCTCAACAACGACACGGAGCAGAAGTTCACCCTGCTAGCGGCAGCTCGCCCGGTGGACGTGCCCGGGGAGCTGTCCAAATTCGAGGTGGGCGTTCGGTTCCGCTTTGACGGCTTATTCCGCTCGCGTTCCGAGCGGAACGGCTGCTCCGCCGGACTTCCGACCAAGTGAAGATGCTGGCGGTGGAATTGGGGGAAGCAGAAAGATTATCTCCTTCGACAACGTTTGTTCCGTTGTCGGCCTTCGGCTGTATGGCATCTTTAGACACTCTCGGAACTTGTGCTTGAAAGAACGGCTCCCCCGCCAACAGAGTCGCCGCGTCAGCTAGTGGGTGTGTTCTGTTGTTAAGCTTCAACCTCTATTCAAGCTATTCATATGTACCCACCCACAAACTTTCTTTTTTGTCCGAGGCGTTATCTACGTTCGGGGTTGAATCGTTGACCGGATCCTATTGCCCGGGCTGTTTTTGGGAACATCGCGGTTTGATCACCCTTCGAACCACTAGCCAGTGGGTTTGGTCATAAACCTTTCTTTTCTGCAGTGTTCCCCATACTAGTGGCTTTGGTCTGATATCCTGTTTCAGGTGTTTCCCCCACTAGTGGGTTAGGTCTTAAACCCTTTTTTTTCAGGTGTTCCCTCTGATGGCAGGCGAGGTCACGGGACAGAGCAGCCTTCTGCACGGCTTCACGAAGGACATTTTGGCGGAGGCGTTCAACACGGACGAAGACCTGGTGGAGCAAATCCAGACAAAGACCCCCGACAGGTGCGCAGACTAATTTCGACCGCTAATGACTGAGAGCAAAGCCAGCTCCGTCTCTTTGGCGTGGGCTATCTGCAAAGGCTTCTCCTGGGGCTGATGGCCATCAAATCTGAGTCGTGGTTCGAAGTACATTTTGAGCATGTGCAGAAACGAACGTAAAGCTTTATCTCCGTGCTAGTAGCGAACACAGATTTTGTTGATCTTATTAGACCATTCGTATTCCAGGAATGTTGTATAAGCTTAGTAAACCACTTCCGGCACGCGCGCGAGCAACACCCAAAGTACGTGGCAGCAATCGCACATGCTATGCTGCTCCGGAACAAGATACTCCATCCTTCGATGTTACACTCTGCAGTGGGCTGGTGAAGCTGGGCTCCGCGGAGCTGATGGCAATGGACGAGAAACTCAAATTGCTGGAGCAATCAGAGTGTACACGTGGCACCATCTAATCGGTCCAACTTTAATGTGCTTTTTCTCGCAGTGGGCTGGCGAAGCTGGGCTCTGCGGAGCTGATGGCAATGGACGAGAAACTTAAAATGCTGGAGCAATCAGAGTGTACACGTGGCACCATCTAATCGGTCCAATTTTAATGTGCTTTTTCTCGCAGTGGGCCGGTGAAGCTGGGCTCTGCGGAGCTGATGGCAATGGACGAGAAACTTAAAATGCTAAGCAATCAGAATGTACACGTGGCACCATCTAATAGGTCCAGTGTCAAAGTGCTTTTTCTCGCAGTGGGCTGGTGAAGCTGGGCTCTGCGGAGCTGATGGCAATGGACGAAGAGCTCAAGCAACGCAGCGCGCACGACGACTCGGGGCTTATGTACAACGTCGACGAAGCGGACCCGGACTTCACCTCCGACTTCGGCCAGGTGCGCGCTTCGGATTAAAGTAGCTTAATAAGCTATAGGATCTGCGAGAATTCGAGAACGGCGCTCCTTGGAAGCGAGTGAAGCCTTTTCTCAGTGATACCTTTGCTTTTGAGAAACATATTTGTTCCCCCGATCAAAACAAGAATGGCTTCAGAAAGGGTGAACTTTTCATCCAGATAGAAAGTTTTGCGAGGGGCTGTGAACTCCTAATCTGTAGCGCCATCATTCGGAAGGATCTTAGAGATGACGTGCCCCGCACCTGCGTTTTTGCGCCTTTATAAGCACATAACTTCAAGGATCGTTCGAACCTTTGAAGGATTGGAAACTGGAACCCAAGCCCGTCTTGCACATCTTCGAATCATCCACTCTACCTCATGCAGGTGACCCTTCTGGACTGCGAGCGGCTCTCGATCCTGAAGAACCTGAGCCTGGGGGCCGTCAAAGTTAGTCTCAAGCCGGTAAGTATGTGGCAAAGCGCGCTACAGCGAGCGAATAAGCCCGGCGTGTTCTTGGGATACCGAGTAATATCGCGGCCAAAATTCATAATGACAAGGTTCGACTAAAGAATTCTCCAGAGGGCAAAGTCGGTTGGATTTCCGCAGAGGAGGAGGATCTTTCAAGTAAGGGGATCCCTCAGACATCGTCCTTATTAAGTGGCTGGAAGGGAGCGCGAGAAGTACAGCACAGGGTCGTCGGCGCTTAATCATGTTTGGTTGAGGTGCGGCTAAATATTCAATGACCAGATTCAAGCAGTAAGTACCCTCTTTACATGATGACAGCCTGGTTACTGGTTAAAGCACCAGAGCCACGTTTGGTTAACCCAGCCTGTTAGCAGCTAAACTCTTCTTGTGCAGTTGACGGCAATTGCGCACTGACAATGGCGCACGTCCTTGCAGGGTGCAATGCTGCTGCCGCGTTACAAAACCACGGCCACAATGTTCGGCTTCATCACTGCAGGCCGCGCCAGAGTCCAGGTATGCGCGTTCGCGCTAAGGTGCACTCTCATGGATTTCGGTTCATAATCACACCTTACACTGCGTATTGGGATCCAGGGACCGTCCTGCTTCCTTTCGGGCCCCGAAAGCAACCATGCAGTCGCGCTTGGTCTGCCGATCACGGTTCCTCATGTCAGTACGTCGAAAGATTGATGCTTGATGAGTGAAACGCATGTGTCAGTGTAACGGCCCTTCAGAAGAAGAAGAACAGAAGTTTAGTCCCCACTTCGAGATCGCGGCAGGAAAGCGCGGCACCGTTCAGCCAGCACTTGTATTTGGTGGGCGACTCGGCTAAGCTTCTGGGTCAGGTAACAAACATTGTCCAAGGAGATAATCTTTCTGCTTCCCCCAATTCCACCGCCAGCATCGTCACTTGGTCGGAAGTCCGGCGGAGCAGCCGTTCCGCTCGGAACAAGAGCGGAATAAGCCTTTAAAGCTAAGCCGCTGCCCACCTCGAACTACAATTTTAGGTCAATCGCCTGTTAGGTGGAATGGGAGTTACCGGTGACTTTTCCCGGTCGCTTTTACCAGGTGGCCCAGCCGGACGGCTCGACCGGGGCTGACGCGGAGCTGGGACCGGGGGAGGCCTTCGTGGTGCCGCGCTTCTTCCCGTCAACGCAAAAGGTAAGACTTTCATCATTCAAGCTTCGACAAGCGTCCCCGGATATGAATCCAACATGCTAATTCTGGGTCCGAATCAACGCTCTCGTAAAGTAAAGATTAAGCTCTCCTCTTGTGCTGAGGGCTGAGTACTGGTGTAAGCTTGAAGACTATCGAGCTCTGGTACGAGCCTTCACGTGGCATTCTTCTGGGACAGCGTTTCCACTCTTGGTCATCTTTCGAACCAAAACAGGCGAGCGGGGCTGCACGAAGTAGGTAAATACACGCGTTGCAACGTCAAGAAACCGTATCTTCTTGCAAAATGTGCCAGGTGCTTCAAGTCGCCACTTTGTTTTTGCTTCTGCCATCGCTTCTGTCCCAGTCACAAGCGTGACGTCGTCGAATACGAGTCTTGACGTCAATCCCGTCGAGGTGTGCGAGCGTTGCTCACGTCAGCCATGACGTATGCAGAGTGTGGGCGACAAGAAGCTGGAGGGCATCGGCTTCGTCTCATCGGCGTACTTACAGAGCGGGACCGTCTTCCTGGCGGGGAAGAACTCGATCTACCGGGCGGTCCCCAACTCCGTTCTGGCCGCCGCGACACAAGTAGACAAGGCCAAAATTCAGCAGTGCGTGAGCAATCAGCCGGCGACCGTTATCGCCGGGAGGGAGAAGGGGTGGTTCCGCGAGAAAGTGGAGACGATTGTGGAGGAGATAAGAGAGGGCTTGGCTGGCGGGGTGAAGGAGGAGGTTATGAAGACCTTAGGCGCTCCGAAAAGGGTCCTAGAGAAAGAGCTATAGGCATTTGATCGAGGCGGGGTGGGGAATGTAGGAGTGGGGTGAGAATGTCAAAGAGGATTCTGAGGGTCGAAATAAGAGGATTCTGAAAAACGATTCTCAGGATGAGTCTTCTTGGAGTCGAAGTAAAAGGGGCCGAAGTAGAAGGGGAGGGCCAAAACATTACGGGAAAGGGGCGACGGGTGTGAGTACGAAAGTGCAAAGAGAATAGGGGATGAGATAGAGAATAGCCTGTGCATAGAGAATAGGCGAGCCCGGATTTGGACGGAGCGAAAAAAAGGCAAATGCTAATGGTGATACGAGGTATACATACTTGACAACGGTGTTCCGGTGTGCGGAACGGCGCAGACTGAGGTGAAGCGAGGGGAACGGAATGGACAGGGATGTAGAGAGAAAAAGAATCGCAGAAAGCTCATAGAAAAGGGAGGGGCGAAGCGACGTAGGATGAGACGACCGGTAGAATACGGCCCAATAGGTAAAGGTGGAAGGTGTGGGTACTTGGAAGACGGGGTAATGAAGCCGGTGAGAGAAGCGACCAGCATCCTAGAAGGTTGAGGGTTTCAGAGGAATGTTTGCGGGGAAGCTTGTCTTTCTTGTCGAAGGTTTGTCGAAGCGTTTTCTTGGGTGACTTTGGTGAGAGATTCTTGGAAGTGTCAGATTTACTAAAAGTCCTCAACAATCATTGCCTTTCACAGTAAGTCTAACGACCTTTCATCTTGCATCAAGGCGCCTACACGTCACGACAGTTTGCAAGTGGTTGGGATGCCTTGGTATGTTAATCTGCGTCCGAGTTCGACCTGAATCTCGATTCTTGACCGTATAGCTCTTGACTGGAGAAAATTGGATTGAGGGCACTCCAAAAATTGTTTTGGATTTACACAATTTCTTGGCGGCGATTGTCGTTATCATATTATGGATCGATATCCGTGGTCAAGCTTCGGTCGTGTTGTCCGATCCGTTCGGACGTATGCAAGTCTTCCTAGGTTCTTGGAGCTGTGCAGCTGTATGCGACGTTCGTTTTACGACTCAGGAGATTATTTGTGTTCTTCTATGCGACTGATCCATCATATGCATGTCTCGACCTCTCCAATCGGCATGGTCGACCCGGACCGTGCAGCTCGAACATGTTTGGCGGCTTGTTTCATTGTGAGAAAGCGGCCGCCGCAAACCGTAAACTATGAGACAATCGTGCAGGACTGTAACTTTGAATCAGCGTTCGATTGCTTGTCATGCTGACCACAGCAATCATGGGATTGCCGGACCATGAGAACTTGAACCATCCGAACCCGCGCGGACGCGGCGGGGCGGCCGCCGGCCCGCGCACGCGCGCGGCATGGGCTGGGCCGCGGCCGGCTTGGCCGCGAACATGCGCGCGAGCTGGTCGGCCAACCTTCTCGAGATCAGCTTGCGCCTTCTCAGATCTCTTGAGCTTTCAAGAATTATTCACCTTTCTCTCTGCATTGCAAGCAACATCTCATCAGTCATGGCGGCCGCAACGTTCGTTAGAGCTCCTCTGTGCCGGGCCCCAGTTGCATGCCTTGCCAGCTCTTCAAATGCCGACGTCTCGGCGAGGAGTTCCTGCGTGGCTGCATTCAGCTTTGGATCCCCAAAGAGCGCAAGGATCACCAGAAGGCAGGCAAGTCGTGCGCTGAGCAGCAGCCTTTGGGGCCAACGCGCCGCGTCAAGATCTAGTCCATTTTGCAAAGAGACGGGCAAGGGAGCTAGCCTGAGGAAAAGGCAGTCTGGTGCCAGTGGTGGTGCTCTTCAAGCTCAAGCTGTGTCACAGGTAGGACATTCATAATTGTGAAAAGATTGCACCTAGTGTGAAGCTTGGATTTGTAATTGTCGTTTAGCATGGTGGTGGTAAGTATAGTCCTACTCAGAATACTAGGAACCCTGGACTGCAGAAGCAAGACACTTGCTGATTTCTGCAAATCCATCGTCGATGGTGGCATGCAGAAATCTGATCCTGTTACAAGCATCTCTGAACTTTGGGAGAGCTTATCTAATCGCAATATGATGAAACTGCGTCCTGCAGCGCAACATTGACTTCATTCACTAAAGTACACACTGTGAGAATGCAGGAAACTGCGTCTATCTGGACAGCTGTGTATGGCCTCCTGCTCCTGGGAGGGGGGACCTCTGCATGTGAGTACACCGTCATGATTGTACTAACAATATTTCTGAATCAATCTTCTGTTTGCTTGGTTAGTCCTTCGGCGATTGCAAGCACTCTGGGTAACCAAATGCACCATTGCTCTTTGCTCTACCAGAGAATTGTTGTCTCTGAGGAGGGGAGTAGAAGCCGATTTCTTGGCACTTGACTGTACAGTTGCTTGTTTTCTTGTTGGTCAAAGGCATACCTACTGCTTGAAGGTACACCAATAAATCTGATTCAAGCATGTCAGGGAGTTTTTTGCTCCTGTTGCTCTACACTTAGCCCTGGCTCTTCTTTCAGCAGAGAATCCTGACACAAAGCTCTTGTAAGAAGGAAGTGTTCCGTGCATCAGGAACTTGATCTCTTCTCTTTGGTCTACCGTCTGACACTAGCTTCAACGTAAAGAGTTCTAGGAGGATTCTTGCACCAGGCAGATCAGTGTGGGGAATCGCTGCTTTTTGAAGAAATTTATATCAAACAGGGACACTTTGAACATGTGAAAGGATTCATTGAAGTGGGCCACTTTTCATGAAACAGGCCCAGTCAGGAATTGTCAGCTTTAAAGTAGCTTTTTGGTTTCTCAGGTTCATTGCATCTTTTAACAGGGCAAATCTGCCAAACCACAATGTATAGAACGTGTGGTCTCAAAGCGATATACAAGGCCTTGTAAGACGCTGTGAAACATAGTGCAGGGTCCAATCGTTGATCTTTGTGCAGAAGTGTCTCCCCCTGGTTGCATGGAACTCGAAGAACCTTCAATGACACCTCTGGTTGCCCTGCAGACCTGAAAAGCGGGAGCAAGCAGTCTGTGATCAGTGGCGCTTTGGGGGCAGCTCTTTCAGCAATGGTGAGGACCCTACACATACGCACAACACTTTCCAAACCTGGTGTAGTAGAAAAATTCTCATTTCATGCACACTTCCAGACAAAGAAACTTGATTGTGGAACCACTAGATTCCCAGCTTCCCCAAATGATGTATGTTCTCGAAGACCATTGATAACGGATCATGCATCCTCCATGTGTATGTTCTTCATGCTGTTGCCTGCATACATCATCTGGTTTGATGCGTCGCACCCGCTTACAAAAGGCACGAGTTTTGTCATGGCGCCAACCAACTAGATTCGTCTGTGATACGTTAGTGGTGAATTTACACCTAAAGTGTACGACAATGATTGGCGCGTCTTGTGCCTCCCAGGAACCACGCACTTATTCACTGGCCAGGCAGGATTCAAAAGAGTCGTTCCGGAAGAACACTTGGACAAGGTTCTCTCTACCCTTCAGTTTCAGAGGGACATTCGAGCACACAACTTGCTGTCGGACACGAGTTTGACCATTTTGTGGAGACAGTCACAATCTAGTCACGGCAACTCGCTCGGAAATTCTGTTCCAAAATTGTCGCCGTTGCAGGCGTACTACCTCGAAAGTCAAGAGAGCACTCACCAGACGGGGTTGGCGGTCGCGTTTGGCTATTCCATCCTCTTCGCCTCCGTTTTCGGTGAGCAGCTTGTAATCATTCTTCAATATATATGGTCCAATGATGCTCTAGCATCTCCTCTGCCAGCGCAATTTTAACTGATTATCACTCTGCAGAATCTCAGCAACTCAGAGCGAAGAGCGATGAAAGGTCAGGTCGCTGTCACAGTGTTATAAGAACACGGGCTTTTGTCACTGTTTCTCCATGCTCGCTATCAGCCCCCCACGTGAAGGTGGATTGCATCGAGCTCTACTTCCGATGGTCCATCGGAATGGCTGTAGGTTCAAAATCAGGGAGTCAAAGTCCATGATCTCAATCCTCAGGCTCTTTCACCCCTCTTGAGTATTGTTGGGATTAGCAATGCGTCTGGCAAGTAGATCCTGTTCCTTTTTTTAGAATCGACCGCTGGATGTTCCTAGTTGCCTGGAAGCGGTACTCCCAAACCTTGGCATAGTTTCCGGAAGCCCCCCGGAAAGAACAACCTTTATGCGTTTTTTGAAAGGAGAAGTCTTCCAAAGTGGGCTCTCGTGAGCCCCCTGAGAACACCTCCAAAGGCACGGCTTGTTCCTTCCAACACCAGTGTTTCTGCCTTTGTGTAGGAATCCGCCTGTTTGCTACCAAGAAGGCCTTCCCTGCTGCTCCACTGTTGGCACTCAGCCTCGCATCCGCGTTCGTCTTTGCCTCAGCCTATTCGGCTTGAGCGTCGACAGAGTTGTCCCAGTAGTAGCTAGTGAAGCTTCAAATAAGGTGAGAGGCGTCAGTTGCATTGGGGCATCTGGCAAGCCTCAATTCCAGCATCGCAATCCGATGCCAAACAAGAACGTGGATTGAGCGATGCAGATGCTCATTTCTGGTCCAAGTAGTTGGATTCTATTTTTGTCAGAATAACAAGAGTCTAGCTTACCAGTCATATAAATATCAACGTCTAGACGTCTGTATGAACGCCCATACTCAGACGAGGTGAAACCAGACAACTTTTTTGCATATTGACATACTGTCTTTGCTGAAAGAGATCCCACAATCTACGATTCAGATGAAGAGCGTCGCGTATGTTATGGGGCAACGCCACCATAGCATAGGCTGATGTAAGTAGACGCAGATCTGCAGTCAATCTCCCGATCGAGTAAAGCCCTGAAGTCACAACTTAGCTTCAAAGTTAGGCGAAGTCTATTTTGGTTCCAGGGCACAAATGCATGGGCTTCTTGACGCAAAAACGCATGGTCTCCTTCACAATTGACAATCTGCTTCAAGGCATGGTGACCGCACTCCTGGGCCGGGCAATCGCACCTCATGCATGCACAGTACGCATCAATCAGCCGGACAATGTGTAGGATTAAGACTTGCACCAGGCGGCGGTATGCATAGCTAGGAGCCACACGTACACTACTATAAATGCATGGCCCCCCGGGTGCGTGGCGCGGCTGCCGCGCACTCCTTGCAAGTACCCATGAAGAAAGAAAGCATGAAACTTACATGTATGCAATCTGGGCATTCAATTGCTTCATATGCATACATTACATATATATGAAACTCCGCGAATCACAGGCTTGCATGCCGCCAGCCTGCTCGCTGAGCTTAAATGAATCGACTCAACCGCTGCTCCAGGACTTTCGCTTGCAATTACGACAATTGCTACGTACCCGGCGATAAGGTGACTGCAAAACACCGTCATATGTATACAATGCTACGTACGAACCAAACTTCACGCATAGCTTCTTACAGCCGCCTTTACAACAGCACGAGATACAGAGCATGCATGTACAAGCGGCAGCTGAACGTGCTCCACCGTCGCTGCATAGTTTGAACTTCAGACTACTCATGAGCAATTCGCAGAGCTCTCAGATGTGCGTCAACTTTCGACTTCCGCGTCCCCCTTCTTGTCTAGCCGCTGCTTGACAAAGAACCACGCGGCCGCAAGAGCCGCCGATGCGTAAGGAACCACCGTCCAAGTCCCCTGCAATGGGAAAGAATGATGAGGCCGAGAAGTACAAGTATCAGGCAGAAACGCATTCCGTAAAGCTAGCGTGTTTCCTCTAATGCAGAAGGACGAGTGATGCCAAGGATTACCCTCATTTCGATCCGCAAGAAAAGAAGACGGCAACGAACTAAGGCGTCCGCCTCATACTGGTGGAATCACGATGCAATACAAAAAGCAAAAGCAATGCAGTACAGCAAGCATTGGCTCTGATTGACCATTGCTAAGATGACACTTTACGAATGCATTTCCAGAAAGAAGCGAGACGTTACAACGGCAGGGCTTACGACAACTGCGGCTACGGTTGCAAGCGCAGCGACCGGCCGATCCCGCAACACAAAGCCGAGGCCCATCTGAAGAGACGAGGAGAGAGAAGTTGAGTCGAAGCACGGCCGAACTCGAGACTATGCGTCATGAAGTAACACCTCGTGAGGAAGAGGGAAGCATCCAACTGGAAATTTAGCAGAAGCAGCAGCGGAGCAGTTTTTGGGCGAAATACGTACCTGGAGGGGTAGCGTAAAGAGACCGCCGGCGCACACCCCAATGAAGAAGGTCGAAGTAGACACGCCCTGTGAGAATGCGGATTCAGGTCAATCTTGAGTGTTTATGTGTTCTCGTTTGTCGATGTATGCAGGCTCTTCCGGGTGGATTCAAGTAGCAGCGGTTTGGCAGAGCACTGCCTTTCGCTACTTCCCATTCTATTCCTTAGCTTTCAGACCACATACAAACCATTGCTGTACATGGTCGGGAGAGCCGAAGAAGGGAACGGCCAGGCTGAGTCGTGCAGACTATGCTCTGGGAGACCTTTGCCACACGAAATGAAGTCAAAGGAGTGCCATGAGAAGGAGATACGCGTCCTGTCAAATATCACGTCTGGCGGTTCGTCTCGATAGTGTCCAATCGATTTTGAGACCATTTAATCCTAGGTTGAAGTCAATCTCACAGGAGGCGCTCACCGAGAAGCCCGCCAGGAAGGCGGTCGGGTTCCGCACCCCGAGGGAGAAGCGCTCGACTGTAAGCGAAGTAAGAATGTTAAGGACGCGCAACCAGGAAGCATCAACTAAGCGGAACCGGACCGCAGCGGATCTTAGTCACAAGATCACGGAGATGTTGCGGAGATAAGCATCCTGAAAAGGAAAAGCTTTTCAAAAAGGTAGATGCTAGGCGTCTTATCGGACAGACGTTGACGGTCGGAGGATAGGAAAAGAGGACAGATTTTGTTGGGACTTAAGGAAGGAGCAACCGGAGTGATCGCCTCAAACAGGCTTTCATTAGAGAAGGTCACCAACGTTCCAGAACAGCTCCAGCATAAGTACGACGGATTCACAATTCCGGATCGTTCATCTGGTTGATAGCTCACCGAGCCCGATGTAAGCACCATACTTGCGGACCGCTGACGTGACTCGAGCCAGAGTTGCTTGATTCGTTCCCCCAAGCTGCGCGATGTACAAGATACGTAGCACCCAGTGAGGATCTCGAAGACGAGGATGTAATGCTACAATACGAAAGCCCACTCATTCACAGATTCGGCTTGGCTGGGAGGCAATTGCCACCGAAGCAGAATCAAGTGGGCACTTCATTGACCAAATGCAACCGAAGAAAGATGATTGTTAGTGACGACACCTGACCGGGAGTGAGTCACGCTTTCATAAGGTGGTCGTTCCCCCTGAAACCTAGGTCCCTCAAAATATTAGTTTCGAGGACCAAACATTCTTGAAAGCTGCTATCACTTGTGTTTCGCCGACGTTCTCTGTGACGCTCTCCAAGACTTCACAAGATTGTCGTTCTTCCCGAGCCCTGGGTCAACCGGAGGCTAAGTTCGATCACCATAAAATGATCATGCTGGTACTTCTGGAGTTTTACCGACCTTTTCTGTGACGCTCTCCCCTCGCTGGGCTGCCCACTTGCCCGCATAGAACGGGATGAGGTCGCTCAGGCACACGCCCCTGCAGCGGAACACCGCCGTTAGAGGCAGCAATTATAGCCGACCCACTTTGGAACATTTTTTGATGAACGGTTCTTTGTACAAAGCAAGAGGTGCGATTGGTGAGCCTGTACAGTGAAACGATATCAGGTCGAGACTAGGACGACTAAGTGGACGACTCAGAGACAGTTTCGCTTGAAGCAGCGATAACGCCTTTCGAGCTTTTTCGGGGCTCCTGGCTCGTCTTGGAAAGCGCGCACTGAGAAAGGATGACGAAAAGAAAAACAGGAATCGATTGAAACAAGATGCAAAACGAGAGGAGTCCGTAGGCTAAAGAATGGCCCTCGACAGTGTCCCTAATCAGATTAGCAACTCTGCCCATATCCGTGCTGACCAATGAACCCAGAAATCCTGCTTAATGCTGAGCCGTAGACCTGGGGAATTCTAGTTTACGCTCGTGAATACACCCGGGAAGTTCCTGGTTCGTGCTCACCGGTAAACCAAGACATCCTCGTCCGTGCTTACCAGTAAACCCAGAAAATGACAGACGCGATGTAGCCCCAGTTCGCCCGTAGCGACTGCATCAGTGCCTCCCGAGTGCCGTCCAGCACCAGGCACCGCCCGAGGGATCCCCCCACCCATACATTCAACGCTTCCTCGCTCACGAATAGGCCGCACCCGGCAGCCATCAGAAGGGCAAAGTAGGCCAGCCTGCAGTGTCAGGGAGGGAGTTGGGGAGAGATTTAAGTCATTGTCACGGAAATTCTTCAAATGTCACGTCATCGTGGTCTCTTGACTTTCATGGTGTGTGCCAGTACTAATCTGCCGTCTGAAGAATTTTTCAAGTACGTAGATAGCAGAATTAGCGGATGAAGGTGGTATACACTACACCAGCAAAACACTGTGCTCGACCCAATCAGCACCACCTCAACATTCCTTTGAACACTTTGAGCCCCTGGTCGTTCCAATCGCCCAAAAGCCCCCTCGCAAAGCTGCGACACCTTTTATGCCAGGTGTTCGATCCGACAAATTGCCCCGCACTTGGCCCAAAGTTGCTTTCGATGGCTGGTTGGTTTTGATCACATGAAGGGCTCCTTCACAAATCACCTCCAAACGTCATGACTCCTCACCCAGGTGTCCGGTCCATTAAGCTGGCCCACAACCCAAATGCCCCAAAGTTGGTTCCGAATGCAGGTCGGTTTGATCACACGAAAAGGCTCCTTCACAAAGCAGCATCGCATGTCACGACTCCTCACCCAGGTGTCCGATCCGTCAAGCTGCCCCGCAGCCCAAACGCCCCAAACTTGAACGCTGCCCCCCCCGCCCCAGCGCCCTGGTCTCCCGCCACGGCCGCGGCGAAAGCCGGCGAGGGTCTCCTCCAAACCAACAGCAGGAGAGCCGCCAACACCAGCGCCACCTGGCGCCATCGAAGCCACCGACGCCCGCTGACATCAGCATGATCATTTGATGACCTCAGCTCACCTGATTGTTCTATACACTCCTGAGAAATTTCTGTGGAGAATGCTCTGGCTTGAGAGTGAGCTGGGAAGCAAGAGATATGCCCTGACCGTTTGTCTACTCCCCATAGCAATCGTTGACACAAGGCCCCCCGCTGCAGGCTTGATTGCTTCGCCGGAATTGGCCCTGGTGTCAGCTCGTGCTTACTGCATTGGGCAACTATTGCTGGGGCCAATCTGCGCCCGTTCGTCCCCTCAGCATCAATGCCCGCTGAAACCCCTGCCCGTATCCGTGCACTGTGGTTGGCAGTGGGACGCCATGAGGCGGTCTGCATGGTTGCACGCAATCAAGGTGGCCCTTTGTAGCAGGTGCAATGGGGCTAGGACTTCGCCTGCATGGAGAAATCGCTTCAAGTTCTGGTTGTAAAAACTGTTGGGCGAACAGTTTGCAACTGGCTTATTACATATATTTATAGATGAAAAGAAACCATCGGCATTGGCGTTCAGGACTGCAAACCACTGCCATGGTTGTGAGAGCAGCAATCTGGGTTATCGCCAGGTTCAACTAACACTTAAGAACCCTGAAGAAGAAGAAACCGGTTTGACCAAGGAAGAAGCGACTTTGACCAGGCAGCATGCCATGCATGTTGAGGGGAAAGTGACTGCCCGGGGGATCGAACTCTTCTTGACGCGAGTGTGCATTTTTTTGAGGTTTGAACTTGAAGAAGGTTTGGAGGGCCGGTTTCCTGCTGCAGCGGGATCACCACATGGGGCATTTGCTCACTTGACTTGCAGACCTCTCCCAGATCTGGCGCTTGCTGGTCAATCTGATCAAATTCAATGCCCATTGAAGGTGCAGCTGTTGTTTTCAGCTGATTGCACTGGCCACACCTCAAATCTTATCACTTCTGTTTCCATGATGGATACATGCTTTTGAATACCTGTGCCATTCTGCCACACTGTTTTGAAATATGACACTGGCACAGTTTTGCATACCATCATGCTAGACATGCTTTATAATGAACAGTCTGAATTGAAGCTCCGGTTACTGCAGCATGGATACGCCTGGCCGGCGTACAACAAGTTAAGCCAGTTATGTGCGGTTAGTTACATTGTTCGAGTTACCCTGCATTCACAACTAGCACATACATAGCAGTTCTGCTTTAACCTTTGGGTTATGTCAGTCAGGATACTCCCGTGAATGTGATTGCCCGGAGCCGCTGTGATCAGATTGATCTGTGCCAGTGATCGCGTGAGGTTTGGGGCAGCTTCAAATCCAAGTAGGGGCGCAACGTTTAAATTGGGAGCAGCTTCAGTTTAAGGTATGTGGCCATTGGTCCAGTAGTATGGCAGCTGGCAATGGCATGATCATTTTGCCAAAGTCGCCAGAGCTCATCTGCGCAACCCCCCCAGGACCAAGGTTTCATTGCGTGTAAACCAAGCGAGAATTTTTACGAAGCTACCGGGGGCAGAAAACGGGCATGAAGAGCCCCACCCTGAAGCAGGGCAGTCTTTCAGGGGGCATGGTTCTATCTCCCACAAACGTTCAGTCACATTGAACCAGGTGGTTTGACGCCCTCTGCATTGCAAACTGCATGCTGTCCTCCTGAATCCTGGAGGGAAGCAAAGCAGTTGTACTCCTTGCTGGTATATCAACAAGACATAGATCTTCTTGAGATGGAGAAACAGGCGATTGGGCCGCCAAACTCTGACCTTGTTGTCGTAGAAGGGAGGCTGTGCTTGATTCCCAGCTGGCAAAAGCCGCAAGACAATTGTTTGTAGTTTTCTGACAGACTGAACTACATAGACCGTAAAAGTGGCATTTCGGGGCCAAACTTGTTCTTTCAAGAAGAATCTCCAGAGAGAGGTGCAATCTTGTAACATAAAAGTAACCTTATATCGTATCTACCATAACATAGGTTTAAGTTCATGTAACCTTGTATTAGGTCCTTGTATTTGGAGGTTCTTTTGACAAAGGAGTGAACGTGAGACAAGGACCCATTGAACCGGATGTTTCCAACCTATCAACTGGCTCAAAAGATCAATTCTTTGAGAGCACCTGCAGTCTTCAAATTTCTGCACCACCAAGTTAACACTTGACTTTGACAATGGACATCAGTGAATCTGCCAAAAGTGCGGGCGCAATAGGCTTGAAGGCTGCCGTTGACCTCTGCATCCGACGCCCTTTGCTCATCCTGGGGCTCGTCTGCGTTGGCCTCATCAATGTACTGGTTGGCACCTCGTGGGAAGACGTCGCATTCGTGCAACAAAGGGCTTTTCTCGTAGCGGCAGCGGTCAGAATCAGGACGACATTTCAACCACACGAGCAAGAATGTCCCGCCTGGTTTTCAGGGATGTATGAGGATCTGGCGCCATGGAAGGTGAGCTGATTCCCATTACAAGAGAAAACGTACTCCCTTGAAGCCGGCTGAAAGTTTTGCCTTCCTCTTCAATGAAGCACCATATGATGATGGTTAGATGCCGACACACAACCAGCGAGAAGTGTGATCAAACGATGATCAGATTCTGACACTCAAAGTTCACCACCATTGTAAACTTACTCTGGTCAACTCTTTGTAGTCCATTTTTGGACCTGGTTGGCTCAAGAAACCGCATGGAAAGTGACTGCTGATCTTGCTGGATTTGGTACATGTGCCGTGGCATATCCTTAGATCATGAGCTTGGCTCACTTACAAGTACCTTGCTCTTCTGATGGAATCGTGCGAGACGAACTAAAAAGCTCCTTTCTTGCAGGAGAAAGGCAGCATCAGTGCCCAGGACATCGAGGCTGCTCTGCCGGGCGCAGCGATTCACTTCACAATCATTGGCGGCAAACTGTATGCAAAGGAGATAAAGCCCTGTTTTCCAGTAAGTACACAACCTCATCTCGAGTTCTTCTAGAAGGAAGTCCTTAGTCTCTTCTGCGGTGGGCGATAGGAGAGGCAGCCTAGCTAAGCTGTCACGAAACTGGTTGGAGAAACCATAGGACAGGAGGGATGTCAATGAAGCTCAAGATGAAGGATCTTGACCCGACCGCTACAGGATTTTACTACGCAAGCAAACTTGTTCCTCTTCGTAGCCACTTCCTGTAGCCCTGCTCTCTGATCCTAAGATTGTTTCATTGCTTCCAACTTCTTCGACATAGACATGGCAAGACTGTACTTCACTCTTGGTTGAGAAGTTGTAGGTGATTCCTCTCACTCATGGATTTGCTCAATCCAATCGTCCCTGCTTCAGGATGCCGTTTGTTCCTCGGGAGGCCTTGTTTTGGATACATTTTCACACTTTCTATTCTATCACACCTGCAGAACCGTGCGCGCTACTCAACCTGGGGCCTCCTACAGCTCCTTCGTTACTTCCCTGGCCAAGTACCCGACGTCGACTTCGTGTTTGAATGCAACGACTACCCCCAAATGGTCAGACCAAAAAACCCAGCCGATCCAACTCCGGTTCTGCTGAACTACGACAATAGGGAGGGCAAAATTGATGTGCCGTTCCCTGACTGGACGTTCTGGGGGTGGCCGGACCTGGAGATCGCCAGGTGGCGCGATCAAAGCCACAGGATCGACCGGGCCGCGAGGGCGGGGCTAAAGTGGATCGACAGAGAAAAGACGGTGAGTTGGGCTGAGGATTCGTGAACCATGTGATGACAAGCAGCCAACTTCATGAGCGGGCTGCTGATTTTATTGTGATGCGGCAGAAAGTCTACCCTTAAAATGCTTGGTCGAACGCACCGAACCAGAGTCCTGTGTACTTGCACCCAGTTAACCTATCAGAAGATCCGTCGATTCAATTAGCAGCAGGTTCGCCTTGCGTCGTAATTTGAATCATCCTGGCCCGGCTAAACCCAGGGCTTGGAAGCCCATATTCGTTGTTCGTTGATATTGACATCTCGTGTTCACAAAGAACGTCGTTATCTGAGTTCTCTCTAAAGAAAGCTCTCCTCACCGGCAGGCGTTCTGGAAAGGGGCGGCCTGGTTGAACGAGGCGCGGAAAGCGCTCGTGCGGTGCACAGCGGAGGACCCTTCGTTTCTGCTTTCAGCATACGACAAGAGCTGGGGCAACGTGGCCGCGCACGAGACCAACTTTACGGACGCTAGGTTAGAGGACCAGTGCGGTTATAGGTAAGCAAGCCTCCTTCGTACTCGGGTGCTAATACGCTTTCTTCCTCGTCAATGCTCCTGTCAAGACAGTCAGGAACTTCTCTTCCAATGGATTTCTTGCGCCCTGGTAGAATAAGGAGTCAGAAACTCTGCATTCAAGGCCGTACTAGAAAATCTTCAAGCTGGTTTAAGTGCCTTGCCAGTGGACAATGAAATGCCCCCCTTCCCCTTCTGGAGTTCCATTTGCAGGGGCTAACAACGCTTGTAAGCTGCCCTTTGGTGCTCTTGTCCTGGAAGCGAGTACTGTACGCTTGTACGAAGATAGTCCGCTCCAGTCCCTGTTCTCGGAGTCCATTCGAACGTCCTGTTGGTGAGACCATTACAGTGCTTGTGGAAACACGTCGCTTTCGTTTGACAAGCTTTCCTGTGTCGTTCCTTGCAATATCCTTCGAGAGCACGCCCAACGGGTGTGCATAGGGCACCAATTATCACGAATTTCTGTATGCAGGTATCGGATATATGCAGAGGGGTCTGCATGGTCGGTTAGTATAAAGTACGGGTTAGCGTGCGGGTCAACGATGCTCCTGGTCGAGCCAGTGTTTAAGGCGTTCTACGACCACGGCCTGCGAGACGGCGAGAACTGTCTCGTGGTTCCGAAGCACCCGGCGCTTTGCGAGAACATGAGAGACAAGGTTAGTTCCTTCCTTTTTGTTTCCAACAACCTCATATAAGCAACCTGTTGGAATCAAATGTGTGCCTTCATTCGGGGTCCATTGCATACCAGCGAGATCAGACTTACCGAATTCCTCTCAACAAGCATGTGCTGAGCCACGTCGTCCGGATCTCGAAAAGCTGCCTTGTATGAAAGTCTAGATTCGCAAGTGCCATCACACGGTGCGTGATTGAGCCTGAGTTTTAAAAGTACTTCATGAGTACGAATTATGACAATCTCTACTCCTCTACTACTCTACTCCTGAGTAGGTCTCCCAGCCCGGTACATCCAGGTTCTTTAGGCCAGAGTGAACTTCAGCTGACGTCATTTCTGTGGACTCAATGTCCAGGTTAGGTGGGGAAATGACAACCCTGAGCTAGCGGGGGGGATCGGCGAGGCGGGCGCCAAGTTTGCGCTTGAAGACCTCGACATGCACAACGTCTACTCTTACATGCTGCACCTGCTGAAAGCGTACGCGTCGTTGCAAGTAAGCCTCAGCACGGAGACCTTTGTGCACTTTTCGTCCGCCGAATCGTGCCGTCCGGAAAGGATACTGTCCGTAAGGCAAGCAAGAACGGTCGTTTGCGAACGGTCGGGAAAATTACTAGCTATCAGATGGCCTGATTTTGACCCACAACTTCACTCCGGATCTTGTTCTCGTCTTTACTCCCATCAAACGCCTTTTTAAAGAGATCATGGGAGTCACTGCGACTTCTCTCAAGGGCGGAAAAGTTGTAACACACTACCGATCCTCCATTCGCAGGACTTCGTTCCAGGTCTGCACCCCGACCTGAAAATCGTGACCGAGGCGAGCATCCGCGTTGAGAGCTCCGACTTCGAAAAGCGGGACTACCTTCTTTCCGAGTACCCTGCATCAAGACCGCCCTGCATAATGCCGCCCGGGGGGGAAACTGAGGAGCTTTGATCGTCGGCCATGCAACCGGTGCTTGTCAAACGAGCTGCGAACGGGCTGACGGCTTGGGACGGGGGCAGTCGGAAAGGTGAATGGGACAGTCCTTGACCGGCACAGTTCCCTCCAGAGCACTTTTGCACGAAGGGCGAAGGAGGATCTGAACCGGGCAGCTGATCTCCTGAAAAACGTAAGGGGCTGGTTGACACAATGCAAACACAGCGTGCGCCTCGACTGGCTTTCAAAGCCCAGGGGCGTCCCCAGGGGATGGTAATTCTTCGGGAAAGCTAATTTATTGCTGCCAAGCGGGCACCGTTTGCGAGAGGCTTGCATTATATCGACGGTTGACGGCCAGCATCAGAAATAGGGCCCTTGTAGACCGCACGTTTGTCCGTTTTGATTTGGTGGCGGACTCTCCTCATGTCGGCGCTTAAGAACTAATATTTAATAGATTAATAATCAATTATTAGTAATCAATAATATAAATTTATGATAGTATGGGACAATTATCAGGGGGCGGTATTTATGTGTCCTGACTCCTCGTCTTAGCAGCTAAAGTTGTTGCGGTGTGTGCTTTGTAACGGAGTGGGTGGATTTTTCGCACTACTGCTAGACGATCATTAACGTGACCCCCACCGGACAAGCCTAAGCACTGCCGCAATTGCGGCCCACCACCAAAGGAAGGAGGTATGTGCAGACTAATCAGGCCACAATTATTGTCCGTTTGCTGTTAGCAACGTCGACGGAAAGCCAGGGGGTAGTCAAAAGCGAGTCGAGAATCTATGTGCAACGGCATACCAAGTAGCTTCTTAACCTTGACGGCGATCTCCGCTGACTCTGTAAGCATCAAATAGGACTTATAAGTGCTTCCATAAATATTGGCGGTTAATTCAATCAACCTAAGTTGCAATTGACTCAAGGACCCGAGTTCGTTGTTTCGATACCTTGTTGCTAATGAGACACGCTTGTTACAAGCCATGTACGTATTGGGTGACACGCCGTCTTATCTAGTGCAGTGACCACGCGGTGCTGAAATCATTCAAGTCATCTATGGGCCATGTACGCAGCTAGGGCATTACAATATAATGATGTAAGCTCCTATAATGACTTCCAATTAACGACGCACCGGGTTTCGAGATCCAAACTAAGACTACTTGGTCAATCACAATGATGTTATAAGAACATTGAGTTTCACCGGAGACTGGAGTATTCTGGCCAACGTGACCGTCGCGGCCCATCCTTCCAGCCCCCAACGTGTACTCCAATGATTGCCTGTCAAAGCCATGCATGTTGCACATGACGATCTGCTATAGGATTGACCGTCAGACTCAGCGGTGCACGCGGCCTGCATGACCACATGGCTGCCAAGCGTTGAACTTGACATGCATGGCCCCGCGGGCCAGTCGACTCTGAGGCCTTTCGAAAACCCTAATTTCAATAAGGAATGCAGCAGCTCAAGGTAAACCCTACTGCCCGCGCTAGCCTGCAGCTATGCTAAAAGGGCCCTCAACAATTGCAATACTGTCTCCAAGAAATTCGAGCAATTCTTAGACGTCAGTTCTAACTTCTAAAGCAGCTGTCCAGGCAACTGGGAAATACAGACGCCTTTCTTAGTGGCATCTCCTCAAATCATTCTCGCTGGACTTCTGCGCTGCGATTCTATTGAATCTCTTAGTGCCCCCAGGTTTCTAGACCGACAGCACGGAGGGGCTGTTCACCTGACAAGCACCGAAATGATGTTTCACTCCTCGGAGGACTACGCAGAAACGATGTGGGCTGGCCACAGCTTTCAACTTTTTGCACACCACCCTTTCTCAGCCAGGCTTATCCTGGCCATTCTCTCCGTCGCGCTTATTATTTGGTGTCTGAATAAGACACTGCTCCAACCGTATCTTATCTACTTGAACCTGAAACGACAAGGGGTGAAGGGCGCGCCCTTCCGCCCGTTCATCGGCCAACTCCCTGAGATAAGGGAACACATGCGACGAAAGGAAAGCGACCCCCAATACGCTGCGGTTCTTTTCGTCCAGTCGCGTGAGCAGATCAAACAGTATGGCGATATTCACATCTCCCAAATGGGCCCAAATATAGACCTGGTGTTAACGAGCCCGGACGCCATCAAAGAAGTGCTGGTCACGAAAGCGGGGTGTTTTGAAAAGCCGGCTTATGTTAAGAATCTGCTGTCTTTGATGGGGAACGGGCTCGTGTTTGCGGAGGGGCCGCTGTGGGAGCGGCAGAGGAGGATGATCAACCCCGCGTTCAATCACAAGGAAATCAAGGCAAGGACACCATGGTGCATCGAGCATCACCTCTTTTGTAGTCCTTACAAAAGTTAGTGATAGCTTGCCCCTGTCAAGGCCTATCGTTTTGAACCTGGAAAGACGTTAAACCCTCTGCGTCCGAGCACAGCAATCAAGGTATGCGCGTGTCGTGCCTGCCTGATCCTGTGTGAGCACCAGCGAGGCAATCCTGTTGAATTGACTTTTTGGTGACTGCCTCTTCTGTCCACACCGGTAATACACTTCTGAGAAGCCACAGAAAATAGGGAATGACCAAAGCTTTTGGGGGCGGTAGAAATCCTTGATTCGTATTGACAATAGCGAAGAAGTGTCATGAATGACATAAAGCTTGTTGCTAGCAAGATGTGAATAAAGTTCTGCTTTGGATCTTTTCTTCTTTGTGTGCCCCTGGTCAAGGATTCCGACACCCTCTGAACGAGCGGTCTTCAGCCCCCGAGTGTCTGCCCCAGCAGACACTTAGCTTAAGTAGTTTACTGGGTATGCGATACTGTGAAAGCAAGCTGGGACTTTGAATCTGAAAGCCCAGGAGAGCAGATTCAGTTTGATTGATTTCTATTTTAGCACCACCTTCAAGAGGCATGTCAATCTGTACGTAGAACAAGCACAGGACTTTCGCGGAAAGTCTCCTTGCGCCTATCAAAGCTCAGCATCACTTTTCAATGATACCATTCAATGATACCACTTTCGCTCTGCAGGCCATGAGCGAAATCATGATCAAGTGCACCAATGAGGCCGCCGATCGTTGGTGTCAAACGATTCAGGGGGGCACCCAGGAGCTAGAAATGCTTCTGGAGTTTTCGAAATTGACACTAGACGTCATTGGGAGAGCCGCCTTTGGGTCCGAAGATGTGGCATCTGGGAAAGCTGCCGACGAACTGTATGGTGGACTGAGCAAGCTGATTGAAGACAAGGTTGCGGGGATCATGGAGGGCTGGTCTCTTATTCCAGGATACGAGTAAGTGATGCCAGATGCTTCTCTTTTCTCAACGGGACTGTTCCCTCTTCTTGTTTTTATCGGGCACTTTTCCGCAACCTGCAGTTCGGTGAGAGGAGGTTCTTCATTACAAAGGCCTGTATCGTTCTCGTAATTTCGACCGAGGCTCCCACATTTTCTTCATTTGAGTTTTGAGAGCAGTCAAAAGGCTGGCCACACCTTCATGCGCCCTGGATATTGTTGTCCACTCTCCTCCAACTCGACAATATATGCTTTTGTGTTTTGGTACTGTCGTGAAGCATTAGATGGGAGGTCGTGGCCGAAACGAGAGCCCATGTTTCTGACGAAGAGGTACTTCGATAGGAAGGGACTCCTCAGTGACGGGATACTGAAGGGGAACAGTGAACCTAAAAAGCATCTAGAATGCTGTGCTGGCTGGTCAAAGGAAAGGATAAAAAACCTGCCGATAGAACGAGCGAACAACAGCTTTTCGTCGTTTCATTTACGCAGCTTCTTTATATGCACTGCAGCCGGGTGTCTACATGGAAAAATTTGAGCGTCAAGGGACGCGAGAGGGAGCAGCGCACTCGACTTGTGACCATCCGTACCTGTCTCTCGACCATACAGCAGCCTTGTGACTCCTTGATTACGCAGGTTCCCGTCGCATTGCAGGGTGCTCCAAGCCCGTGTTAACAAGAGCGTCAAAAGGCGCGAACGGAGTCACACCGCTTTTCTCTTTCACGATGCAAATCGCACACTGTTACACAGCCTCCTCCCTACCTCGCCGCAGTAGAGCATCAAGAAACACATCGTTTCAGAACACGTACGTAAAATTGCCTTCTTGCAGCGTATTCCTAACAGCCGATAACTGGAAAGCCAAAGGACGCGAAAGGATCTGCGGGCACTCCAAGTACGACAATCCTGTACCACTGTCGCGTTCACACACCAGTCTTCTGGCTCATCACTCACACAGTTCCCAATACGCATTGCAGGCTGCTCCCTACCTCCGAAAACCGGAAAGCCAAGAGACGTGAGAAGGAGCTGCGGGCTCTCGGCATGCGGCTGATCAAGTCGCGGCGGGAGACACGTGGCAGGGCCGCCGAGAAGCCACGTGACCTCCTGGGAATGATGCTGGTGGGGCAGGACGAGCAGGGGGAGTCCGTCATGAGCGATGAGCAGCTGGTGACGTCACTTTCTCGTCTTCAATGACGTCTCTTTCTGACTTCTGTTGGAATCAATTGCTGATTTCGAGTGATGTCGCTTACTTGCGTTTGGTGACAAGATTGGCCGGGAGAGGCCGCCAGAGCGACGAGCAGCTGATGACGTCACTCTCTCGCCCCTGATGACGTCACTTTTTGATTCTGGTGACCTTGAATGCTGGTCTTCACTGATCTCAGTTGCTCGTGATCCGTGACACTGGTTTCTCGTCTCTGCTGGCTTTGCGTCGGCCGCAGCGGGGTCGGTCTTCTGATTCGCAAAATCGCATTTCGAAGATAGAAAGTGGCCCTCTACGACTGACATTCTGCCACAGAGCGGGAATGCTGATCTCGTACGTTACCCATCAGCTGTCTACTTATCGTCGAAATCAAAATTCCTGGAATCCAAAATCTGAGAACAATGCACCGCGTCTAGGCTTGTCCGTTTTTTTTCTTTGTGGCGGGGGGAGCTGAAGGTTGAGGTTCACCCTAGAGCTCCTCAGAACGCTGGCCTTCTTGGCTTCCTCAGAACGGTGGCTTTCTTGGCTTCTGCGGCTCTAGGACCGATGATTCACCAGAACGCGGTAAAACATGACTTCATACTTTACCTGCTCGGCACTCCACTTAGATTCAAAAGTAAAAGACATCATCCAAAACCTGAGAGGAATGCACCGCTTCCAGGTGTTCGATTATGCCTTTGTGGCAAAAGGAGTCAATGCCAGAGCTCCTCAGAACGTTGGCTTTCTTCGCTTCTGCAGCTGGACGAGTGCATGACGTTCCTTCTGGCCGGGCACGAGACGACGGCCGTCCTGCTGACGTGGACGGTCTACTTGCTGACGTCACACCCGGAATACGTTGAGAAAGCGCGCGCAGAGGTGAGTCAGCCGGACGTTCAATCTGGACTGTCTTGCTTTTCTGAACTCGGGTCGGTGTTCTGGACGGACGGCTCGTCTTTGTTTGTAGCCTTTCTCTTTTCTGATTGCAGTTTGTCGCTCCTTCCTAGTCTCTGCTGGCTGGGCAGAACTGAAAACTCGTCACTGCATCGATCCGAGTTTGTTCTCAGCCAAGCCGGTGCGAGACTTTCTGTATGCTTCTATACAACGCCTTCGTTAAGCTTAATTCTCGTCAAATCAATCCAAACAATGCTTCCAGATACTCCACGCCCTCACTGCTGGCAGGGCCCATTTCAGTCCGAGGACTCGCCTTGACGTAGGCTATCCGTAGGCCTTTAGTTCGCTGTTTGTAGCCTCGTCGACTAAGGCTACTCGTATACCCTCGAGCCCAAACCCTTCCAGTTCTGACCGTAGCCAATGTTCAAGTCTCTGCGCAATGCAGACACCGCACGTTTTGCGACATCTCATTTAGGACCTGCCCTGGCCCAAACTGCTGCCAGGCATCTTGTGCCATTGCAGGAGCCACAAAATCCTGAGACCCCGAAATCTCACGATTTGAAACAGCTAAACATGTCTCGTGCAGATAATTGACATTCTCCGAGCCAGACTCTCAACCTCCCAATCGAGGGCCGTCCCCGACTGAAGCGACTGCAAGCCAATTTGTATCAGTATAGAGTCTGCATATCCTTCAAAAAATCCGGGACTCAAAACCCCGATTTTGTTCCTGTGCCGTTAATCGACGTTCTCCCTGACAGGCCCGCCATTCCTCTCGAAGACCTTCTCCGACTCAAGGTGCTGCAAGGCGTCTGGTACATTTGCAAGGGCAGCACTACTTCAAAACTTCTGTAGCTCCTTGAACTGAGAATGTACCCTTCTCTTTGTGCAGATAAATGACGTTCTCGGAGGCAGGGCCGACATCTCGTTCGAAGACCTGCCCCGACTCAAGCTGCTGCAAGGGATCCTGTACGAGAGCCTGCGCCTCTACCCGCCGGTGCCGATGATGGGCCGGACAGTCGTTCGCGATACAGAGGTACGTACGCTCCACTAATTTCGGAACAATAAGCGGCATTTTAGGGTTTAGGGTTTCAGGGTTTTAGGGTTTTAGGGTTGTATAATAAGCTCGCCAGCCTGGGACGGGTGGGGTTAGCTTGGGGGCTAGGGTGGGTACGGGTGCGGAACAGGTAGATCGTCGTGTTAGGGTTTTAGTCCTAGCTGGAGCTTATTATACCAAGCTCTAATATCATGCCTAAATTCAGTCCGTCATACGCTCCAAGGCGACCTCGACAGCGGAGTCTGCGTGCTTCTGGTTGCCGACATATGGCGTCAGCTTTTTGCCCATGACAAATTTGAGCGAATCATTAAGTAAGTTGACCAGAAGACCAAGGTGCGGGGGGCAAAGATGACGAAAGCTGACGTGTCGTCTCGCCACGTGGCAGATCGCCGGGATCAGGCTGCAGAAGGGGACGGAGGTGACGATCGTAAGTTATCCCATGCACGTGAGGGAGGCCCTGTGGGGGAACGACGTGATGGAGTTTCGACCGGAGAGGTAAGCGTGTGGGGGCAGCTTTGTACAGCTGTTTGCGTCAAACTTGCGGTCGGATTCCGCAGTTTTCGAGCATGGTTCCTGATCTTGAGCCGTCCGATGCATTGCCCTTATTGATCGGACGGTCCAAGATCAGGAACCGTGCTTGGGGCACTCGAAATCCGATGGCAGGTTTGACGCAGAAAGCTGTAATTTGCCGCAGGGATTGTCATTCCAGCATCTGGTGCCTCTTGACGGCCTTTTGGAAGGAGAGTTAAGCGTTCGGGGCAGCAGATGAGTTGCCCAGAAGGGAATTGACTTGACGTGCCATTGCTTCCGAACCCCACCGTTCAGAAGGTGGTCCACGGATTAATCCGTCGGGATACTCTTCAGCGAATCGAACCGGCAAGAAAGTTATTAGGCAGCAGATTGATTAGACAACTAGGAACTGCAGTATAGATTCAGTTAGTTCGTTCCGTTCCGTTGCAGGTTTGCCAACGGTATCAGCGGCGCCGTGAAGCAGCCGGGCGCGTTCCTCCCTTTCTCCGCCGGTCCCCGGACGTGCATCGGGCAGGCAAGCTTCCCGCCCGTTGATATCATCTCCACGTATCAAACGGGCAGATTGTGCCTCGACAATCTGGTTGTGCAATTGAGTATCAAAAAGAAATAGCTGCATCGGCCCGTCCAAGAGTCGGGACTTTGTTTGGACGACATGCTTTCTTATTGAGGTCGATGTATCAATGAAAGGTCTTCGTTCAGCGCTGCAACGTGGACGCAAGCCACGTATCTCGTCTGCGAAGAACACGTGTCGCGTTGTCGAGCCTCCAAGCTGACTCCTATGGAATTTCCCGCCTGCAAGTCACGACTTTCCGAGAGCGAGCAAACCTCTTCAGAATGATTCTTTCAGCACCGTTACTCGCCTTCGTTGAAGAACCGTTCTATGGCGCAGCAAAGGCCGATCCGTATTGTCTTGGCATCACTACATGCTAGTCATCCAAACGATTTCGACGCCTCCTTAGACAATCCGCTCAACCACCAAAAATATTGGAGAGCTCAAGCACCACCTCTTCTGACATCTCCAGGAATGTTTCTTTTGCTCCTGCAGAACTTCGCCATGACGGAGGCGAAGATCGTGCTAGTCAAGCTCCTCCGTACCTTCTCCCTCAAGCTTGCCCCAGGCTATCGCCACTTCCCGGTCATGTACATCACTATGAAACCGAAACACGGGCTGCCCGTCGTACTCGAATCGCTTTTTAAATAAGCACATCCTAGTTCCTTACGGGTAGCCGATAATTGGCATGGGCTCTGGCATCGCGGCCGGACTCATTAGTCATGGGTGCCCTCCAACGAGATAGGGTCTGGTCAATGGAAAAGATCATCAACATTCCTCAGCAGGGCCTAGGACGCAGATTCCGCACACTTGGATCAGGTGCAGCCCACAGTTCGACCTCCATGCACATAAGAGCTAGTAGATTAGTACCCAATGTCAGATTCCATTCGAAGTCGGAGACTGCCATTGGATCAATTGCAGGGACACAACAAATCGTACATGTTCGTAAGGTTGAACGAGGCATCATTGCCTTAGAGGATAATCATCTACTAGAAAGTTCGCATTTACGATTGTGGAGTTGCGGGGTATTCATCCCCTAGCTGTCACTCTTACTTGACTAAATGGTTTCAGAAACTCTGGAACCACTGGCACGAACATGGTTCAATTTTGCGACACCCGGCCGCGGCCAGTGATCCCCGTTTCGAATTGCATGCAGGGGCCCAAATCTGGTGCGTCATGTTGGCAGCGACCAACTTACGGTACAGCAGCATTGTTTCAAGTTTGCAGACGTCACGGTACACTGAGCGGGCTAGTCAGCATATTTATGCATCCGTCATTCAACATAACGCATACCATGTTCGATTCTTGCGTTGTGCACAACACCCGTCTTCGAGGAAAGGCCGTCCCGCGGTCAATTTCGAAGTGAGAAAATTCTCTAAAGTTGAACATACCTCCGATCATTTAAGTAAGCGTACCGTTCATTAATTGCCGCGTGCTACTTTTCGCGGGCTGTGCGTCTGTCACTGCCGGAGCATGTCGCTGCGTCGTCATGCTAGACACTGACAGGCAATCACTAAATATGCGTGCATGGGGAGCCATGCAATCCCGGACTCAGTCTTCGAACAGCTCAGGATTTGGGAAGTCGATCATCAAGCTTGCGAGTCGAACAAAAATCTTTGCGGTAATTAGAAAAATAAGCAGCTCAACTTGCACAAAGCCTTCAAGCCAGAGGCAACTCTAACGATCCAAACGTCCAAGAAGGCGTGCCGGCCAGCGACTAAGTTGGCTTCTCTTCAGTCCGATGCAGCAAACTTAAGACTGCACCTATGCGATTGAAACCCGCGTATCATGGTGCTGGTCTCTTCCCGTAAATCAACACTAGTTAGTTGACGACTCTAGACGTAAGAGATACTTTATGGAATCTCAGTGGCTTTTGCATATGCTACAGTTAAGCGCTCTTAACTAAGGTCTCGTTAACCGTCCCTTAGCTTCGCTTAAGGCTGAGCGCTCTTGACCAAGGTCTGGTTAACCACCGGCGCGATCGACTTGGGATAGTTCCCGAGCGTGGTCGGGGCGCTCGAGCAGTTAAAGTACGCGTTCACGTTCGAGTCCGGGGCGCCCGCCAACACGCCCGGGGCGAAGTAGACCCGGGCAGGGTTACGAATCGGGTTACGGGCACCACCGATGAAAATCGTGGTGTCGTTGATCGGGTTATAGCAGCCAATACCCTGGTCATAGTTCGCCGGAGTGCAGATGTAAGCGTAACCGGCGTCGACGCTCCGGGAGGTGGTTAGCGCGTTGGGTTGGCCCGGCGGGTTTTGGTTACCCACGTCAACGTACTTGATGGTTTGCCCCGGGTCAGTGCAGTTGTCGCCGCATTTAATGACGAGGTTAAAGTCGATGATGGCCATCTTGGGGGAGTTGAGTATGGGGATCGCCATGATGAAGAAAGAGCCCTGCAGAATTAAGTTGGGGTTAAGTTCAGGTTGAGTTCATGGTACTACACCCTGAAGATTGTGGGGTCGAGGACTTCGGGTTTTGGGGCATTTCACCCCACATTCCAGTGAGCAACTCCAACGTAGGGAGTGCCAACAATAAATGACTGCCATGGAACAGGGGAATCACTCTTGCCTAACGAGTGCCAAGGAAAGCGGTAGATGCTTAATGAGCGGAAAATCTGACCGACGGAATAGAAACGTAAGGAAGGGTCTTGTTTGCTTGTCTTCGTATCATTCAGAAGATCCATCTCAAAATGCGTAGATGCAGTTTTTGAAATCCAGGTTCAAACAGCGAAGGGATGGGCGAGAGAAAGACAAGTTTTGAGCGTTTGCTCTGGGCTTTACCCTTCATTTGAAAAGTTCGATACCTTGGGAACAGCAAGCCGATAAGGAATGACCAACCCTCCAAAAGAAGCAGCCTTTCCAGAGGAAACGTTGAAATAGGAGAACAAGGCTGGAAGTTGAAACAAGGGTCACGTAGAGAGGGAGGCGGAGTTTGCACCAGTCAGCAACTCTTTGAGAGCAAAGCAGACGGAACGCTTTTGGGCTCACTTTCGGGTAGAAGGCCGGGGTGCCTTCGCCGGGGGTGTCATTCAGGGGGACCGAGAAGTAGAGGTCCTCTTGGCCGATGGGCGTAATCTGGACGATGTTCACAATCCGGTCCGGAGAGTCGATGACCGTCAAAAACTGCTCGTCAGGCGTAATTGCCAAGTGACCCTGTAAAAGAGAACAACATTATCAGGATTCGAAAGATTGTAGCTATCCAGAGGGAAAGACGAACTTTTGAGAAGTTGAAAAATTGCAGTAGCTAGCAGAGTTTTTATCTCTACGAAAAGCTCAAAACCCATTTCTGAAACGTACAGGATTTCGGGTCAAACCGAGGTGCTCTACGGGTGAGTTTTCGTTCAGTTCAGTTCCGAGTGGGAGAAGGCGCGGAGAAGGCAAGAGGCCGAGAAGGTCTCGTACAATTCTACGGAGATGGGCAGGGATTCAACAAGATGCAGAAGAGACTGGGTAAGACTGTTTCCATGATGGCCGCTGATTGCAAAAGACTTATGAAGTCAGCTCCTGCCGCAGAAGAGTTACAGATAGGCACTCAAATGGAGTCTGCTTTAAACGTCGGCGATGTTGCCGGGCAGAGCTAACCAACTGAAGCGGCGTATAAGATGAGATTAAAGGGTTTTCTTTGAGGCCAAAAGACCACAAGGGATCTTGACAAAACGGAAATCTGGACCGACCGACGAAACAAGATGGTATGTTTCTCAGAACTGGTCGAGAGACCCCAGAGGTTCTAACGAAACGGAGACTAGACCGACCGACGAGACAAGATGGGCTTGCTTTTCAACCCGTCGATCCCCGCGGGGTTACAATGAAACACGGAGGTGAACGAGACCGAGGGGAACGCGGCTTACATGGAACGGCAGCTGTGAGACCACGGTGTCGTTGTCGGTGTCAAGTTCGATGGCTCCCGGGTAGAACAGAGTGATGGACGCGTTTTTGGGGTCTTTCACGGCCGTGCACTCGAAATACGCGTGACGGTTGATCTGCGGGAAGGAACAAATCGCTATGTGAGACGTACGATATACGTATAATGGATCGGTATTGTTCCTTTCGTGGTCAGCTGTCAAGAAGCACGGATTATAACGCCCTCAATTTTGGGATCTGCTCTGGGCGCGAAAGGAGAGCAGAAGCATCAACGGTTGGTGCCTGAGCAGCCCGTCGAGTTGGAAAGGCTATCACCTGGGAAAGACATGGGTCGAATGAAAAACGCGTGATTTTGTGGGGGACGGTGCTGAGAAAAAGTGAGAAAAGACATTCGGTCGATCATAATTCGTATGCACAGCAAAATGTGGCAGGCGCCGCAACTTCTCTCCACAAAAGGAAATACGAGTCTTCGTGCTCCTCACTTCCTCCTCCGTATGTAGGACAGGAGCCAGAAGAAAGGCGCGATTCTTTTTAGGAGCTATATTTCCAAAAAGCACAACCGTGCAAGACGCGAGTCGCGGGTAATCATCACCAAGAAAGGGAAAGAGATGACATACTTGGGATCATCCTTTTGCAAATCAGGTAACGGAGTGGTTCCCAACGGATCTCGGGACCGCCTTCCCGGCAGATTCCATCACCGGGCACAGCCGAGGTGAGAATGAGTTCTAAAGTCTTTTTCGAAAACAGGCCGGGCAGCGAAACACCGGTCTCGTTGTAGCGGCGCAGCCCGGAACGAGACCATCTCATCACTGAGTGGAGTCGAACTCAAAACAAGTAGAAAAGGTCTTTACGTAGGAGTGAGCCAGGGAGTAACTCGCCGGGCAAGCCGTGACACCGCCGTCAGGAAGGGCCTATCCGGACGAACAGAATACCGGGCATAGTCGATAATAGAATCGAATAGAGTCACGTTGAGAACCCCGCTATCAAGATAGATCAAAGAGGTGCCCGAATTCCAAATGTCCTAGGAGCAGAGTTCTTTGCCTGAGAGTTCGTAAGGGACGGGGTTCCAGTGAACGTCGCGAGTAACGCCGCCCAGAAGGGACTGCCCAATAGATCTTGTTAACGCAGAGTCAAGCTGAGAACCCAATAAACCAACGACTCATATACCACAAACCCGTAAATCCAAAAGTCCAAAAAAAAACCCCACCTTAGAGTACGTAAGGGAGTGCGTTCCTGGGCATGTCGTGACGACGCCGCCGGGAAGGGTCTGCCCGGTGAAGTTCACGAAGGCCAGGGTCCCGTCGGTTCCCTGAGCGTCGAGATCCAAGATGTACGCGCCAGGCTCGTTCACATTCGACGAGTAGCCCTTGCTGTCGAGGTCTGCAACAGTGGTGTGAAAAACCTCGTCAAGCGGGGCTTTGTGGGGACCGGTTCCCCTTCGGCTGCCAGCAGAGTGCCCTTAGAGCCAAAGTAGTCGCTCGGGACAATTCTTGATATATAATCTGGTCCGTCGGATGGGAAAATTTCAGGACTCAGATGCGCGAGTGTTCCTGGGAATGTGACCCTTTTTGACGAGCAGGAAAGAGTGGTGTCGAAATAGCTGGAGTCTGCTATGGTGCATCATGTCAAAACAGAAGAGCGACGAAAACTTCTTAGATATCACCACCTGTACGAAGCACAGCTTGAGAATCATGACCTGAAAGGGAAATGTCACCATAATAGCTGCACTACTTCAACAAGAACGAAGGAAGAAAGACGAAGCGAACAACGAAGTCAGGCGAAGAACGAAGTCGACAGGTACTCACCATCGTCAAAGAGCAGCTTCCCGTGACCGCTGATGTTGACGTGAGCAATGACGTTCTCGTGCACTGCCGAGTAGTTGCGCGCGTCGATGACGTCGAAGTTGCCGGTGCCGTCGGAGTGGCTCCACACCTCGCCCTGCAAAGAAGTCAAAGTGACGTCAGACTCAGATATTTTGGCACTCGAAAGCGTTCAGAGTTTGGAAGACACTGTCTTGCCAAAATATCTTGAATAGAGGGACAAGTCCGAGGCGTGAATGTACGGGCAAACGTGAGAGTCACGTTGCCGAGTGAGATATAACGTAAGAGCAACCCTGCTTGTCAGAGGGGGTATTCGCAAGCGGAAAAAGCCGTTTCTTTTAGGTTGAATGTTGCTTCTCGTTCAACGGGTGATGAAGCCGTAGTGGCTTAAGTGGGAGTGGTGATGCAAGATGAGAGCAATCAGATTCTGCAAGGTCGGTTTGGCATCAGATAGCTTTTGTAAGTTTCGACCACAAGGCTCTGCAAAGTAGCGAAAGGATCATCAGAAAAAGCACGCTTCAGCAACAAACGGCTTGCTTTGATAAAATCTGCAAAACAAGTCGCTTCCAGGCCTGCACGATTCTACCTGGAGAAACCCCAGATGCAAATGCCTTAGGCAGGAGTAACTGCAGCTTGTTTCTTTTGATACCGCCACTGAAACGGACAGTGCGATCTGGAAGCTGACAGAAAGCTCGTTTCAATGGGTGATAACCATTATCGTGGAGGCTGACAGGAGAGTCAATCGAACTGACTGATTGTAGATGTTTCTAGAATCTTGACGACACCCAGGTAGACACAGCATGGGAAGGAATCTTTGTTAAAGCAGAAGGCAACATTGAGCTTTCAATCAGCGCCAACAGATCACCAACAAGCTACCCTCGATGCATGTTCACTGTAAAGGGCTTACAGTCAGTGCACTCAGCTCAGGGCTGCTTTCTACAGAGCCAATTCACACTCCACTCACCAGGAACGGCACATAGTAGGTGTGAACAGGCCGGGTCTCGACGGGGATTCTCTGCACCAGGGTCTGGGTCTTGGTGTCGATGACGTAAACGCCATCCTGTGGTCCAATGGTCGAGTTTCTGTAGTAGGATCCCGCGAAAAGATGGCCGTTGGCATACGCGGAGTCGGACCAAGAGCCAGCGAAGGGGGTGCCAGTGCAGTTGTTGGGGAAGGGCATTGTCGGGTTGGAAATGGACTTGACGATGGCACCCGCAATGGCGTCTACGACCACAATCTGCGCAGGGAAGGGAAGGGTTAAGACCAGAGGCGGGTTAAGACCAGAGGCGGGTTAGGACCAGAGGTGGATTAAGATCAGAGGCGGGTTGGGACCAGAGCTGCAGATTCTTGCACCAGAGGGGGGTACCATAATAGTTGGTGCTGAGACAGGGGTAAAGTTTGGGGAGTTGAGAGGGGGGTTCTACAGAGGCCTGGGAAGGGAAGTGTTGAGGAGAAAATGAATTCTATTTGGAGAGGCTGTAAGTGGATTGATAAAGCAGGCGGCTGAAGTGCCTCCTCGAGACTGTTGCTATCCAGTACCATCTGATGAACTCCCACTTGAACCAGACATCGCTGACTGTCTCAGCTAGCGTTGCCAATCAGGTGCATAGCTGGCGCTATCACTCCATCAGTTCTGGAATCTATTGAGAGTGCAACTGCCGCTTTGGGATGCAATGGCCTTCAATCAGAGTGGTGATGAGATACAAGATTCCCTGGTCACATCGGTCCTTTTCTAGCCTGTCAGGTAGCTCAAAGGTTATTGGCAACATATTAGAGCATCCAATCTCAAGTCAGACCTTTACATTGTGAATACCTCCAAATTGGAGGGTAAGCTTCTCATCAAACATTCGTGGTCAGGGCAAGCTCAGAGCCAAGTTCAGACCAGGCTAAGAACTGGGTCGCAGAGCAAAATCTTCTGTGAATCGAACGTAGGCAGAACAAAAGTGGATGTGGAATTTCAAGCAGGGCACCCCAACAAAAATATGTTTAGCTAAGATTGATACGTTCAGCAGCTGATCTATTGTCTGTGCGGAATGCCTCCGGATTCTTAGTCCGGCTGGCAACTGTGTTTCATTGCTCAGCCTGGCTGAATGTCTATGTGAATTGAATCCTGTTCAATTTTAGACTGCACAGAACTTGTCTCGAGTGCTTTAGCGAAACTCTTCAAGAAGGTTTTTCCACCAAGTGTACGAGCTATTATCAACCAAAGACTCTCGCCTCAAGAACTTTCACAGGTCTTCATCCATCTGATATAATGAGGGTGACTGATGTGAGACAAGTACTCCCTCATTAAGCTCACCTCTCCATCAGCAAAGACATAGAACAGGCCCTTCTTCCTGGTGGTGCTGACTGTGACTGACGTGGACTGTGCGTCTGCCAGCTGAGACGCCACCAAGAGGCAGCTCACCAGAGCGAGCACGATTGCAGCGCCCCGCGCCATAGCGCCAGCGACGTCGTCAGCTGTTTACAAAGGAGAGTTGTTGATAGCTCCGGAGGCAATAGGAATGAGTAAGACGACAGCTGCGGAAAGTCGTAACGGAGGTTCAATGAAGGTGGCTAGATCATAGTAGCTGCTGAGGCGACGAATGCTTGTGTATTTCTGAACCGAAGCGACCTAGAAGTTCGAAGTGAATGCACCCAGCTTGGCTGCAAATGCAGCACGAAGCGGAAGCGGTCTAGGTACATGTGCATAGGTATCGGCCAAGCGCAAAGTAAGTAGCGGTACCTGTGCACAGGCACGCTGCTGCATATGTGCACCAGGCGGTACCTGAATTTCTCACTAATTATTATGTACACATCGGAAAAAGGTACCGCCGGTTCCCTGATCAGAGTCCCCGGTGATAATCTCTACCGGTAAGATACAATCTGCTAGTCAATCTACTGGTACCCTGCTTCCCGGTACCAGCTATAGTCGGTTGTACTGGTAGTATGTACTTCCTTATTACCAGTAATACACTGTAGTACCGGTAGAGATCTTGTCCGAACCGAGGGTCCGAACTCCGAAAACGGACGCGCTATCCATTTCCAAGCGTCCGAATATGTACCTATGATCATTGATGGCCGATACGGTCGGTACCGGCCACGGGCATGTGCCTTCTCTATTGAACGGCCTCTGGTGTTGTAATTTGTGAGTCGGTGCATGTTGCCTACCCGAGTCTGTGTGCAGACTCTGACTCTGGAGTCTGCACCGGTCTGCAGAGTGAACAAAGCACACAGAAAATTTGTTCATTGAATTTGGAAGGTCCACAGTCCAGCTGAGTCCAGCTTCCAGCTGGAATTTGGAAAGCAAGGCATTGAAGTTTTCTCGCTTCTGCCAAGAAGCGAGAACTTTGCTGAATCCATGTCCTATCTGTGGAGTCTCGACTTCATGAGTGTACACTGCAGGTGAATGCAGGTAGGTGTGCATTTTCCTCGAACTCTGACGAGTGATGTCATAATCCCCTCCTCTTCCTGGGCTGGTCATATTGTGCGGCAGATGATCGCCAAGCTTCAAAGCTGGCGTAAGAGCTTCTGATATGCCTGTCGTCAAGAATGATTGTCCGAGTCAATGCTGTGGAAATACTAGCCCACATTCGCCTCCACAGAATATAAAGTATGCCCCTTCTCCACTTATATAGGGTCAATTTGACATCCAGGTTTAAAGGCAACTACCACCACAGCTGGCTGTCTGACGGCCTGGATTGTGGTTCAAGAGGTTAGCCTGGCATTGCACACTCTTCACAGCTCCTGTCAGCTCTCCAACGAGTTTCCTAACAGCCTTGTTAAGACAATACCGCCATTGAAGACTCTCCAGATTGAGCTGGTTAAAGATCCTCAAGGTACCAAGTAGAAGATGCTTGATACCTGGTTGAGCCTCCTCTCGTCCTCTCCTCTGCAGTTGGGAACGCCGCCCTGCCATATACTGCTGTCATCCCAGCCGATGACGTAAATTTGAAAACCCCTGATTACAATTGTAGTCTCTCTGTTTAAATAGAAGCTAGACATGGATAGAAGCAGCTGGCAATGCCGTCAGAACAAGCAGCTTGGCTGGCGGCCAGCGGGGCTCCTCATACTAGTTACTCTGAGCTCGCTTCTGAATCCAGCGACAGCTCAGTCTACACCTTGCGGCCCTTCTCTGAACTGTGTCAATGGGGCCTTGTGCAACGAAACGCCCGAGTCTGCAACGGGGGGCGTGGCTTACCTGTGCGCCTGCCTGAACGGGTTCTCGGGGCCGAACTGTGAAACGAAGGTTACAGCATCTGGTACAGGTGAGCGTCTTGGTTTGCAACCCAACTTAAGGTGGCCAACCTGGGCTTGATGCAGGTGCAATCTTGGTGGAGCCAGTCATACCACTCATGGCCACTTGATAAGAGAACAGAGCTTTAATGGTGTGAGCTTGTAGATAAGCAAAGCAAACAAGGTGGTACGGAACGTTTTCTACCAATAAATCTGCTGGATTGAACTTCTGAAATTAGTTGCCTTTCAGAGGGTTTCTCGTCAAGGAAGTTGGCAACTAAGCGAGGGTCACTCAGCATCTTCTACCGATAGGCACAGATTGGTTTATGCAACGCTTCACTAGATGCAGACAGGGTCCGTAAACTCTCTGCAATTTATGTTCAACACCACCAAGCCCAGCGCTCCTTTCTCCATGGCGCCCCTTATCTCCCTGTCCTGATGGGCGCTCGCTAATCGTCCTAGCGATCGCTTGATCGATTTTCAATGGCCTAAATCTTCCCTAAATCTTCTCTGAAGCAAAGTATAATTTCAAAGCTCCACAGTTTCTGAACGTACGTGTTTGGTAATGCTGGGCTGAGTATGATGACTCTTCAAGTACAAAGACCTGGCACTGTTGGCCGTTATGAGATGCAAAATTTCCTCGCTACCCAGTCTCATCCTTTTTCCACACACATCACCGCCCGGCTTTGCGAGCTTCTCCTCCGTGCCAGCGGTTCCGTTTACCTTTCCTCGTTTGCACGGCACATGCCAGAGTTAGCTTCTGGCTGAGAATGTCAGGCAAACCTTCGGCCCCTTTCTCTTTGCAGGGACATATGCCTCAGTGTTTGTCTCGGTTGCCCAGCACTAGCCTAGCATTTTGTTCTCATGTCTGGACTTCGCAATCTGCTGGCCGCCAAGTTTTATCATCCAGACGTGCGCGTTCGAATTCTCCGTCTTTCTAAGAAGGGACGATGACTTGGGACTTCGATTTTGATGATACAGGATCTACGACATGCGGACCAAATCTCTTGTGCTTAAACGGTGGGGTTTGCAACGAGACCCCCGGAGCAGAGGCAGGAGGGGGAGGGGCTTACTTGTGCGCCTGTCCGAACGGGTTCAACGGGCAAGACTGCGGGACTCCATGTGGGGGAGTGTCACAGGCACCCTGCAGTCCAGCTAGCACGGGTAAGCGTACTACGCAGCCTGTCGTTGGAAATTGCTATTACTGCTACCCTTGTCTGTGGAAGACATTTTTGAAATCGTCAACGGGGCCTCTGTAGCGGCTGATTTGGGGGTCTCCTTTCGGATCGATCTTTGCCAGCCTGAAATACATTGGACGCACGTCCTACCAAAACGCCTTCTCTTAGAAAATGATGAGGTTTTGCTACCCTAAAACCTAGAACGCCAGACTTTGTAGGAGAGGCATGTCCATCTTTCTGTTTACGAATCCGGGTCTTGCTAACCCGCACACTTTTGATAACCCGATTTTCGTCCTCGCAGCCAGCAGCAGTGGCCCCACCGCCGCGCCGCTTCCAACCACCTCCACACCGACCTCCGCGCCAGTAACCCCCTCCCCGGTTACCACTCAACCCGCCTCTAATCCAGTCGTTAACCCGGGGCCCGTTCCCACTGCCACGCAAGCCTGCGGCCCGAGCCTAGTTTGCCAGCACGGAGGGGTGTGTAACCAGACTCCTGGGGCGCAAGAAGGGGACACCGGATTCTGTGCGTGCCTGGATGGGTTCACGGGACTAGATTGCAGCGTCGACAGCACGGGTGAGAGTGCGGTCTTTTTGGGGGATACGTTAATATGGGGCGCGTAATCGAGGGTTTGCGTGATAGCCAAATCGTCGGTGGGAAATAGGACGTCCTACCTCGTTTGAACAACCTACTAGGCGGCTTGAACAGATACTCGTTTGAAGCGGAAGCGGACACTGCAGTCGCGAAATGTGTCAATGATTTGCTGGTTCATCAGCGGAGTCAACGACCCACACTTCTTGGGTCTACCTTTTCGACGCCGGGCCTCTGCTTAGGCTAAGATTCAAGAAGTTCGTTGTTGAGAAACTTCCTGAATGTTTCGTTACATAAGGTCAGCCTTCGAGCAGAGGCGACCCCCTTCCTTCCTCACCAGTTTTAAAACGCGCGTCTTTCTCCTTGTCGCACTTATGCCCTCCTCAACTTTTCCCTTTTCACCTTCCCGACTCCTTAGTTCTTTGTTCCGTCGAACGGGGCAACTCTCGTCTGATACTCAGAAAGAAATAACCGCACACACCAGCAAAGCCAGCATACTCTACTCCAAGTAATCCAGAGTCCAACTTGGTCTTGGCTTCAAAACCTGCAGGTCAGAACCGCGGGAGTACTACCACCCAGGCTACCAACGGCGTGGCGCCGGTTATCACACCAACTGCGACGTCGTCCATCCGCAGAGCAAGCAGCGGCGGTGGCGGGGTCAAGGTGAGCAAACCCGCTGCTTAAAAATGGGGTTAACGTGAATCAACTGGGGTTGTAATCCTAAAGTTCTGCGGCGTGGCGGGCCGACTGCGACGTCGTCGACGCCTGGAGCAAGCAGCGGCGGTGGCGGGGTCAAGGTGAGAGGAGAAGCTGGTTAGGAACTGAGTCAAGCTTAAACTGTTAAAAGGGGTCAAGGTGAGCATAACAGCCGGTCAAGGATTAGTTAGCGTGAACCGTTCCGGGGCCTAGATCTGACATCGCCAGTCGTGCGTCACTGCCCGTTGATAGAAGGGAGGAGCTCACAGCCTTGTGGGTATATCAAGCTCACTGCCACGTCTCAGAGCTCATTCAAAAAGTGATGGACCCTGGAGATCGTGTTATTGATGCACGTTCCGACAGGCTGGACAGTTTAGAACGGAGCTACCGAGTCCTTGTGTGCTGGCGCTTTGGGTCTTGGCGGCCACGAAGCAATGGCCGACTTGACTTGAAGTGATCCATCACATTTGCAGCTTGAGTAAGCCCAGATCTGACGCCCGGTCGAAGCATTTTGAGTCGCTCCGCGGACTGTGGAAAGTTGTTGCCAGAACTCTGGTGTGATAATGGCGAAATTCTCCTCTCCAGATGTGGATCATCGTGGTCGCCTCGTGGGCGTCGTGCTCGCGGGCGCATCTTTGCTTTTGAATGATCTCTTGAGTTCACTTTCACACAGCCCATCTGAAGCTTGCAAACCTTAAAAAGCTCGGAAAGCTTTGACATTCGGCGACTTCACTTCAGCTGCCAGTGGATCATCGAGGTCGCCGTTGTGGCCGGGCTCTCGGGAAACGTGAATACGGGCGCCCGTTTGCTTCTACTTTTTGCATTCAATTTCACACAGTCCACCTGAAATTGGACGATGTAAGGCTCAGGAGGTTTACAAACGGCGACCTCCCCACTCCATGTGTGTGTCATCGTGGTCGTTGTCGCGGCCGCGCTCTCGGGCGTCGTCCTCGTGGGCGCCGTTTTGCTCTTCCTTTGATTTTTGCGTGAAATTTCACACAGCTTACCTGAGCTTCGAACATATGAAAGCCCTGGAGGCTTCGACAAACGGCGACCTCCCCACTCGAGGTGTGGGTTGTCGTGGTCGCCGGCGCGGCCGCACTAGCGGGCGCTGCTCTCGTGGGCGTGGCTTTGCTCCTCGTGAGGTTTTACCGTCGATTTTCACACAAGACCTCTGACTTTGAGAATTACTAAGCCGTCAAAGCCTTGATTATCGGCGACCACTCCAATCCAGGTGTGGGTCATTGTGGTCGCCGTCGCCGCCGCGCTCGCGGGCGTCGTCCTCGTGGGCGTATTTTTGCTCTTCGTGAAGCTATAGCGCTTATCTTTACAAAGCCCCTCTGATAGTCGAGAATTGTAAAAGCCGGCAAAGCTTCGCTTATCGGCGTCCTCTTCACTCCAGGTGTGGGTCATCGTGGTCGCCGTCGTGGCCGCACTCGCTGGCGTCGTCCTCGTGGGCGCGGTTTTGCTCCTCGTGAGGCGGCGCCGGTCGGCCGGGGGCGCGCTCGCGTACCAACGGCGGGACAGCGCGCACGCGCAGATGTCGTCCCTCGAAAGGCGCGGGGACTTTGCGGCGGACGTTTGATGCGCGGGCAAAAGCAATTTGGTCGAAAAGTTCTGGCAGGGAGTTCCGGCGGCGCAAATTTTTGAGGACTATCTGCATAGTTGCTTTGATGAAGGAACACGCGGAGACTTGGAGCGGAAGGCTGAGACGCACGGCGTGAAGTGCATCGTTTGGCCGGGCTTTTTTCTTACGAGACTGGATCTGGAAAAGGAGTGCAGTCAACGATCCTGGACGCGAAGATGGGTAAAACGTAGAGGGGGATCAGCCGCTGTCAGGATCGTAAGCTGTAACGGACTTTGAATGGAGAGGGGGTTCCTTGCAGATAATCTCGGATGCAGAGTTGCCAAAATTTCAGAAATTCCAATTTTATGCTCGAGTCAGCGTCGGTGGAGAACCAGCTTATGATGCACCTGAAGAAGTAGCACACTAGGTAAGTGTAGAACGTATCCTATAGGCCTTAAAACTGCAGGCTTCTCTGTCAACGAAGCATGCACAACTCAACTTCGCACGCAGTCGATCTAGGTCTATGTCCTTGTGCTGTTGATGAGTCTAGTTGCATGTTCAAAGAATCAACCCAGCCAACACCGAGGATCGGGACGAAGCTTGTCATCCAATGTATATATATCACTCACCATGATTGGATGGGCTCGCAGCCATCATTTTATACGAATTATGTCTTAGTTTTATTGCGACCGTTCAGCCCGGGGTACATCTGAATCCGAGTTCGACCGACGGTCGAGTGACTGTGATCCGTTCATTAATTGCGTGCCGTAAGTTACAGATCCGTGGTCGGACACATATCGGATCACGGCCTATATACGAACCTAGACCGTCCATGGCCGGCCGGCCTGGCAGTGGCCTGGCACCTGACAGCCGGCGCGCATCGCGAATGTCGTTATAATCCAACATTAATGCATGACTACCGTATACTCCTGTGCACCAACGCCCCTGCATGCATGCATGCACATGTGGACGCTCATGACATACGTGCGTATTGTTGATCATGATTGTTCCATATGTAAGGCCAACGGGCCATTCTACTGTATTTGACGGCATACTCAAGCCGCCAGCGGGCCATCGCTTTGCAGATCTCCGGCCAATATCGTCTCACATTGATCGCCTGTGCTTGCAGCAGCGTATGCTGGCGGTCGCAAGATTCTGCAGCAGGGCGGCTTAATTACTTAGTAGCTCAAATATAAACGCATGGGCCAGGCAGATCAGACCAGCCTAATTCCCTCTGAGAATCTTAAGTTAAGTTTTCATTGTGCACCACGCATGTCGACCTAGCTCAACGCGACCCGCCTTGACTTGTACCTTGCTCGCTAAGATCCACTAAGAAATCGACGAACGGGCTGCAACAGGGCATAGGCCACGTACATCAGCCCACAACATCACGGACTGATCGAGACCAAACACGACGTACCAACAGAACCTTTTTACATGGCAACGGCAAATTAAATTGTCACCGTAGTTGACAGGACAATGAGCGCACAGCTTCGCATGACGTGAATGGACACAACTCAGAGACTAACCACTATTTGCACAATTGAGCTAGATCAACATGCCGCCCTTCGTACATCTTGATGAAAGGGTGCTCCTGCACAGCGGACAGGCGAAGCAATTTCAGGGACTGAGAAAATCAAGCATGTAGGCCTGGAGCGCCGGCATCCTCTGAGGGTCACAGACGCAGGAAGCAATTTTCTCCCAGAACCATTCTGTTTGGCAACGTGAGGGTGCCTGATGTGAAGACCGAAAACGAGCCTAGAGGAAACTCTTCACGAGGAGCCGCCTCAGCGGAAGGGCGATACATCCGACCGAAACAGATAGCTCCTTGGACCTCCGACCGATACAGACCTCTTCCTGAAGAGCACACGCACCAACTCTTTCGCCCGCCCAGAGACTCACAAACCTGCTCCCTTGTGCCGTTCTGTCCCCTCCCTCACATTCCCTTCCCTATCAAACACTGACTCGTTTACAGCATCCCCGACCGACTCTTCGGCTCCTCTAAAGACTTGGGTTCAACAGCACCAAATACCGTTCAATTCCAATCATGGAAATATAATCGTTTCCATCCAAGTCCGCAGCTGCTCTGGAGCACTCGACTCCGACAGCGGTAATCCTCGAAGTCGAAGAATTCAAACCGTGTTCTTTCAAACTCTCTGAAACAGAAACGCTCGTCATTTTCTCACCAGCAGCTGCGTGGCGCAATCGGTTTCGACATCGTCGAACCCTAAAGCTGAGAAGAAGTTCATGCTGTTTTCATGAAAACAAAAACCAACCAAAAGCGTCTTGCTCTCAGCAGCAGCTGCGTGGCGCGGTTCAATTTCGACAGGATGAAGTCGAGGCGCTTCATGCCCCGTGGACAAAAACTCAGAACACACTGGAAGAGTGCTTGTCTCTTTCTCACCAGCAGCCGCGTGGCGCTTCGGTTTCGACATCGTTGAAGTCTAAACTCTAAAGTCGGAACAGAACATGCTAACATCAATGAAAACTCAAACACACGGAAAAGCGCGCGACGGTCTCTCGCCAGCTACTGCGTGGCGCTTCGGTCGTCAATTATCGTCGCACCTAAAAGTTCAGCAAAGAAAATCAGGTGGTTTCCATGGGAACAAGAAGAACTAGAGGCGCGCGTCAATCTCTCACCAGCAGCTGCGTGGCGCTCGGGCGGTCCTGCGGCCGCTTCTTCAGGCACGCCGCGACGAAGTCGCAAAACTCGGGCGAGAACTGGTCGGGCGGCAGCACCGGGGCGGGGTTATGTACAATGAACGTGAGCAGGTCCCAGAAGCCCAGGTTGGGCGCCTGCGAGTACGGGAAGCTGCCGAGCGCGCACTCCACGATGCTGAGCCCCATGCTCCAGATGTCGGAGTCGACTCCGTACTGGCCCCCCTCAATCCGCTCCGGCTGCAGAACGGAACGGAAAAGCTGGGTGCTTATTCGCTCTTTCTGTACCTCAATGTCAATCTTGCCTCGTTGGGAGTCTTCTTTGTGGCCGGAACGAAACGGCGAACTTGGACACCGCTGTGCTGCTGCAACAGTAGAGGCTGATGTCAATGTGTGCCCTTCAGTGGTCAGGAGTTAGCTTCGAAGCATAGCGGAAAGTAGCGGGGGAAAGATGAGTCTGCGCAGGCTCTTGGATGTGCAGGCCCACGCCGCCCAGCGTCAAAGTCGACACAGTAAAATCCACCCTCTATTCGGTCCGGCTGTACAAAATCAGGAGATACTTGTTTTCCAGGGACAGAACATAGAAGTGAGAACAGAATAGCGAAGAAGGCCCAGTGCTCACTTTGACGAGATTGACTCCGTTGCTGCCGCCAAAATGTTCCGGCTAGGGATGACCGGAGAAAAGAGTCAGCCGACTCGATCGTCCATTGTTAGAGAAAGAAAGACAAGAAAGAAATGGAGAGAAAGACAAGGCGACGAAGAAAGAGGGATATCCGGTGGTCAGGCCACGATTTTGATGCACAGTCAAGGTCAAAAAATAAACCCGAAAGGCTAAGCTACGAAGCTCCACGCTCCGACGATCGCCGTCTAAAGCAAAACAAACAAGGACTGCAGTCTCTGAACCCTACACACAGCAACTCAGTAACTCACCGACATGTAGGTCACCGTCCCAACCCACGACCCGCATTTCGACATGGACGACCCCGCCTGGCTGCTCACACCGAAGTCGGCAATCTTGACGTCGCCCCGCCGGTTAAGCAGCAGATTCGCGGGCTTGATGTCCCGGTGCTTTATCCGCAGCTTGTGTAGATACTGCAGCCCCAACAGGATCTGCGTAGGAGACAGTTCGGGTTGCAGTGCTTCGAAGTCTGAAGTTCAGTTGGGATCTTCATCTTGCTTCCAATTCAAATGCTTCGATTCAATGGTGAAAAATATCTCGACGCTTTGTGTGCAGCTTTGTACAAGGAAAGCAGCCGCAGTCCCTTTTTGAAATTCGGCGTTCGAAAATGAGGTTCAACAAAGGCAATCCAAGCAGATATGGGGTGGTAGAAGAATGACGAGTCTCTTTTTGGAAAACCTGGCACGACAATTTCAAACCATTGTAGGCCAAACTTCACAACAAAAATGCCTGTTCTTGATACCTCGAAGCATTTTTCTTCGGAGGCAATCCTCAGCCATCAGAAACTGACACCGGAACCCGCGTCCCCTGACCCACTTGTTTGCTGATGGCCCCCAGGAAGGGCTCCGGGATCTTGTTCACCGCCCGGAGCACATCCGAGAGGGATCCCCCGTCCATGTACTCAAGAACGATCTTGATGACCCCGTCGCTGTGGAATGCGCCGTAGCACTTGACGATGCTGGGGCACGATGAGCGGTGAAGAATCTTGAGCTCGTTCACAATCTGCTTGCGCACCTCCTCCTTCATGTTCAGTTGGACCGACTGCCAGGGAATAGAGAGGTAAGATAGTTTGAAAATTAGAAAATGAAAAACAGAACAATAAGATATCAGAATAGCAAGCTTTCAGAAATGCAGGATGACAAAACGCCTCCTCCTTCACGTTCAGTTGGACGACTAAGGGAATAGAGAGGATAAGATCGTACAAATACAAAGGGAAAACGTAAGAAAAGAAGGCAGTATCAGAATAGCATCCTTTCAAAAACGCGGGAGAACGAAACGCCTCTCCTTCCTCTTCAGCTGAATCGACTGCACATAGAACACAGAGGATGAGATAGTAGAGAAAACGAAAGGAAACACGAAAATAAGAACATGATACTAAAAAAGCGAAGCTTGCAGAAACGAGGGAGAACGAAATGCCTCCTCCTTCACGTTCAGCTGAATCGACTGCACGAAGGACACATAGGATAAGATAGTAAAAGAATATGAAGGAAAGACGAAAATTAAGATCACGACATTAGAATAGGGAAGCTTTCAGAAACGAAGGAAAACGAAACGCCTCCTCCTTCACGTTCAGTTGAATCGACTGCACGAAGGACGCATAGGATAAGATAGTAAAGTTCTAAAAAGGAGAATTTGGCAGGCAATGCTAGGATAGCAAGGCTTTCACTAACGCGGGATGACAAAACGCCTCCCTCCTCAATGGCTAAAGACCTGGGTTTCAAAACTGCCAAATCTTGGAACAAGTCTGAAGATTGTAATACTAGAAAAGCACGATCCGCTCACCTTCAACGCAAAAATCTTGTTAGTGCGGCGGTGTCGAGACTTTTCAACCTTGCCGCTGCTCCCCACCCCGACTACCTTGATCACCTCTAAGTCCGCCAGCGTGATGCTCTCGTGCTCTTCAGGGCTTGGCTGCAGCAAGCATAGATTCTGCTTCAGTCAAAACACTTTCAATCTTGGCCTTCCACCTGGAACGGTTGTCCACTACTTTTCAGACGTTCCTTCAGGCAACTCGGACCTTCAAAGTTCAGGTATGGAACCCTTTTCAGAACGGACATCCACTTGTCGCTCGAAGCTAACAGGTCTAGAAACCCACCTCCTGCTCTTTGAAGCTATCAAACAAACCGTGGACTTTGCCAGCACGACCAACACGAAAAGCTTGGCAGGAAAAGAGGGGTTGGTTTGGAAGCTTAACAAGAAGGGAGTACGTAGCCAAATAATATTTTCTGTTGGCGACTTTTGAAGGGGGCATAGGGGCGAAACGTTTCAAATTCAGCACTGCGATCGTGCAATAGTGCAATTGCGTTGCTCCAAGTTTGCTGCTTGCCAGAGGGACGAAGATTTCAATGGAGAGGCTTGGTTCAAATCATTCTCGCCCTCTTCCACCTTCTTAGTAACACTACCTCTTGAGAGCAAGCATCAAACTAAAGATAGAACTACCATGTAAACCCCGGTGCCAAGCAGACTAAAGTACATCTTCTGTGCCGCAAGTAGTCTCCTCATGCACTTGTCAGGAAACAAGCAGCCTTTCTGGATACCCTAAAGCTTGGACCCCGGTTGTAGAAGAGCTAACGCAGAGCTTTCTCAAATGCTGAATTGACCAGCAACTGGCCGGCACATTCTTAGAAAAAGGCTTGGAAGATCACTTTCATAAGCAGCCTCACCCTGTTTGACACCATCGGAGCTTCCGCGTCTTCCGGAGGTGGGGGCAATGAGTAAGGCCTGCAAAGAAATATGCGGCTGTTATCGTGCATTTGTGGTCTCTTCAGATCCCCTTCCTTTTTTCCAAGTGTAGGGCCTGAAAGTGCACTTCTCTTAAATGCAGCAAGTCAATGATGGGGCTCTACGCCACCACAAGCAAAAAGGTGGTGCTTTTCCAAACCGGGATGGATGATTCAAGGGCAACCTGTACAGCCAGCCTTCTTCATATTCATCTTCAAGAATACAGTATCGCCAAGGGAATTCACCAAAAAATAACTATTTTGGGGTCGGTGTGAAAATTTGGAAACTAAATTGGGACCTGAGGTGAAAAAGCGAAATAAGGAAAATAATAAAGAATGGCCCTTTTCTGCTGATTTGCCTGGCAAAAAATCAAGACTCCGATGTGTGCGAAATGTAAAGTAAATATGCGAATCGCAAGGTGAAGTCTGACAACGTTCATAACTAATTATTCACACAAAAAGGTGGTGGATTCCCTTGGCGGTACGGTACTGCAACCAGACAAGCCTCGCTTATGCTTCAGATCACCAGACAACCTTGGCATATTAACATTCAGGTGCTCTCAAGCTCTTGACTGAGTGTTCTGCTTCTGTACCACTGTCAAAGATGCACAATTGAAAAACATCAGAGATGTGACCCTGCACAGATGATTTCTACTGCTCTTCCCCCTCACCTCTCAGGAGCAGCGAAAGCACCACCTGGCCGCCCGGCCGCACCGAGAGGGCCGCTGTCCCTCTGAATTGTGAGCCCCGTCTTGCTGATTGTCAGATCACCTTCCTTGAAAGTTCCACTTTCGCTCCTGGGGCAGCACAATGCAGGACTCTTCAGCAACTTCCCTTGCAAAGATATGGTTTGCATTCCCAGTAGGGGAAACACCAGCACAGAAAGCAAAACAGTGTCCTTGCAAGAGGTGGAAGTTTTGTTGCAAGAAGTGGGGGCGCAATGCAGCAGGTATGACGAGAGAGTTGGGAATTGCATGGCAAGCCGTGCCGGTTTGTCCATGGGGTCTGATGACTCTGTGATCAAACCAGTACACTTCTGTCGCTAGTACAAACCGCAATTTTTGAGGAAAGCCTATTTCAGCTTAGGCGCACAGGCAACCCCAGACAGGAACAATCCTAGCAATTCCAACCCTTACACCACCCCTGATCCACCCGCGGAAAGACGGCTGCATTCTTCATTCAACCATGCAACCGTGTGTCTTTTCAAAATTATCCACCATTCATCACCCGAAAGCGAGAGACACTCTCTAAGCAACTCACAGGGAAAACTCCTTCTTTTGCTGTGGCTGCTGCATGTCACCGTTGAGGTTGCCAAGCCCCCCTGTGATATTCAGTTTCCCAGGGGGTTTCTTTCTTGCAGACAGGGACGTCCCGGCCCGGCCATTCGTCACAGGGGGCCGCTGACTGAGGGCAGCGCTCCCCCCTGCAGCTGAAGTTCCAGTTGCAGGCAGTTGGAGGTTGCCGATAGGTGCACGCTTGAGAGTCCCCACCGTCTCAGTGGGGTGTTCGAGGCCATTGCCAGAGAACATTGCCCTTTCTTCACTGATGTTCCCCCCCTCTCCGCAACCCTGCTCACCACCCCCATACAAGCCAGAACCTAGTGTATCCCCCCTCGCTGGCACTTGCAGATTGAGGCCTCCCCGGGGAGCCCTCAGTCCTCTCTTTGGCGTGGAGCTCTTGTGCGCCTCATTCACACCTAAAGGCCGTGCTCCATTTACGCCCCGGAGAGCAGTGGGCGGCGTACCCGGCGCTTTGTCGGTGCTGCGCTCTCCTGGATGCGGCCCTGCGAGGTCAATGGCCCCCAATTTTGAGACCAGGGCACTGTGATCCTCCATTTTGCTGCCTCGGATGTCTTGTAGTCCGCTTCAAATGCTTCAAATTGAGCACGAAACACGACTGGAATTGCCTGCCAGAAACGCCCTCCCGACAAAGTCTTGCATGCTACCTTTCTACCGTCCAATGCCACACCATTTCATTTGAGAATGGGACTGCAAACTTCAAAGCTCCTGAAATTTGGGGAAGCGCCTTCGTAGCGCAAGAATCTGCTTCTCCTATTATTGTTGCAGCTTTCTCTTGGAATTCAACAGACGAAACAGCCGGTAGTTGATACCCCGTGCCGTCGGTGAGCTGCGTGCGCGGACTCCAGAGCCCCGGCACTATCCCCCGGCTACTTCTTAGTGTCCAGAGCGGCAAATGCATGTTTCCGTTTCCGTTTGCTTGCTTCGCACGTTGCGGACCTACCTACCTAGCTGTTTCATTAGACGGTAGCGGTTAGCTTAACCGTGGCTGAACTTGGCGGTAACAATCACGACCCGGGGTAATCAGGCCTTCCACCAAGCTGGGCCCAGTTCAAGTGGGTCAGAGTAAGTGCCAACCTGGGAACGGAGTGGCGCAACTGACCGGACTGCCGTGACCGGTCACCCTTTTCTCTCGGGCAGTTTCTGTGAATGGTCACGGTCTGAACTTAACCCTAACTGCGGACCTGGGTGAGTCCGTTTGGAATTTAGGGTTCCAGCCGAACTTCGGAAGGTACGGTATGCAGGGCAATGTAGCAAACCTCAGATGGCGCGCTACACAGAGGAGGCAATTGGAGTCAGGGAGCGTGCAATTCGTTGCAGTGAACTATGCGCCTCCTTTCAAACGCTTCACATTCCAAAGTTGCAACACGGTTCACAACTAGCTCAAGTATTGAGCTCCGCGCAGCTCGCTATGGGGCTTCCATAACTACCATGGAGGAGGTTGCCCGGTGGTTGCAGGTGGTAGTTTTCAGAGCTCTTGTCCACAATGTATGCATGTTTTAGGCTCCCTTGCAGGTTGATGTTGGGGAAGGCGTGCAAGTAAGTCCGGTTAGTTTAGGTCGATTAGAGGGTTGACGAGAATTTTGAGCAAAGAGGATTGATTGCAAAAATGGCTGAGATCGAAACAGAGGCCCCTCTCCAAGAGCCGCTGCTCTCTGGGGATCGCTCAGTAGCTATAGATTTTGAAGGGCCGGGCACGAGGTGGTCTCGTGATAAAAAGCCCCCCGGACTGGTGGTCACAGGAGATGAAGGCCCTTCTGGCGGTGCCGCAATGGTGTCTCCTCAGAGCCTAGCAGGTTTTCAGCAGGGAGGCTGGCTGTTGGCTGCTGTCTTGGTCTCGTTCTTGTACGCCATGTTTATGTTTGCGGGTAAGTTGAGTTGCAATTGCAAGCTCCCAGCGGAATCTTTGCTACACAATACTAAGCGCATATTCAGAGCCTTAAGTGAATGAGCTGATTGTGTAGTGAATTGTGTCTTTGGTTCACTGAAGGAGAACATCGGCTGAAACAAAGTGTGCTTTGAGCCTTAAGATTTCAAAGATTGATTGCCATTGTAATCTGTATGATAGGTGGTAAAAAAGAACCATGTTCCTCAGGTGCAGCATAGCTGCTCTTCTTTTAGGAGGGTGTTCTTTCTGTGTTTGCAGTCTGGAATACTGACAACTGGTGCGCTAGGTTCTTTAGTGGTGATTGGAAGTTAGAGGAGGGGCCTGTTTCTCATCCATGTTATTCTTTGTTTGCCCCGTATGCGGATTTTTGTCGAGGACTTCAACAATTGCAGGCCACAGACTCCCAAACGAGGAGCTTAAGAAGTGACTCCAAAGCAGTAAAAGTATCTCTTAGAGAAGATTCTGTTCAGACCTTCTTTACACATTGCAATCTTGGGTGGCTTGCAGGCATCTGTATGGTCAGAGGCAGCCCTTCTAATTATCCACCAAGCCAAGTGCCAGCTTTTGTGCTGGCCCAGCTAAAATAATCCCGCCTGCAACGTTAGTGTGCAGAACATTTGTCTTCTGCACCTTCCTCAAGAAGCTTGCTGTTGCAGCGTCCAAAGCTTTCTGGCGCATGTCTGCCCCACTTTCTGCAACTCCTGGTAAGACAAGTCTGTCCACGACTCCAGTCACAACGTCTCCCGCTTACTGATTTCCGTCATATCCTGCAGCAATCCTCTCCTCGGTGTACAGAAGAGGCGCATTTGTGCCCTGGCTGTTTGTGGGGGCGGCCACGTCTGCCATCATGAGCTCAGGCCTAGTGTTCACCGCCGCACTCCGGTTGCACCAGCAGCGGTTGGAGCATCATCAAGCTAACAGCCATAGGTAAAGTCCGTGCTGCTCTTCTTTCTGCACACTATTTATGGACAAGCGATTGCATGAAGTCAAATCGAAGAAACAAATAGCTTCTAAACAGCAAGGACACATCTTAATCCTGATAGTCTGCTGAAGAGAGAGATCCACAGGGTTTAGCAATGCTCTTTCTCGATTTGTTGTGGATTGGACAGTTTGCTGTACTTTGGTGATCTGAAAAGGCTTTGGGGCATCCCAAGCAACGTTCCTTGAAGTACTTGGTATACTGGCGTTGGACATCCCAAAGCTTCTTCGCTGCTTGAAAGTTGTGCTACTCTGATTGCCCGCTTGTAAAGACACGGACAGTATGTAGAAAAATGATATGCTGCGACCCCCACCTAGCTGCCAACGAAAGTACAACGTCATCCACTTCTTCTTTGAGTTCTATTCACGAGCAGCGGGGCCTGAAACATGACAGACTCTGAGATATACGGCGCGCCGACTGGCAAGGTCACGTGCACGTGACCACATCAATCTGAAGTCGACCACTGTCTTCACACGGCCCGGCTCCTACTTTCCGTGTCTTGGTCCCGGAACTAGAGGAATTCCGGGTCAATTCCTCTAGTAAATATAGATTACGAGACTTCTTCCCATATCCTCCTGCCTTAATCTGTCACAGTGATCCAGGACCAGAATGAACTTTGTAAATTTGGAATTCACAGAAGGATGTTGCACACGTTTACAATCACTGGGCCGCACTGGTTTCTGCCTTCCTCTTTCACTAAGGTCAAAACCTGTGTCATCGAACGATGCGAAGCATCATCATCTTTGTTGTCGTTTTAGAACAGACTCTGTGTGCATGCCGTGACCGCGGCATGCACCGCATGCCGCGGATTAGTATGGTCCCCCTGAGCACCGCATCAGACTCTCGGGGAATCAAGTTATCCGTTTCGCGACTCTCAGGGGCGTTTTGCCTTAACGTCAACTGTGTCTGACTCTCTTCCGAACTGAAGGCCAGAGTCTCTTCTTTCCGCCTGTAGGTATCGGCGGAGAAGGCATTCCCGCCGTTCGTTCCGCAGTGCGACGCCATCCCCCAAGGATTTACGGTTGGCTTCTCCGATGCCATCTAACCTGCCCTCTAATCTTGGCGTTAAGCCTAATTTGCCCCCTTCGAGCCCAAACCCTAGCGCTAACCCAGGCCCCCCAAACCGACTTCCCATCCGCTCCATCCTTTTCAAAGCCCTCCCCCATCTCGAGCAAGGCATGTCGGGTGCGTCCACGCCGGGGGGGGCCGAAACGCCTGGCAGAAGCACCCCCTCCCTCGAGTGGAACCTCGCGATCGGCGTCGACCCGAAGCAGGAGACTCCATCAGTGTCTCTCACGTCAGTCTTGTGTGCCACCGCCAGCCTGGCGGCGTCGGTAATTACTACTCTGACCGCATTTACACTGGCCGAGGCATCCGATGAGGGAACCGTCACCGAACCCTCCGTCTACCTAGGGGTTACGGGCCTGCTTCTCTTCGTCGTTTCCCTGGGGCTCATAGCTTATGCCGTCGTGCGGCGGGGGTCCTCTCCGGATGGGACATATGCCGTGCTGTGGTTGGTCGTCGATGCCCCCTCGCACTTCGCGCCGTCACGGCAGGGGACCAACGCACATCCCACTCCCAGGACACCGAAAACGCCCCGAGTCTTCACAACCGACTTGGAGTCCGTTATGCTAACCCCGTCGGAACGGAGCAGTAACCCCCGCCCAGCTTTGCACACACCCAGAACGCCCCGGATTCTGACCACCGACCTCGAAACCGCGGAGCTGAGCGCCTCGAAACTGAGCACATCACCGCAGGCACACCCCCCGGGAACGAGATCCCCCCCCGTTTCGCCCAAAGCCCTGGAACGTGCAGTAGCCCGCATTTTGCGCGGGACCGTCAAAACGAACATCGTGGTCGCTCTAGGGGGACTGTATCTGAACCTCCCCCTCGCGATCATCCCCATTGTCGCGAGCATGTTCGTGATCGGCCCGCAGCGCGTGGTGGTGTCCGATCAACGGCCGCTGGTTTACGGCATCCTATTCCCGCTGCTGTTCCTCGTGTCGGCGCTCGACTTCGCGACGTTCTTCTTCTTCGTGCCGCGCTCGATCTCGGCCACGTGGCTGGCACTCAAGCATCCGCGGATCGCGAGCAGCCACGTGCGCAGCGGACGGGGCGCGATGATGCTCTCGTCGGTAGTACTGTTCGTCCCGTTTGTGGAGTTTTACTTTTGCCTCGCCTGCGTAACCGTGTACCTGTCAGCGGAAGGCGGTAGCGTCGGGTTCGGGGACCTTGTTCTGACGCCGTGGCAGTGCTTCGAGATCTTCTCGGTGGGGCTGCTTGTAATAATACTGACGTCACTTGTGTGCATTGTCAGCCTGAAAGTGCGGCTCTCTCAGTGGATAGAGCCGCACAAACTGTCGAGTAGGACGACCAAAGGGGTAGTGTACGCGTCACTCCTAGTCTTCGTCGTTGTCGGACTTGTTACGTCTTTGTTTCAGTCTTTGCTAGCCCGGAGCCTGTGTTTGATTGCGCTTGTAGCGTTTGTACCAATATTTTGGTCACGTAGACAAGCTGAACAAGCAAGAATTTAATCGATTAGATTGCCCTAGCTCTTTCGTAGGAACGTTTGAGTCAAACTTGAGGGGCCTGCGCTTATCGCAGCTGAGGCGAGATGAGGTGAAAGGTCCATACATGAAAAGACTTTAATTGCTGGACTTTGCATATGTAGGCATGTGTTTGCCTGATAGGCTCTGCGACTGCTTTTGGTACGGTCAGGTATGTTAACCCCCTAGACATTGCCCATGTTAATATAAGCCACACATTTATGAAAGTCGCTCACTTTATTGATACAACTGGTTTCAAGTCATCCACTGATACATATACTTCAGGTGTAGGTCAAATATAAAATATCAAATCCTTTTGATTGATGCGAACCAAGATCGACGCTAACCAATACATCCAATGAGTCCGGTTGGTCCAATTTAGCCCGCAGACTTTCACGTGCGTCATGGTCTCAAATTTGTTGCTATTTGAACAGTTTATATGCATGGCAGGTGCATGCATACTTGGCCGACAATCGCATCATATATGGGCCTCACTAACATATGCCATGCATGCACTGAACAATGGCCTGGTTATATATCAGCGCTGACGATGCACCATGGCCATCGTAAATCTTGGCACTTTTTGTCTTCATGGATACATGATTTACTGCGTGCATGCCTCAGGTGTTTCTGACACAACGTGTTTACTGTGATCTGTGACACTATTTCACACTAAATGTATTGCATATCAACATGTTGGGCATGCTTTCTGTTACATGAATTCTGATAACATCAATTTGAAGCTCGGCCCGGTACAGCATGGCCGGATAGCGCCGGGCCGGCATTATAAAAGTCGAGCCGCTTATATGCGGTTAGTTACATATGGCTCGAGTTACCCTGACTCCGCAACTAGCACGCATATATTGAACAGTTCTGTCTTAACCTCTGGGTTATGTCAACGTCAGGATTTCCTGGGATCACACGTACGTTATGCCTATACACAAGCCCGGCCGCGCGGCCGATTTAAGGTCTGGCCCCCGCCTGGCCTGAGGTGTATCTGCAATCCCTCCATTGCATGCATTCCGCGTTAAGACCATGAGAGCTTGCAACGTCGGCCACCGTCAGAGTCACTCCGACGCCGCACCACGCGAAACGCAGTCGGCTGTCAGCCTAAGGGACGGGAGCCCATGGAGAACATGGACCATATACTCCCGGCGAGCTCCTAGGTACCCCCCTCGACTCCATTAATTGAACCCCTTTCGGAGCGACAGTCAAACTTGAAAGATTTATTCGAGATCAACACTGTATAGACCGTCAATCCTAGAGGGTCACGTTTAGTCAGAACGCCGGGTCTCTCAGATCAACTCGGTGAATCCATGTTCTCTGTCCTCGAATCCGTTCTTCCAGTGCACCGGTTCCGACCAGAATTGACGCTTGACCGCATATACGCATACATTTAGCTGGCCGGCGTCCGCCCAGGGTACAGATTACGCTAGATGATTGTGCATTCAACCGCGCCCGTATTACGGCGCAGGGCCTGATGAATCATGCACTCAGTGCGGCAGGCCGCGCTGGCAAATCAGCATAACGCAAGTGAAAGGTGGACAACAGCCTGATCGGGACCCTCTTCAAGTTCGTTTCAATCTGGCACCATATGGAAAGAATTTGGACAAACGCAGTTTCAATTTGAAACCGAGGAACACGATCGACCCTGCGTTCTATCAACACGGTCTACAACCAACTTGTGAAACCGAAATTGCACACCAAACTAGACCCTTTCGCTTCTAAGCCACGACGAGATTACCAACACGTTTCGAGTGGAGCTCGTCACAGACTTCAGAAAAAGGTGAGCCCGACGACCTGGTCAAGCTAACGGCTCTCCTGCTAATGGATAAATCAAACTACGAGCTAGTGTCTTGACTCAAAACCTACTCAACTCTCGTCAGTACGAACAAAAAACATAAGGACCCGTCTTATATCACGAAGGTTTTAAGGAACTGGACGCCTAGGTAGATCAGAGCCACGACCAAAGCTCCCTGGTACAAATCCCGCCTCTCGGAGTCGTCTTGTTGGAAAAACTGCACAAATGAGGGTATCCGTATTTTGCTTCAAAGAACTACGCACACGACTCTAGCTCTCTCCTGTTGTGTGACGTAACTTTTCCTTCTGTTTACGCCAAATGGGCTGACTGGTTTACGCCAAATGGGCTGACTGGCAAAGCATAATCAAAGACTAGGTCATCATGCTGCAATGAGCATGCTCTCCGGTATCCTCGTCGAAATCGTAAAACCTCAGAAGCAAGGAGGAAGCGCAATCTTCCTTCCCGTCATAAGAAGTGAGCGGATCAAACGGCAGTGAACTTCAACAGACATACAAGGTCCGCAAAAGACGCCAAACGGATCAAGAGACGGTGACCTTCATCAGGCATCAATGGGTCGCAAAACACGCGACCAAAATCAGCAAGATTTATGGCTTGAAACACACATACAAGGGCCGGGAATAACGCCATACAAGGCGAAGCACGCACCCGCCGCGGGTCCGTCGGGTCGACGTAGATTTGTGAGTCGTCTTCCGGTTGCACTTTCTTCAGCAGCTTGCTGGCGGCGCTCCCCGTGTCCTTCCCCGCCTCCACCGTACTGAACGCCAAACGGGACGCCATAAAGTAAGCCAGCGCCTGGGGGGGACACCCGCTGAGGTCCCACTCGTCGGTCTGCTGCGTTACCTGGAGTGGAGAAGTTTGGCTAGGGTCACGAACTGGGTTTGAGATGAACGGGACTACCAAAGAAGAGTCAAGGAAGCAAGAGAAAAGGCGGATAACGTAGGTCAGCGCCTCAAACTCGTAAAATCCCACTCGTCGGTCTCTGCGTCACCTGAAGGGAGGAAGGAAGACTGCAATCAGAGAAGACGTAAATGGAGACACACGAAAAGGAGACATACGAAGAGGGAAGAGGGGGAACGATAAGGACCGTCCTTATCGTGAAACAATCGAGAGCAGATTGAACGAAGAAGAAAGAACGCGAGGAAGACGAGATGCAAGAAAATCGGTGCAAGAGAGAGAGTCAGTGGCGCAAAGGAGCAGAGTGCTTTCATGTCGCGGCGATAATCAAGAGAGACAAGAGAAAAGTCGACGGAGGCTTGACCAGAAACCATAGATTGCACAACTAGCAGAAGCCTGCCTATATTTGCGTCAATGAAAGGTTACGGGGAACATAGTAGGAAGGTACCTTAGCCAAACAAGCATCTCTCCACGGTTCTTATTGTAATCAGTGTTTCACGGATCCGATCGACGACCAGACCGTAATCAAACGCGGCCCAACACATGAAACCCGCAGAACGGCCTCGCAAACATGCGCAACTCTGACTCCGTGTTGTCTCGGGCATTTCTAAGATGCTCCTATTGCTCTCTTTCTTAGATCGAGAGGAGCCCGCACTAAGCAAGTGCTTTTGCAAACAGATGACGAAGGCTTTTCAAACTTGCAAAGCCCTCCCTCCACAGGGTTCGCAGTACAATCGAAAATGGAAAACGAGCTCAGCCGAGCGCGATTTGAACAGTCTTCACGCACCTGGCCACTGATTTGGTTCAGCTCGAAGGTAGAAGTGATGCCCACAACGACGTCCCCCGGCAGCAGAGACGCGGGCGGCGTCCGCGGCTTCCCCCGGAAACTCCACTTGATGACGAGTGAACTCGTGCTGAGCATCTTCATTTCTTGTACGGCCTGTCCAAAAGCAAACGGTCGAGTGAGTCGATAATAGGTAATCAAGGCGATTCAGAAAGTAGACCGTCAATTTGGGGTTCCAGATAGAGAATCAAGGCAATTCAGAAAGTAGAGCGAGGAGTCGATCTGGGGTTTCCAGAGAAGGTACGAGTGTGGGTGGACTGAAGAAAGGAACGTTCCGGTTCTAGGTGCGGTTCGTAGCTGCCCAGCGCTTTCCACTCATCTTTCCAGGCATGCCACACTGACCTTCTAATTACAGAAAACAGTGCGGCTGGTTCCTCGAGAGGAACGACATGTCAGTTGTAAATGATTACTATGAAGAGTTGTAAATGATTACTATGAAGATCAATCCCACTAATTCCTTGTCGATTAGCCCAGGAGCTCAATCCCTGATTTCAGAAAGAGATCAGCGAAAGCCGTGGCTTCCATCCGAGACTCTGAGCCCGGTTTACTTTGGTGGTGGTTTGGGGTCTTCCTGTTCTGCACAGCAGCTTTCCTTTGAACCAGATCGCTCGACTTCGAACAACGAAGACTAAGGAGCCTGCACGTCAAACATTGCATGGGATATATTCCTGCCTTCAAGATTCACAGGAAGAGCTCAACTTCTGTGCAGTCTTCCGCACAACACTCCCTAAAAAGGTAATCTTTCCGTGCTTGGGACCCTTCTATACAAGTCCGACTCTATAATCGTGCCAGTATGGGATTCCGGCATCAGAGACCGGCTCCGCAAGAAAGTTTGCCGCGAAGGCGCACAAGATTCAAACTACACGGGAGCAGCGAGGCAAAAGAGAGCGCGTGAAGGGCAGACGCTCTACCCGCTAAAGCGCAAGTTCACGGGAAAGGGGCGCCTAGGACGTCAGACGGAGCTGGACACGATGAGTTCGGGTAGAGACAAAGTCGTGCACAACGTTTGCCGCAGGAGATATCGCGTGCTTACCACGACGGGGTCGTTCAAAGCGCTCCGGATGTATGTAAGCCGGCGGTACTTGGAGCGGCCCTTGAAGGACCGGAGCGGGTCCTGTTGCAGAAAGTGGAGCTGACGTCACAACACTGAAGGACTAGCTCTTCTTGAGGCTTCGCAACTACATGTTAGTAATAACGGAGCCAATGTGAATCTGAGCACGACCATAATGTGCTCTTCGCTGTATCTCCTCGTCTTCACCACAGTATGACAGAGCCCACAAAATTTTCAAGCACCCCAGACCTGCTCTTTCTCCAGAAATCTAATCGTCCGACGATCCAAAGTGACGTTCTTGAGGCGACCGAAAAATCAGTTTTTTCTGGACTTCTCATTCCGAGTATTGAAGGTAACGTACCCATCCTAGTCAATTCAATGCCTTAACACCCAACTCGAACACTACGAGATGACGTCAAATGTTACCAGACTTCAAGCAACCTATGGGGTATGCCAAATGAGGATCAAACAGGGCACAAACGGGATGAAATTTGGGTTGAAGGGCGCTCCAGGAAAGCCCTGGCAGGCTTTGACTTTGACTGACGAAGTCACCGTTAGCCGCAAGTACGGGATAGTTGGGGGCAAACGCGATTTTCCACACCCTAAAGTACTTGCGCCTGAGCACGAAATATAGACGATCGCGCGTTTTAAAGGTATTCTGACGAAAGGCGGCTACTTGAAAAGTTCCCCGCACATTGGTATGTACCCACACAATCAAAAGCAACCTTGGCCGCCCATTCTGCCATCTCCAACGCCAGCTTCTTTTCCGCATTCTGCCACTTAGCATCAACACGAGCATCACAGGGCTGCTCAGATGCCGGGTGGCAACCAGCACCCTGATTCCCCGCTTCATGACAGCAGCCTATCCAACTTGTCCATGTGGACTTGAGGAGAGGTTTTGTACTCCAAGGTGATGATTCCGGATAAATAAACAAATATTTGCTATTGGAATGTCAGATATTCAGATTCTCCATTCGGAAAGTGAAAATTCGGAAAGTTGAACTAATCTTGAAAAGGTCCTCGGAAGCCGTAAAACTGCCATACGCAGCCAAAAACTCCCCTTCCAAGTGAGACCATAGGGCATTCGGATTCTTGTCGGAATCAGCATAAATAAAATCCTCTTTCCTGGTCGGATTGTTGGAAACTAATTCAAAATAAAAGCGTTCGGAATCATCACGTTGGACTACGAGTATATTGAGTCCATGTTCTCAGAGAGTCTCAGTCTGATAAGTCCAGCTTACACCCTCTTTAAGTTCTCCTTACCATTGACCAACACTAGCACGGACTATAATGGGTTGCGGCTCCGAGTCTGTCTCCCTCCCTCCCTCTCTCTCTCTTTTCTCATCGCCAGAAAAACATTATTGAAAGGTGGTTGGACCTCACCTTATACTGCACGTCCTTTGCAAACACCCCCGTCGAGCGCGCACCCTCCTTGATCTCCAGGATATCTTTAACCAGCTGACGCGCTGTGTTTCGCACCTGCAAACAACAAGGTTGAATTCACAATAAGATTACGAACTCTAACAAGCAAAACAGGACAGCGGGTAGAGACCAACATTTTGAAACTTGCCATGATCTCTCGATTGTTGAGATGAGGCAATCAAACTTGCCCTACAGCTCTCCCTGGTTCACAGAAACACTACTTATCGATCAACACATGCCATGAGACGAAGACCCAAAAAACTAAAGCGGGGGGTTCCGGAGGGCAAACCAGCCCTCCCGATCTTTAAGGTGAAGAAGGGGACAGAACGTCACCCCAACACAATTCCTCTATGTCGATCTATGATGTGATGCGTTGGTGAGAGTCTCAAGATGCCGAGTGCCGTGTTGTGTTTACCGTCACAAAATTTTGCAGTTCCAACCTGTCAAAAGTGAACAGGGCTTTCAAAGCAATCATCATAAGGTGCTGTAGAGAAATCGTTCAAAGCAAGCTCATCAGTGTGGCGCACCTGCGGGCTGCTGTTGCACTCGAAGTCATTGCACAGCTCCGCAAACGTCATGCCCCGCAGCAGCGTGTCTGCACGGTCCTCCGCTTCCGACGGCCGTTCTGCGGTCGCCGTGGACTTGCGGTCGCCGTCCGAGGCGGACGCTCGGACACCAGTGTGAGCGCCTGTACAAAGAGTCCGAATCTATTGACTGCAATCTTAAAAAGGAAAGCTTTGGGGCTTTTGACATGATTCTTCTCATGGTGTTTGCAGCAATCCAATGCAGCTAAGCTGTCTGGGTTTGCCGCATCGTAAGCAGTTGGGGGGCGAGGGGCTCAAAGAAACGGGGACCTTCAAGGCAACTTCTTTCTTTTCGGAGTTCTGATCAATCGGTTGTGAGAGTACTTACAGCGAGTGTGCACAAAGTCTGAGAGAGCGAAACGCCCAAACAACGGAAGGGGTCCTCAGAACAGAGGCGTTAAGCTTTCTGCACCTGGCATTCTCAGGCTTTAGGAACGTCAACAGGAGGGCCATGGACCTAAGAGAATGGCCTTATGAGTGTAACTCAAGAATCCACTAATGGAAGCAGTCAACTCGGACTTCCATGGGATGTATTTGACATAGTCTGAGATGCAGCAGTCAAGGGGCAGCCCCTAGTAAAATCCTAAAACCCATGCTCCTACGCTTGAGGGTTTTTAGGGTTTGGAGGGGTCCAGGTTCCAGAAGCTCTCCATGTGGAAGCCTTTTCGCAACTAGGCTTCTGAACTTCAGGGCTTTCTAACCTGCTTGAAGTTACGCTGCGCTAATCGAAGCCACAACTCATAAGCCACAAGAAAAGAGGAGGGATACTTGGGGTGCATGGGAGCAGGGAGGTACCACTTGACCAGGGGCTTGGAACCCCGTCCAAGAAAATGCGTGTGACTACGTTCCAACGATGCACCCCAAAAACAAATCAGAACCTTCGATTTTCGAAAGCAAGATTGACCAGGACAGAGAGCATCTCAAGTAGCAAAAACTAGTCTTCTAAGTTCGTCTTCTACTGCAATACTTGCTTCCGAGTAACATTGAAACAACCATTCAGATCAGGGATTCCCATTGGCGGGCTTTAGTGGCGATCTCAGCCGGTTGGAGAGAAGGACCAGCCGGTGCCGAAGGCACCCTGCCGGCTCGCTTGCCGGCTTGCAGCCGGTAGAAACCATACCCCACCGGCTGAACCTTATACCACATGCATCGCACTTAGCTGTAAAATCCTCATTTTTCGCTTGTCGACGTTCCAAACAGCCCAAAATGGCTCTATCTGTGCCCAAAATTGGTATGGAGCGCCGAAATGCACTTGGGTTTCATGTAAGGGGCTTTATGGGGTACCGGGCCAGCACGATTGAGAGGATGCCGGCCGCCGGCTTGAAGGCCGTGAGGAACTTCTGGCCGGTAGAAGGCACCGGCTCAATGACTGGCTGCCAAAAAATCTATGGGAAACCCTGATTCAGATAGCTTCAGACTGCTCTAAAAGTACAAGTCAAGAAGTGACAAGCTGTTTCGCATGGACAAACAAAAGGTGAATTAAGGGGCAGTAAGGACCAGAACCTTGAAACGAACCGAAACTTAAGGGCCACGAGCGCGGCAGGAATGGCTTTAAGGGACTGTCAATAAGGAGCGCTCGCAAAGAACGCTGTGCCAGAAACCTTTGGGACAGTGCCGTGGTTGCGTTTTGAACCCTTTGAGCAATGCTGTGGTTATGCTTCGAGGAGACTTAGGGGACACAGAGAAAATATATTTGCCTCTGCTCAAAAAGGCCCTCAAATCTGGAAACTCTTTACAAAGTTAGAAATGAAAAGTGCCTAACTACACTGTAGCAGCATTGCTTCGAGATCCTAAGTACATCTCATACTTATCAAAAAGTGAGTAACACAACCAGTTGGCAAACCCCAAACCTGCAGGACTTGGCCACATCCTAGCCCCAACACTAATTTTGGCCACTCGAAAGCGCAAACTTAAGATTGATGTATACATTCCTTACATTCCTTGATAGCTTCTACTTTAGGTGAGGGCCTATCTTAAGACCGTCGAAACCAACCCTAACACAGGTCCAGCCATGAAATAAGCGGAACAGGAAAATGCAAAAAGAAAAACTAACGAGCAACCTCCGCTCACCTTGTGAAGGCAAACCTTTCTTGCTTCTCCTCCCCTCTGAAAGCGCCGACCCCGCCCATCCTTTTCTCCCTACGGCACTAAGCACCACCTGTACAAACCTCCTAGCTTCCAGCCCCTTTAACTGGGACTTAGGTCCATGCCCCGGGACTGGCCGCTGCCAGCTGTCGCATTTGCACGAGCGCTGGGCAACTGGTGTCAGACAATGCTGCGCCAGGGATGCCTTACAAGCGGCTGTACCAGCTGACACCATGTTCCACACGGAGGGAGAACTGGATACCCGCAGCTCAACACCTGTCCCTGCAGAAGGTCGCTCTTCCCGCTCTGTATGCTAGCATATAATGCTGCGGCAGAGTGAGCAAAGCGCGTTTAGAACCCTCTTATTGTTCCTAAGTGGGGCGCCTGGATTCCTCTCTAGCTGCAGCAAGATCTGAATCCTACAACCTCAGGGCGTCTGGTGGAGGGCCCAGCATTGCATGATTTGCAGACTGCATGCGCCAGATATTCTGAGCATCAGGGGTTCGGAGGCACAATTGCCGTACGATGTGGATATCCAGAAGCATCGAGGGCCGAAGCCTGTCCACGGTGGCTTCTCTCGTTGACCTGTCGTGCGCACGCCGCAGCTCCTAATCGAACGCGCACGAGCTGCCCTAAAAAACCCCGAGGTTCGAACCCGCATAAGACCTTCACTCTTGCATGGACTTTTTCGGCCAGTGGTTGCACGTAGGTAGTCGCTTCAATTTTGCTACACGCTCATGGGTACCTGGAGCACTCAATCAAATGGTCGCATTGCCGTTGCATCAGCGGCAGTCTTCCTGTCGTGAGGATTTGAGCTGGACAGCTCATGCTCCTCAGTCGATCTGCTATTTGATTGGTGGCCGCCCAAGTTGACAAATGCAACTGACAAACTAGAGGTGAACCGTAAGGAAATCCAATATTGACTATACATAGTCCAGAAATGATTGACATTGACCTTCTAGGATTGGCGATAATATGGCTAGGCTGCATCTCTGCAGCAGTATCGTTGTCCAAGTTGACATACATTAGCATGCTGTAGGCACCGTCTTGATCATTGAGAGAAACTTCAAGGACTTGTGATGAAGCAGTGCAGTGCGCCGTAAGTCCACTATTCAATTTGCGAAGCTGCATACAAGATCGAACATCTTGACCGTCAAAGGTGCTCGGACTTGCGTTCAAATGGTAGTACATGCAACTCAACTTTTTCGCTCCAATCTCGCTGGGGCTACCAACACGCCTACCAAAGTCCTTCCAACAAGCAAGCATGCTGATCCTACAGCCGTGCTCTTTCAAGCAACGCCCGATTACTTCGGGGGCTTATAGTAGTGGGCGGGCACAAACGGCATCTTTGTGACGGTTCCCTCGTTGACCCTCCCGCGTACCTCCACCTTGATCTTAGTCCCAGCTTTGTGGTGGCCAGTTGCCACGTAACCCATGCCAATGTTTTGCTTCAGGTTCGGGCTGAAGCCTCCGCTTGAAACCTCACCGATGACCTCCCCATCGCTGCTCAGCATTTTACAGTGGTGCCGGGCGGGCGCGCCGGACGCGACGAACCCGACACGCCGCCTGGTGGGCCCGTCCTTGATCTGCTGCAGGATGGTCTGTTGCACGAGGAAACTTATATCAGACAGTGGCGCATTTATTGTTGAAAGGTGGTCCTAAGTCGATAGGTGATCAAAGCACGGGGACAAGAGGATCTTGTTCTTGGACAACCAATGAATACGAACGAATCTGACTTCCGGTTAAGCTTGGTCGCTCCAAAATCAGATAAGAAGGGCTTGCAAAGTTGGTGACAACTCTTCTAACAGCTGTTCGAGGCCTCCCAAAAGTGCAGGCTTGCAAATAAACCTCGATTTGTTGTTAATCGAACCGCTGTCTTTCTCCATACTAAGCAGCCTCAACCACGACAATCCGAATCTCACATGGTATCTTAGGGAATTCGAACGTTGATACCACTGCAATGACGAACAGCCATTCTACCTATAAGTGATACCAATCAACACTTTATCCAAATTATTGTGATGAGCCAGGACCGACATCATCATGACTTGACACCTCCTAGCCCTCAATCCCCCTCACCTCAGACCCCATGAAGCCCCCCTCGCTCCGCCGCCGCTTGCCCACAGTCCACGTCAGCCCCGCCTCAATAGGCGTCGTGTCCTCATCCAGATCGTTCCCGTAGAGGCACAGCCCGGCCTCGAGCCGCAGGCTGTCGCGCGCGCCCAGCCCCGTCAGCCGGATCTGGCTCTCCGCCTCCAGGATCGCGTTAGTGAGCGACACGGCAGCTTCGTTCGGAACGCTGATTTCGAAGCCGTCCTCGCCGGTGTACCTGCATCAACCAGAGGGTTGTTATTGTACAGCATGTTGAAAAGGTGACCGGACGGTTCAAAGCGATTATGTTGTAAGATATACAAAGTCAAGTCTGGGCTTTTGTAGAGGCCGTCCTCGCCGGTGTATCTGTGAGGGTTTGCTGGTCTAGAGGTTTCATTGGAAGTTATTCAGGTGGACGCTTTGAGCCTGTTCGTTTCGGAAGATGAAATCATTCGAGTCTGCGATATAATTTTGAGGTCATCCTCATCGGGTCATTATGCCAGAAAAGTGGCGGTGGAAGGTTCAGGTCGGATACTTTCATCGACGCTTTTCTGCATACTAGATTGAAACCGAGATCTTGTCCAGAAGCCATCTTCTGCTGCGTATTCACGAGGTTTGAAAAAACAAACTCCGGCCTTAGGATTGCAGTCGAAGCACTGTATGGAGGTTTCGGGACACTTTGGGAGTCGTGGTTGCTTTTACGGGACAGGTGGCATTCCAAAGGCAGCCGCCGGTCTTGACACCATCGTCTTTCCAAGAGACTCCTCTTAGCCTCAGCATGAAGAGTAGAAGAGTCTTTCAAGTGGGGCCACCGCACGGCTTGGTGATTCGCCCACTCGGTACCATGTGCGAAGCAAAGCGAGCTCAGAGGCCGAAAAGTCAGCTCGAAAGTGGCAATATCTCGGAGGAAGAAGCCATCCCGCTGACGTATTCTCACCCCGTGCGCGTAAGGTAGCACTCAACGCCGTTGATCTTTAGCACGCCAAAGTCGCTGAAGTACATCTTGCTCAGGTCGACGCCTTTCATCAGCGACTGCACCGCAGGGGCGGCCAACGGGCCCTGTACTGCCAGCAGCGACTTCTCGTCGTGGATGTGGATCGAGACGTCCTTGCCAGCGGCCTGCAAGGAGAAACGATGTGGATTGGACGGGTTTCCGGTTCCACTTCGTGACGGTCTTCCACATGATTCTATTTGCACTTATGTGAAAGTAGCACTGGTCTCTGGTCGGGAAAAACGACGTGAAGATGGGGATAGAAGTGTCTATAAAAAGGTCGTTTGTGGAGGTGACGGGGGTATTGGGAAGATGGATCAAGGCGTCGGTTCAAGTCGCCCGCACGGTGCAGAAGGTGCTTCTGACCAAGGTTGAAACGAGTACGAGTCCCACTCACAATAAACATTTTCAACAGAAGTGCAATGCTTATTGACAACTTGATTAAACGGACCGTTGAGCCGTCAAGGCGATTTGACACCTCTTTCTGAGTGGCTTGCGAGGGAGGAAAAAGATGGTTCCGGATGTTCCTATAAATTCTGGGAATGTCCTAGCCTTCGTCCGACGGGTCGGTTCTGTATTTTGTACTTTGGAAACCAGCCTGACTGGAAGAACGTATGAAGGTGGTGGTATGAAGAGCACATCGCTGCTAAAACAGAGCGATTGGATCTGTGCCAGCAGTCTGCAATTCCGTTTCGATGTAACCAAACTATCTTGTCAGCACATGCTTCTGCACCAACTTTTTCATTTGCCCCAAGACTAGCTTCCTTGCAACCGATATTTATTGTTCGCTTCTCCATACCGACTTTTGTGGTCCCTAGTGAGAAACACAGATACTTTGAAGACCCTCCGGCGAGCACTTCACCAACAATTTTCCGAATACCAACCCAATATGGCCCCACATTCCTGGAGAAAGCAACAAGACCAAGACTGTCACGACATGAACGGACTACCCTTGCCAATGCAGACCGTCCCTCAGTAAATTCGCAGCTGGCGTTGATACTCAAGGAGGGCGCTTGCAAAGCCCCTGTTTGAATGCTCATCCTCGCACTACTGCTAATTCCCTCTGCTCAAAGTCATGCAAGTGTTTGCCTCGACCCTCACCTTCTCTTTAGCGAGGTGCCCCTCAATCCACTCGAGATCCTTGTCTCTGCATCCAGCATTCACAACCAGGTAGAGCCACTTGTCGTTGACCTGCACACAACCGGAGCTTATGAAGCGCGCATGATTTCAAAGATGGCCCTGCAGCTACGGGTGCATAGCCAAAGTGCAGCCGTAGTCTTTCCTCATGAAGTCATGGAGACACGCAATCAACTGCACAAGCAACGGTGCGACAAATCATAGCCGTTTCAGAACTTATCCTCCCATCTCAATCTGGATAGATTGGAAGAAAGTATGCATAATCAGGCAGAAGCAGTATGCAATGGAGGGCCGTTCTGGTCATAAGTATAGGATGCACCACGTTCTGGCATTGCAATCTTCTCAGTCAATTGTGGATAATGAGCCTGGAGTGCGAGTAGGGCTGCCAAAGGCCGTACTGCCTTCCGGCGAAAGTAACATGCTGATGCTATTGCACTCCGACTTCCAGCCACAACAACAATCGATACATTTCCGCACCTTCGTGACCACAGTGTCATCAATGATCCCGCCTTTCTCATTGGTGAACACGCTGAGCGAGCCGGAGTTGTCCTTAAGACCGGCAATGTCTCCAACCACCAGCTTCTCCAGGAACGGGATGGCGTCCTTCCCCTTTAGGCTGAGCCCGCACATGTGCGACACGTCAAAGAGGCTGCCGTTCTTGCGGCAGTTGATGGTCGAGTCCATGATGCTGTCCTTGTACTGGAAAGAGAATGAGGTGCATGATTGAAACGTTTGGAGAAAAAAATGATCAAAGGCTGGACTCCAGGTCCTTGGTTGCCCGTACTTACTTGTGCAACATTGTGTGAAGGGGATTGATGATTTCGGAGCTGAGAGCCTGAGCGAGGAGCCTACTGTACGGGACAGAGGAGCCTGACCAGTCGCCAATTGGGTGCAGGATGTGCACAATTCAGCACCTTCTAGTCGACACTGCTTAGCTAGGTTCCTCGGGTAAGTTGACGGCCATTCTGCTTCAAAATCTGTTGTCGGAAGTGCCTCTTAGTAAAATTTTACTGGAGCGAAACATGGAAGTTGAAGCAGCTGGACTGCCCAGCAGCTCAATGAAGTACGATCATCAATGAGTCTGACAACGGAACCTGGAGAATCAAATTGTTGTGTCCAGCGAGCTTATGGTTCCAGTTCCGCTGGTGGAATAACGCAAGAATTACAATGCCCCTAAGCTGCGCAAGCTCTGTCCTACATGAACTCGACAACAACAATGTAAAAAAGCGACTTATTGCATTGCTTGGTGCCATATTCAATGTAGCCAAACATATGCCAAAATGTATGAACATTCAAAACCCTTAATTAAAAGACATGTATGCAGAACAATGCTCAAAGACTTGCTGACCGCAATGACATACGAGCTTAAGTCCAACCGACTGGACCAAGGTCTGTCTTCGTCCCACCTTGATGTAAGAGAAGACAATCAGATCACATTCCGGCCACTTCGAGGCACATTGTAGCGAAATTTGGATACAACTCTAGGTCCATAATTTTTCTGTGAGTATGCAATTGAGTTGAAAGTAAAACCAATGTCCGTCATTCTGCTCTTTGGCTGTCAGCGCAGGCCAAAACAGAGAATGTGTTGCCGACAGACGGTGTACTGTACCTGGATTGGCATGCTGTAGCCTGCAAATGGGACCATCTTCGCCCCATGCTCCACATGCAGGTCATACAAGGGCGTCTTCTTCAGGCTGCTGTCATCAGCAAACCCCCTCTTCAGGACAGTGTTAGTGCATCCCGCGCAAGCAGGCAGCTTCTTTGCGGATGCATTGACTGACAGGCGGCAGAGCCCCTGCGCAACGTTGCGGAGCATGATGATACTTTCTGTGCTGATGCAATGCAAGAGTATGTCCACCTGTCTGTGCCTGTTTCAAGCGTCTTAAGGACCTCTGCTCAACCTTCCTCTTTATCCTTCAAGAACTCTCATATAGAATGCTAATCTCCCTGTGTCCCCCGCAGCACTCGGCTGGCACAATACACAAGCAACCCTGCTGGTCCCTAAAGTTCAAATGCGCCTTTTGAGCGCTCCTGCAAACCCTTCTTGCGCTGTGCTTTCTCCTGCAGGAAAGTGCGTTGCCTGCATTGGCAGCAGCATTGCAAAGCTTTGCAAATTGCAGCGCGAAATCTCAGCCACAAACTTGGTTACGTGTCTGCCAGCGTGGTTACGTGTCAAGCGGGCCAGAGTTTAGGCAACCTCGTAGCAAACCGGATACACAATTTGTAGCCATCCGATATATTGCAAGAGTAACATCGACGGTCGAGATGGGCTCTGAGATTGAACGGGGCAGGACAGCAACTGGATCGATGGAAAGTCGTAATTATTTGAGCGGACGAGCGCTAGATATAGCTAGAGAACGCATGAGTCATGTCAAGAGGAGTTAATATGCGCAGAGATCGCTGTGTTTTGCCGCTTGTGTGCATCTGTGCGCCAAGGCAGCTTATCCACCGTACCTCCTTTATCATTGGAGGTCACTGTAAACTGCTCACAAACTGGGGTACCAGGACGTTTATTCGTCGAACATACAAGCTGAGAATTGGGGGCGATGGCCTGATATCAATTGATGCAAATCGTTAAACCTTTGTATCACGAGCTGCTCAAATGTATAGGGTGATTCCTGACCGTCCTCGTCGGTTTTGAATCAAGAGATCAGAGTGGATCAAGTTTGCAATCGTGAGTGAGCCGACGAAGGTGAAACACATCTTCGTTTGTGAAGCAGCAGAATGCTGCCGCAGAAACGGAGACTTTATTTGCTCGTAGATCTCGCATGTGCCGATCTCCTTCGGCGTATTGAATGCCTTTCAACCCAAGTTGTTCGATACTACATTGAAGTAAGTTTCAGAGCTCGCTGCTAGTTGGTCGAATCAAAGACTGATGGTAATGAGCGAGCTCTACTAGAATCGAAATTTCAGTCTGACTCTTTTGCAGAATGTGTGTGTCTATTTTAAGCCGGCAGATCAGCCGGCACGCATCACTCACACGAGCTTCTATCCAGCCTCTACGAAGCAACTTCTAAAGCAACTAGTGCCGCCGTCAGTTAAAGAAGTCACTCGAGGAGACATTCAGGTTCGTCGTGTCGTTGCAAGCAACGGGGAAGTCGCCGTTCGCATTTGCCGTCAGTCTTGTCGCCCCCGAGTTGAGCTGCAAAGGGCTTGGAAGCCGGATAAGGTAGCCCCCCGGAGGACACGTGTCGGTGCTAACGTCAAGGGTCGCGCCCTGCCCCGTTGAGAGGGGGCTGTACGAAATGTTGCAGGAGCCGAAGTGGGTTTTCCAACCCTGTAAAGCAAAAGCATACGAGGTTTTCCGGTCAAAGGACTTTTCAAGAACTTTGGTGAATCAACAGATCGACAAGGGACTGCAAAGGCGCCGGTTGTTCTCCAGGCCGGCGTGCCGCAACCAAATAATCGTCGAAGGAATGTGAGACAAGATTAGCGCAGTTGACTTTCTTGTCTCGAAATTGAAATTAGAAGAGGAGTCCGATCGGACGAGTGAGAGGCAGGCTGAGTCACGGCTCAAGCAGAAGATGCTGCGGCGAGCTTACAGGTTTCCAACTCCCAGTTCATGCTAAGAGAATACGCCCTCAACGGACTGATTCATAAAGGATAAAGAGGGAAACAAGGACGTCAGCTGTGGCATGGTGCCGTGAGTATGACGTAAGAAGGTCATCACAAGAGAATGCGAAAGGAATGCGAGCCACGTCACCCCTGAAAACTCCCAGCGCCCGATATGCATTACGAGCCAAGGTGCATGGAGTCGAGATATGAAACCTCGTAGCAGCTGTCTGATCGATCCAGCTTTTCGCACCTGTATAAGGGCAGGACAGGGACCAAAAGAAAGGTCTTGGTAACGTACCACGAGCTTGATCTCGGTGAACTGGGTTAGCCATGTCCCGTTAACCCCGCCGAACACCACCAGCGAGTCGCCGTCTTCGAAGAGAAACGACTCGCGCAGCAGGTGCCAGAATTCGGCCAAGGACCACCCGTGAGGCGACGCGGTTTTGGGGTTCCAGTTGTGATAACCCACTTGGGCCCACTTGCCCGCGTCGCTCGCGCCGCCCTCGTCGGGGGTGAACCAACCCTGTGACAAACGAGTAACTTATTTTATTGCTTTTCTAGTTTGTCCTGAGTAAGCGGTTTTTTTTCTAGAAACAAGTTATGATAAACGCGCGTAGGCCCATTTGCCCCGGTTGCTTGCGGCCCCCGACGGGGGCGGTTGCTTACTCGATCCATTCTGGGCTGGATTGAGTTGACCCACTCGGGCGTACTCGTCCTGGTCGCTGGTTTGGCATTAGCTTAAAGAAACACAGCTCTACATGAATGGGTTACCGTTAAACGAGACCTGGCCTCGTCGGAGTCGAATGGTTCCACAGGCCCCTCGCGAATATTGCACTGCTCAATCCGGCCCTGACCGCTCGCGCGAACTCCGTTATGCATGAAATAACCCTGGGGAAGCGAATTTCCGGACTGATTCCGACTTAGTTAATTATTCCTTTGTAGTCTCAGGTTCACCATTTCAGCCAAGCCCAGCTTGCCTCTCGAGCGCCTCGTCACAAGTGAGCGCCCACTTCTCCAGAACGTCAAAGCACATCGCTGAACCGTTTTCCAGAAAAGAGGATGATCTTTGTCTCTATCCTAAAGTAGCCCAGTTGACCTTCCACGTCTGGCGCGCCGAATGTTTCAAGCGAGAGAGTCCTCCTCTTACTTGGAAGGCGCCGGGATTCGTCCGTTCAAAAGCTTTTCTTTCAGCTTCACCTTAGTGCAAGTGCCGGGCCTCACACTCTTCCGACGGCGTGCTGTTAAGAAACACGGACATTGCATCGACGGCCAGAACATGCAAGCAACGTCGACATCTGCGGAACAATAACAGCCCACAAACATTAAGCGAAGCTCACCGTCATCTTGGGATAAGCCAAGAACGAATCAATAGTCTGGTGGCCCAGTTGGCGACTCCCCGCCAGGAGTCCCTGGTGCGCGGTCGCCAGCGGGAAGTACAGCCACGTGTCAGGCATCTGGGGCCCCACGTTTCGGAATCCGGCGCTAACCGGGCCGCTGTTCAGAGGGTAGAGACGCGCAGGCCAAAGCGTGCAGTAGTAGAAGTAGCTGAACTTCGGGCTGAAGGTATAGTTGCTGTTGAGATACTTGGTGTAGAGCGTGTCGGAGAGCGAAGCGAACTCTTGGGCGTCTGCGGGGACGGCGGCCGCAGTTGCGAGGAGCGCGGCCGCGCGCAGGCCCGCCACGTCGAAGGCTGCACGTGAAAGGAGGCAGGGGGTAAGTTCAAATGCGAAATGCTTGAAAGCTCGAGACAGCGAGTGGATAGCGGAAAAAAGTTTTGGGCACCTGCGGGAACGGCGGCTGCGGCCGCAAGGAGCGCGGCCGCGTGCATGCCCACCACGTCGATGACTGTGCGGGGGAAAAAATAGGGGCCGAGAACGTAATGAGCTGTTTGAAAGCTTGAAGCGAATGGTTCACGAAGCACAATTTCGAGCGTCTGCGGGGACGCCGGCCGCAGTTGCGAGGAGCGCGGCCGCTCGCAGGCCCACGACGTGGAAGACTGTAGAGGGAAAAGGGGCTGATATCGATTCCGAAGCATTTGGAAGCTTGAAATGCGGACTTAATGGAGAGCGAAGCGCGCAGAACCGCCAGGTTGAAGGCTACAACGAGAAAAGAAAGGGGTTTGAGTTCGATCCTGGAAGTGTTCGAAAGCTCGTAAATGCGAACAGAGAGCGAAGCAAAGTGTTGGGCGTCTGCGTGGACGCTGGCGGCGGTCGCGAGGAGAGCGGCCGCGCGGAGGCCCGCCACGTCGAAAGCTGCACGGGGCAATAGAAGTGCTTTTGAGTTCGATCCTGTGTGCGTTCGAAAGCTCGAATCAGCGAATGGACAGCGAATAAATCTCTTGGGCGTCTGCGGGGACGGTGGCCGCGGTGGCCAGAAGCGCGGCCGCGCGCAGGCCCCCACGTCGAAGGTTGCACGGGGTAAAAAAAGGGTTTTGGATTCGATACTGAAAGCATTCGAAAGCTTCGAGCTGCGAACGAAGAGCGAAACGAACTGTTGGGCGTCGGCAGGAACGCTGGCGGCAGTTGCGAGGAGCGCGGCCGCGCGCAGGCCCCCCACGTCGAAGGCTGCACCGGGGAAAAGACAGGGGCTAAGAATAATCTTGAAGCGTTTGGAAGCTTGGAAATGCAAATGGAGAGCGAAGCCGCAGGCCCGCCACGTCGAAGTCTGAGCGGGGCAGAAGAAGGGGCTAAGTTCAGTGTCGAAGCTCTGAAAAGCTTGTGGATCGAAACAAAAGGCGAAGCGCTAATTGTTGGGCGTCCGCGGAGACGCTGGCGGCAGTCGCGAGGAGCGCGGCCGCGCGGAGTCCCGCAACGTCCAAGGCTGCGCGGGAGAATAGAAGGGGGTCAAGTTCATCAATCTCAAGTGGTTTGAAAGCTGGAAAGGGCTGAGCGTGACACAGAGAAGGAAGCCGTATGATCGCAGAAGACCGCGCGCGTAACCAATGCACTGATCAAAAACGGAGTGCAACTTCTGAAACTGCAGGCATGAAGCACAGGAGACCTGAATGGAGAAGATCCAGAAGTCGGCGCCTGTCTTTGTTCCCACAATCGTCTCCTTTTGCAGTCCTCATCTCTCGTGAAAGTTTGACCAGTGGATCGCTCCTTACAGAAATCTACAAATAGGAAGGAAAAGCAAAAGATTAAGCAGTTTGCGACTGAGGGCCTCAAATCTCATCCTCTTCCGAAACCTTACCATCTGAAAACTCCGGGTGATAGCCGTCAACTGTTCCGTAGCGCAGCGGTTGCGAGTCTGACGCCGGGCAAGCGGCGCCAAACGCCAGCGTGTTCATGCATACGGGATGCGTCCCCTGACCTCCCCGCACATAGGCTATGAGGTTGGCCAGCGCCTTGATGCTGGGGTATGCCTGCGGAAGGCAAAAAGCGGGCTTCACAAAACTTCAATGAATAGTTGGACGCGGCTCGCTAGTCTTCAGTACTCAGAATATGGTAATGCCTGAGCATGACAAGACAAAACTTTGTGGGTGCCTGCACTTCGAACAAGTTCCGCCATACCATGGGGTAGGTCTCATGTGCAGTGTTTGATTGCCACAGAGGCTGAGGCTTCCGAAGGCTGGCACTTAGTTTCTGGGTCCCAATCGAGAAAGGGATAACCCAACGCACTTGGGATCTTGGAACTTCAGTCATGGGGCTCCGTAATCGCTGAAGCCTTTGCAAACCTCCGGTCTTAGTCGTGAAAATCTGTCAGAGCGAGAGATCGTACCTCCTGCAGCCACGTGGCGTTCCGGAAGAGGAGCCACTGCTCCCCGGCCAGGTAGAGCAGCTCCCCCGGGTTGTCGGCCTCGGGATACACCCGTCCACTGCGCAAATAAAATATCAGCCACATCAGTCGTGATATGACGTATACGTTTACTGTCATTCTTCCTCTCCTTCTCTCGGCCCTACTTTTAGCAATTCAATTTCCACCACTCTTACTCGGTCGTGACATTGCTGCCCGGATTTTCTGACCCAATTTGCTTTTTCGTCCGGTCTTGGGTGATGCGCAGCTGCGCGTGCCTCCCTCTACTTACTGCGGTTCAGGCAGAGACGGAGCAATCCCCTTGGCTTCTTAAGAAGGTGAAAACTTTGACTATCAGGTAGGTCTTTAAGCTGGCGACGTGACTACGGTACTGCTAAAGGAGATTGTAACGAAGTGTGTTGGCCGCGAGAATCTGAACGCTGCTCAGGAATCATTAAAAGTTGCACACCCGTCCAGCATATAATTTACGCTCAGGATCCAGAGACTTTCCGCTTGCTCGAGCTTTCACTTGACCTGGTTGCTTCACTCTGCTGCATCCACAAGTAAAGGCTAACAAATCGCAAAGCGGTCAACGAACGATCCCCAATGCTGGTCGATAAGATGGAAGTCTTAGTTCTCCAAAGTCACCCGTCTCAAACCGGCACATTTTGGGGTGCCCACCTGAATGGATGCTGGAAAAAGGTCGCGAGGGCCGCGGCCGCGACCGCCTCCTGGCCGACGCGCTGGAGCATGCTGACGACATACATGCCGTCACGGTTGTACGCTGCATGAATAACGTTTATCAATGACCTCTGGCATTTTCGGAAAGTCTGTGTCAGATGTATAACGACGTCTGCACCCGCAATCCCGCTGACGCACTGGAGAATGCTGACGACATACATGACGTCACGGTTGTATGCCGCACGAGCAAGTGGGCTTTGATCACGTCACTGCACAAAGTGTGGTTTGCGTTCAGGGGTTTGGTGGCTCAGGTTCGAAATCCCGCAAAACGATGCCTTGAAAGCAGTCCTTATGACTTTTGACACCTGCTGTTGAGGACCAAAGGATTGATGTTATGCAGCGGAAAAAGTTCCTTCGTGAATCATCTTTTCAGGAAAGAAGTGGGCATTTGCACTTGCAAGCCGCCTCCTACCCAACGGCGCAGAAGATTGCACCGGCTTCTTTCGACGGCTCAAAGTCCGCCTCCTGTCAACTGCTTCATACGGGGAGTCGGAGTTCCGACGACGCATGCCTTCAGTACATCATTCGTAAGTATCTCCTTGGCTAACTGCGTCCCCTCGCGCTCCTGAAGGTGGTGTGAAACGGCCCTCACTGTTGTAGTTGATGACGGTGACGTCCGGCGTTCCTTTGTTGAAGAGCAGAGCGGCGTGGTTGATCATGGCCGTGTACGCCTTACCATACCTGCAAAAGGTAAGATGGGACTTGTACTCTCTGATTCCGAAGAGCTCGTCTCTGAACCGCTCGGAATCATGAGTCTTTTCGGAGCGCGCAGGGGAATCTGCGCGCTGAAGTCGAGAGCGCGGCTCAAACATGACAATCAGCTCTTGAATTCAATTCTTACTTGATACAAACGTCACGAAAGTCAGAAATTCATTCAGAAACCGCTCACCGGACGTCCGCAGCCGCGATCAAAGACGATCCGGACAGGAGCGCCGCACAATCCGCGCGCGCGCGCGCGAAGATGTCGCCGACGGTCACGCCCGCGAGGTCAGCCAAACCCACGTCGATTTGCAGTAACCCGTCCGAGGGCGAGCCCAGGACTGCGGTGTCGTTCCAGTAGTAGCCGCGCGGGTCCAAAATGGCCGTCCAATTGTGGCCGACGGCATACTTGCCGGCTAGGACGGGGGCGAGGACGTCAATAGATTGAGATGAACCCGCCTGGAAAGCAGAGGAAAATCACCAGTTCTCGTGCTTGAAAAGAAGTTTAGATCAGTCACGATTGTCCGCAGGCTTTCTGAATGGCCGTCAAGTTGTGTCCGTCGGCGTAGCGTCGGCCAAAACAGGGGGAAGGATGTCAATGGATTGAGATGCACCCGCCTGAAAAGCAGAGAAGAGTTACCACTTGCTATGCTTGGGGTGGAGACCGTTCAGATCAGTCACGATTGTCCGCAGCTTCCAAAATGGCCGTCCAGTTGTGTCCGACGGCATAGCGTCCGGCAAGAACAGGGGCGAAGACGTCTATAAAATCCGATGCGCCGGACTGGACAGTAGAGTAGACAGAGGGATCAGGATCGTTTAGATCGAGCATTCCTAGAATACACGCTCGACCATACATATTTGTAAGGCACAGGACAAACATCTGTTCAGAGAATCGTCCTCGCCAACATCAAATATCAGCCCACCATCTCAGAAACACGCAGTCCTCGGCCGAGGATCAACCAGACACCAAACTCACAAAACCGGTCTGTTGGAAGACAGACCGGTAGCGTGAGGTTTAATAGCAGAACCCATCACCGGAAAGCCCACGGTGCAGCAGCAGACTGCCCGGTAGGCACCCCCCCGGTCGCAGCAATCGTGTCATTCTTAAACACAAATCAAATGAAGATCTAGATTGCAATCGACCCACAACACCCCGCAGCTCGAGAAGTGCTCAGGCTTGGACCAGACAATACTAGGAGGCGCTTGTGAGACTGACCGGCAGCGTAAGCTTGAACAACAGGACTCTCGCACCGGTTCCCTCGGGGGCAGCGGCAGACTGCCCGGTAGGCACTCCCTTGGTCTCGCAAAACTTGTCGATGGCGAAACAAAGCCGCAAAACATGAAATTGTGCTTCTCATCGGAAACCACAACAACCCCGCAGCTCACGAAACGTATTGAGCCTTGGACTTGGAAACAACAGGCGGTTGGAAGACTGACCGGTAGCGTGAGCTTGAATCCCAGAGCCCCGGCACCGGTGCCCCCCGGTGCAGCGGCAGACTGCCCGGTAGGCACTCCCCCGGTCGCGGCAAATGTGTCCAGGTCGTCTTGGGCGGTGACCCCGGCCGCGGACGGGAGGTTGGGGCCCGAGGCGAGGAGTGCCACGTGGCCGTTCACGAGGAGGGCTGGGGAGACGTGGCAGCTTTTTCTGGGTGTCTACATTCTGGACTTTTGGACGAAGCAGATGGCAAAATCACAGGGTTTGATGCTTTGGATAAGCAGCAAAAGTTTCTAGTCATCTTGAGACTGGTTTTGTGTCACACGAGCGTCCGCGATTCGAAGAAACCCTCAAACCCCGGGCTGTCAACCGAAGGGTTTGCAGGGGTCTACGAAGTCTCGAGCTGCAACCCGAGCGCAAACTTAACTGTCTTCAGTTCTTAACCGGAACCGTCCTACGGCCTGTGCTCCGAGGTGTGACCAGGTCAAATCCAGGAAGCTCGCTCTGGCCTACCTGAGCCGTTTCCGCTGACGTCAATCTGCGTCACGGGCCCACCGGCCGGCCCGATTGGTCGCAGGGCCACGAAGATGGACGGGGAGACGGAAGCGTTGCCGGCGTTTGTGACGTTTACTTGAAGCCCGACAACGTACCTGGAAGAGAAGGCAGCGCGGCGTTTGAGCGAGATCGCTGCAGCTTCATCCGCACGAACGATATCGATGCAGCCGTGTCTATTGAAGAAGAAACGAGCAGGTCGAACAATGCATGGGTAAATAGGGAAGCTTTTCTGATCACCCGCCGTTCTTTACTGCACCTCGGATCTAAGATTATTGAATCTTCGCGAAAACCACAGTTTTCAGCCTTTCTGCAACGCGCTTCGACTCGTACAAGATAGTCGTTTCCGAAGAGCACATGCAACAGCTGAGCTTGTTGCAGACTCGGGTGCCTAGTGTAAGTTTGGCCCCAGTTCGCGCGAAATCTGGGGCAGTCACAGGTCCAAATGCAGCCGTTGGCGGCCCAATCTGTGCCATCAGCTTATGACTCAGAAACGAGCATATGTGCGACTTGACTGAACACCTCTAGCGGCATTCTTCGGAACAGTCATGCCGAGGTTTTGCCGGCAAATCGGTGCGTGGGACCCACCCCGTCTTTCCCGAGGAGTAGACTTGTTCCACTTGTGCAACGGTCGTCCGAATGTTGACACCAGAGCCAGCGCTCCACTGGGACCAGGGTAGAAGGCAGCCGGTGGTGTCAAGCCCGTAGTCCACCTTGACCTTGTCCATGGTGGGAGCGACGAGGCCTCCTGAAGTTCCGTCCAAAACGTTCTTAGATTGTCCAACAGCATACTTATATTGTCCAGTAGCGAACTATATCGTCCAATACCGTCGTCCCAAGGCGTAATTGGATCTGACAGCGTAGGTAGACTGTAAATCAGAAAGAGAAGGAGAAGATCAAGGGCAGGGCATGGAAAGTCGAAGGCAGACACATGCTGGATTAATCTGACCCTGATAACGAGCGCCACGACACACCCTGAAAACCTTGAGACTTGTACAAACGGAGACAAATTGAGATTGATTTGAAAATATTTTATGAAGTCTCAAATGAGTTTGACAACGGTCAGCCCTCACTCGACATCGCATTTCAAGTTCAGTCTCCCGATCAACCTACTCGCGCTTTCATGGGACCGAACTCGAACTCGAACTTTTCTGCGAGATCTCTACGCGCACAGAGTCTGTCTGGGATCCGACTGCCAGACCTGGACTAAGTATCCGAGGGCTTGTGTCTCACCTCCTGGAAGATACGCCCACACGGAGACGCCATAAGAGGCGAAGCCGGGGGAGAAGCCCCCCTCCGCTTCCACAAACGTCTTGAGAGTGTCGACAGTGTCGAAAACGCCAATGGGCACGTGCGTCACGCCCCGAGGATCGAACTGCGGGGCCAACGAGAAGACGGTAAGAGAGAAAGGCAATCTGAATGGAGACCGGGTGGGGTGCTCGGGAGAAGCGCGGATTTGGTCAACGAGCCGTTCGAAGGCTTGCAGCTTTCAGACTACTACTCAGAGTCCGGTCGGACTGGCCCGCTTGTGGGGGTCACCGACTCGTTGGACTCTGATCTGAACGAGCTTAAGCTCAAGAAACGAGCAAAGCAAGGACTTAATATATAAATTCTGCTATCTGACAAGTGTTTCTGAGAAGGGTGTCTCGCGTCCCGAGGGTTGGAAGACCAATTGCTTCTGATGGTGCGTGCTTGATCGGTGATTCCTTCGACAAGTCCCTACGGTGTAGAGTGGATTGGTTTCTGACCAGAAACTGCCAGTAGATAGTGATCCAGTAGATAGCGATCAACTTGAAGCATCACCAGCTGAGGGTAGACTCTCAGAGACTGTCCGATCAAGGCACGTGTCCTAAAAGCGAACACGTGGCACTCACCTGTGAACCTCTGGCTGGCCGCTGCGCTTCCGATCCTCTCAGACTGGTCATACAGAGCAGGATTGCAGCAACGCAGGCGATGTGGAAGCCTGCTCGCGGTTGCAAAAGGACTGCCAACCTTGCCATGGTTGGAGCGGGCAGCTTGCTTAATCTGTTCCTCACCTTTGAAGTACGCAGATTCGGGGGTTTTAGCGAGGAAAGAAACTCAAACATTGATTGATCAGCGCGCGAGATCTAGTTTCACGGTCAGAACACGAAACTCAGCTCATACAGCGGAAGAGAAAATGTCGAAGAAGAGGAGGGAAGACAGCATGGTCTGAAAGGCCGTTAGTCTAGCTGGAGATCTCCACTTGTGTAGTCCAACCAAGGTCCTTAAACTGGCACAGATTTTGAAAGGAATCAACAATCCGTCAGCATCTTAGACGGCCAGACGCTTCTGCTTCCTGCAGCATACAGGTTCTCCAAAAACTTTTAGAAAGGTTGCCATGCGCACTCCATCAGAGAAGGAAAAACTTGAGGTACTGCATTGCAATTTCAACGGGTCCTGGTATGCTTGACACCCGTCAGCATACCTGCACGAGATTGTCAGAAAAGCAAATGACGGGTTTCCACCCTAAAAGACTTGCAGTGCCTTTTTCGGGTCCAGATGAATTTTACGATCTGGACCTTCAAGAGACACCGGCTTTGTAACCAGCAGCTTCTCCTCTGCGAAGCGGCAAAGCACAGACAACTCCGCACGAGCAACCTTGCAAACAGGCTTCTGGCATAGTCAAAGTGGCTTGAAGACGTGGTCTCCTAAATTCAGCGTGGCTAGTGTTGCCATACTGGTGCAGTGCCGCGTAACAGACAGGGATGTGAACAGAGTTGGTGGCTGTCTAACATGCTATATGATTCAAGAGTTGCAACTTGCAGCCGAATCATCGGTCTCCACTTTGAAAGACTCAATGACATGTGAGCCTCGTCCAAACAAACTTCGTTCAAGATTTCGAAGTTCGTGTGGAGCTGATTTCCATGTTTCTATGAGCTCTTCAAGTTTGATATGCACTCAAAAGGCAGAGCTGGGACTAAGCTGACCAAATCGACCAAGATACAGTCGAAGTTCGTGACTTTCGAGGCTACGATCGACAATTCTTGTCACGTTGCAATAGAGGTACCGGTATGTCAAATGAACCGTATAACCTCAGCATTGCATACTGTGAGTACAAGTAACATGTACATCCAAAAATGACAGTCTAGAACTTTAGCCGAATAGTCAAACGAAGCTTACAGGTTACCTTGTAGTCGATTTTGCAGACGTACACTGCCTAGCAGTTCCAAAAGACTGCAGAAGTGCGGGCCTCAATTAAGGAGGAGGGCCGAAGGTATCCGTACTTAGACAGTCTACATCGAATTATTCGTACGTTTTTTAGATGTATTTCTGCAATCATCAGAACGAGGTGGTGGAGACAGCTAAGCTATGTTGACGTGTCAAAAAGCGCATGCGGTCATGGGATTGAACTTCGCCTGCATCAAACCGCAAATGGAAGATATCGAGTAAAACCATTGAACGTCGAAACTTCGCTTGAGACGCGACGAGGGTTAGTATGTAGACCTTCACTTCTCCAAGGCCATGTTTTTAGCCGCCGAACCAACGAACTAACATGATATGTTTCCGGAACCTTGCAGTGGTGCCAGATACATTCAGCCAGCCAAGCTGCGGCAGCACAGATGAAAACGAGCCAAGTTGGGGGCTTCCCCACGAAGCATGTGGGCCACACAGTTTCTCAATCGGACATGCAAAGAAAGTCGAATTGGGTGAAGACAACGCCAAGAACTTGCACGTCTTACCACATTCATTCACAACGAAAACACAAGGGATACGACGAACTTACAGAGAAGTGTTCAACATCGCTCTCCACCAATCATACAGAGGTTCCCGACACTTGCGACTTCAACTCTTCTTCGCCGCAAGTTCAAGTACGGCCTTGGCAATCGCTTTCGTTTCTTGTCTACCACAGACCAACCGAAAAGCATAACCCCCTTCTGACACTTGGTCATACTCGTTCGCTTCTAGAGTCTCAAGATTGGCATCGCTTAACGCTTTTAGCCCCTCGGACTCTTGTTCGGAATCTGAAGCTGAGGCGTCACTCTCACTGTCCGAAGCAACTCCTCCTTCTGAGGTTTTTATGATTCTTGCAGCCTCTGTCAAACATGCCTCGCGGAGTGCTTCAAGCCTGCTGGGGTCTTCTTGCATGGGGGAGAAGTCGACGTAGAACGTATCACTCTGCGCCACTGATCCCTGCAAATGATGAAGTCAAAGAGTTTGGCTGCAAACCTTTTGTTGATTCCAGGGACGATCATGCGATTGCGCTCCTCCCTGCAATACCACTGGCTGTTTCCGTCTTGCTAATTCTGGTACAATCCTACCAAGGAAGGAGAGGGCAGATATAAGCAAGCCCCTGATGCCAGGGTGAAACGTAACAAGCTGGCAGAGGTCAGCAATGAATTCAAAAGCCTGAAACTATGAAAGGGGAAACGTGTTAATGAAGGGACTGTATCAACTTACCTGCTCAATCTTGATGTATGGAGTGCCTGACGCCTCGCAGTAATTTCGCCAGGTGTTTGCAAGAGGGTAGCTTCGAGAGTTTGTGCGCATGACAAGGAATCCCTTCTTTTTCGAAATCTCGTAAGCCTGCGGAACGCGAAGATCATGTCTAGTTCTACCAGATGTAGGTGGTAAGCCTTAAAGAACAGATCCACCGGATAGTCAAAACTTTGAAATCCACAATATCCTGCCTTTGCAGAAAAGCGTACACACACTGGGAGAGATTACTGTGGTGGGGACACAATTTTGCATTCAAGCACATGGCCGCTCCACCACTGAAGAAAGAATCCACCGCAGCCAGATTTAACCCCACTGAACCAGGAAAAACTTTCTTACACCTGTGTGCATAAAGCCGTGATACAGGGTGGTGTGAAAGTTCAGCTTACCCCCCCTCCTTCGAAACAACCGCCTTCCTTTGAAACAACTGCTCCCCTTGGAAACAATTCCTATAGACACTTCTTGAAGCATTCTTGTAGACATCACTTCCTTACCACCTTGTCTTGCAAATTACTTGGGCAAACACCTGATTCTGTGCATGTATTGACCTCAGCTTGACCCTGAAAGGTGGTATGATCCCAGGGCTACAGAGGGGCTTATAGCAGCAGAGTCTGATTTTGAAACATGGTGGCTTACTTTCCGCTCCGCCAGAGTCAGCCTGTGCGGCACCGCTCTGGAGCCCATCTTCGACTTGCTGGGTTTCCCCTTTGACAGGCGCTCCACATCATCCAGAGAAGGTCGTGCAGCTTCCTTCGCAAAAGCACGCACCATGACAGATGAACTTTCTTTGTGACCCTTGAAGTGCGAAACAGACAAGCCTGATATCTCTCTTAATAAATGTGTCCTATCTAGCCAATCAGAAGGCTCAACCTGTTTAAAGTTACTGCTACTCCTGTACAGTCCAGGTGCAATGCTCCTAGGAGAGGACAGAAATCCATTAGTTGGCTCGCTTCCCTCAAAGCTGGCAAAAGCGCCAGCGAGGGCTCTACTGGGGGTTGCATTTCCGTGACTACCACCACCCCAGCTCCCAGCAGGACTCCTAGTTACAGTCCATCCTCTGCCCTGCCTGCTGATCCTACACAGTAAACACGTCCCCATTGCGAATTGGCGCAAAATCAGAGCTTGAACAGCATGCAAGCAGGTGAAACTTGGAAGCTGGAACCGTAGCTTGGCCTCATTCAAAGAGCTTTCTTTAATAGGACGTTCTAAAGGTTCCGGGTTTGCAAACCTAAGGAGGGCGTAGATTCTGAAGCTATTACGTATTCTTGGTCTACGCGGAGTAGGTTAAGAAGTGGGTTTCAAGTGCATTTTGGGAGCTTCGAGCTGGCCCTTCACTGCTCAGGCTTCAGTCAGCACCTGCTGGCCAGCTTCACAAGAGGTGGGGCAGAGCTGATCCTGAAGGCTGAACCTGAACCTTCATGTGGGCGCTCGTCAGCAGCTGAGATTGCCGGCCCAGTCTCCAGGCCTCCGGGTTTTGGTTTTCCAAGCAAACACTTCAACCAACTTCTGTTGTTCCCTTTTTGTGTCCATAATGGCTGGCGCCGCAACTGCGGCACGCCTCAGCGGAGGCCTGCACACATTGGGGAGCATTAAGCCAGAGAACAGTGTGGGTTCAGCTTCTTCTGGTTCAGCTCTCCTTCCCAAAACAGTCCCCGCCGTCGCACGGAACACCTTCTTGCAAGGAGCCCAAGGTCTCCCCGGACCAGCATTGCAAAGACCAGCATTGCCCTCAAAAAGCCAGGTACGATATGCTTGACTTTGGTGACCCAAATTGGAGGAAACCATGACAATGTGCTGGCCTTGTTCTTCATGATTTGAAAGATATTTAAAAAGAATGGACGATTCAAACCAATCCTTCAACCTCCAGTTGCAAACTGCAAGTTAAGCAGCATTTCTTTGCTGACCCTTCTTGTCTGTTTCTTGAGTGGCTTGCAATTAGGTAAGCGTGCTTAGTCTTGGCTGCATTGTACTAGTGCTTTGAAACAGGAAAATGTTTGTTCGCTTGCTCAGGCAAGAAATGTAAACCACTAAAACACACAAGCATCCAAAAAGAACTGGATTCAGATGCATTTCTTCAAGTGTGGCACAATGCATTTCACTCATTCTGAATTTTGCAAAGAAGTAGTGAAATTCAGGAAGTTCAATGAAACCCCTAGTGAGGACGACCTTGCAAGCTCGACGGAGCCCGTTGCCCTAGTGGAGCGAACCCTTTTTGTCTGCTAGTGTTCGCAAGTTTGCGTAGGTGACATTAGAGACATCACCGAAACTGCTTGGCCTTGCGCTTATGGTCTGGCGAATGTCGTGCAGAGGCATGCTGTCCGCAGTCAAGCACAGAGCATTGAAGAAAGAATAAAGGAGGGCATTCAAGTAGAGAACAAACTGAAGGCTCAGGTGAGCATCAAGCCTCTCTTTGCAGTTTGCTCAGTGGTCAATCGGTCATCGTCCGTTCGCTCCACTTTGTCTCGTCACCTCAGCACAATGCTGCAAAGTTGCTTCAGGTTGTTGTGTTCAACACCCCAAAATTGGGGCGCTCAAGCGCTCAAGAGAGGATTTTCTTCAGGGCAATGTGAAGTTTCCCGCTTTTTTGGGACCAGCAAGTGCAGCACTTCAAGTCTGTGGCTGGCTCTCACTCCTTATGGACTCAGTTGCTGTGACTTCAATGGATGTTCCGCCCGGACTGGGGGGGTAGTCCCAATCTGACGCTTCATACAGAGACTTCACAAGTGCAGCTTGGAGGAGGGATGGCTGTCGAAACTTTGTGGACTGGTACATGAAAGGTCCCCTCCTTCACACTTGTCAAAGAGAGTGGCCTACATTTCTAGAGTTACAGCGGTTGTCGCTCTTGTATTGACGTTTTCACGGCCTTGCCACAGGTTTCAGATGGCCGCGTAATCCCTCTCAATTCCAAGGACGCTGGGTATGCAGTCCAACTTTCAGACTACATCCTCCTGGATGTCAGGCCTTCCTTTGAGCACGACAGGGTAAGACTATCGCCCTTGCTTGAATACGAGCCCCTCAATTGCCTTTGCTCGCTTTCGAGCAAACTGCTCTATCATGCCCCGTTTGAGCAATTCGGATTGATGACCAGCTTTATGCTTGCGTCAGGCCAGTTGAAGAATTGATTATCGTGTCTTTTTGCAGGCCTGGGTAAAGAATTCCATCTGGATCCCAATGTACGAAGTGGACAAGCACACGTCCCCTGGCTCTCTGGTAAAGCAAGTCGGACATCTGATCAACGGTGAGTAGACTGTGCAGCAACCTGCCCAGCGTCTGTCTGCGAGTCTACTCTTTCTGTCTGGTCCTTACAATCGATCTTTGGTGAGCTCAGAAACTGTAAAAGGCACCAGCCTAACGGTTGTGCCCTCCAAATGTTAGCCAATCTGGTTTGAAGCGGAGAAGCACATGAATATGGCCCTCGCGACCAGCTTTGGCAGTCCGAAGCTGCTGATTTGTCTCTGAAGACCCACAGCTCTTCCAGATTTTGTACAGCTTTCACGCTGACAAAGCTAGCTTGAGCCACCCAGAAAGGTTGTTCCCTTCCGCCCTGTGAAAGGTGTGAGGTGAACCTTGACATTGTGAAGGTTTGTTCTTCCACTCAGAACCGTCAACAGAGCCCCTCAAAAGAAGCCCCAGTCTGCACATATGGAGCCTTGTCTGAGTTATGTCTTGCTTGGCCATATGGCAGGTGGCCTTTGGGATGGGACCCGATACCTGACTGCAAACGAGTAAGCCCCTGCTCAGCGATTGTACGCATCTTCCATGTTCGATCAGCATTCCCTTTGAGGCATGGGCACAACTATCGCCAGACTAGTTGGGGGACGCTTTTGTGCAGGTTTCTTACGCGTATGTCTTCATAACGGTCCCTCCCTGGCTCTGCTTCCTGTAGCATCCTGCATCTTGATTATCCGCTTTGCACACCAAAGTGGTGGTTCATTCTTGGAATCAAGCTTTTCCAAACCACAGCCAAGCAGAATGAGCTGCCTTGAACTATGGGTTTGTTAATTCCTGAGCCTTATACAACATCCTCGTGGTGCACAGTCGCATGTGGTTTGACTGTAGACCAGTCGGTATACGGGGTTTGGTGTTGATACCCTCAGCAATCGAATCCGCCTCCAGGCCTTGACCTATCAAGCTCACTGTTATTCGATTCTTTGCCAGGCGCTTCATGCCGGATTTGGTCAAGCAGATCCGGGACAAGAACGCAAACGTGCTCGTGGTGTGCCAAAAGGGCCTCAGGTGTGTCTCTTTCTCAAGGCATATGCTTCTTTGATGGACGTGGGTTGGGGATACGTTACAATGGAACCTACCAAAGCAATCCTCGTTTGTTGAATCGTTCATGACCTTCCGAGCTGCATCGACTACGTTTTTCGGGGCCGTTTCTCAGACAAGTCAAATTGCTCCGCACCCGACGACTTTACGTAATGCTGAATCCCATGCTGTGCCCAAGGAATTAGTTCTTGCCTTCGTTTTCTGGCCTTTTAAGGTCATCCTCAAATTTGTATTAAAATTCTTTGTTGTAAGGCGTGGCTAAGTCTTTCTCTGGTTTGGGACACGTTCTCCAAAGAATTCAACGATCACTGACTCGCTTTTCGAGCTCGCCTGACTCTGATTTTGAAACGATAAGCTTGTACAACAACGAGAGCTGGACATCTACGTCATCGTTTGTTATAAAAGTGGTGTCGCAAATACTGATACGCAGCAGCTTGCTCTGCAGCATGGCCCGCCTATCTGACAGTACTATCCTGACAGTACTATCGAGACAAGAAGCAAGACAGGTTTTTCCTGAAAGAACTCATCTTTCCTGCGGTCTTGAACGAGTTCTGCGAAAGCAAAGCGGATTCGTTTGAAAGTGACTGCACCCTTCATCAAACGTGTGCTGAAGTGAGGTTTGACGGGACGGAGCTTGCCTGTGTCCAGCAAATGCTGACGTCTTTTGCTGTGCAGGTCTTTGGCGGCCTGCGAGGCTATGCGGAAGGCTGGATACAAGAACCTGTACTGGCTCAGCGGCGGTTTCGATGCTGCAGATGACGCGGTGAGGGCGCGCTTGATCGGTGACGTGTTGTGCTCAATTGGCATACTCCAAACTTAAACTACCTGTCTACAAACTACTGTCGCAATGGGATAAGTCGTAGCATTGCCGTTGAGATGAATGTCTTTGAATTTGGAGTGGGTTTTTGCTTTTCCAAAAAGGTTGTGCGAATGATCGATCAGGAGTCCGAGAAAGCGACATGAGACCTGCTCTTGTCAGCAAGAGTGCCGACATCCAATTCTGCAGCTTCGACAACGTTGTTCGGGGCAGCGGTCAAGTCGTTCGCTTCGGGTCCCCCCTTATGAGATTTTTCCCGCTCTAACAACGGCGAGTCTAATCATGTGCGAGATCTTGTGTGGTGCACACTTCGATGTCGGGTGTTAAAGCTCTCCATATTTTCGATACGGTTTCTCTGATTCGGACTCAAAGCCTGGCGTCTGTCCTAACGATCGTTCGCTTGTGATGCAGGACTTCGAGAAAGTGGGACCCAAGCCCTTCAAGTACGCGGGAGTTGGAGGCCCGTCCGAGTTGTTCGGGTGAGCGGCGAGCGGACTTGCTCATGACCACATTTGGCATTCTGAAACTTGTCTTGTCCTTCGTATCAGGAAGCGGCTGATCTGTTTCGACTTTTTTGGACACATACTGAGGAGTGAGATGGCAGTATTTTCTGTGCCAGCCATCAGCGTTTTCTGACTCTGTGCGAGCAGCCACTCTTAGCATGTTTTGCCTTGGAGGAAGAGGACTACGCATGAGGGCGTTGCGGCTACGCTGACACCTGTACTGCTGATAGCTGCCGCTCGGATCTTTGGTTCACTTGAAGCGCACAGGGCTTGGACGTGTCACAATTGGGTTCATGATTGTTGATAGTTTGTTGACGCTGTGTTCATTGCTGTCAGGTGGACCGACGTGCAACGACGAGAAGCGAAGAACGACCCGTCTACAAGGTGGTCGAATCTGGGGAAGCTGGTGAGCAGCACATCTACTTGAATGCAACCCGATGATAAATCTGAGGCCAAAAAGTACCGTCTGTTTCGACTATTGTAGAAGAAACGATCTCCGCCTTCCCAAGGGGGCGCTTTTTGGCTCTGCAGGTGTGCTTGTGTTGCTTTATTGAAGCAGTCTTCTGTCCTGTCAACCGCTAACATTTCCTCAATCTTATTCAAAGCGGTGATCATCGAAAGAAAACTCTTCCAGAGGTGCTTCTTTGTCATACCTGCAGGCAGCAGTGATCGTTGCTATCGACCTACTTTTCTTGGGCGGACAGCAGCTGAACTTCTTGGTCCAGCATGCACCGAAGTAGATTTGGTAGCAACTGTTTGGATCTAGTTACGAGGAGCGTTGTGGCAACTATTAAGCATCGACGCAATGACGTCTGCGTTGGTTGAAGTAAAAAACGTGAGTGTTCTTGAGGCGAGAGCATGTTTTCGAATACAGTGAGAGCTCGAACTGACATTTCCTGTTGGAAGCATTCTCCGCTTGGTTTGGTTGCGAGTTTAGAGTCGCTTCATTGAATCTAGCACGAGTGTCTTTTGAATTGACTGATTAAAAAGCGTCTTGTCTAGCGCCGTCAGACTTCAAGGTCTGCAGCGGTTGAACGTACTCCAACGCAATACGAATGGCAGAGCCGGAAGCATTCTCACCACGTGCGGTGATGATCAGATTCGATGTTGGTTTGGGGGCGAAAACAGCAACTTGCATTATACAAAGTTCTACCCAACTTACTGGATCAGCTTGCAAGATCACAAACCAAACGCACGGTCTCAGCAAATCCTGCCGCCCACATGCTATGCTGCGCACCGCGTCATGCAGCTTGCTTTTCAACAGGTTTGCTTCGTTTATGATATTTGCATCCAGCTGTGCTTGCAATTGAACTAGGCTTAGCGGACTCATGTTTTAGTTGGTCAATGCGCACGCGAGAACGTGGCCCGGCCGCCCATGTGTGGGATACTTAATGATGCGTCTCACTAGCCTACTAGCTAGTAGCTATATATTTAGCTGGATACAATTACTTAGCTAGAGCGCTGTCGTCGACATATATATACACATATGCATGTGAAGAATGTCCTCATGTGGCAGTCAAGCTATATATCGATATATATATACTGCGTGTCAAACTTTGCTATATATTATATAGCAGCACGACCAATCAGCCAATGCATGCGCGTCGCATAACGTACACATATGGAGCTGTTGATTCAAGCCGTCGATCTGATCATTCTTCATCCGGGCTGGTATAGGGGACGGCGTCAATCCGCGCCAGAGCTTGAGCAAGCTACGTACAAACAAACAGCTACAGGCTCAGATGGTGCATGCAGGCTGAGCACCTTTTCCCTCCCTTTTGATGTGCCAGCCAGATCATGCTGTAGGTACGCTTGCACAGATGCAACTTGGCCATACCAAGTTCAAGCGCACCATACCAAGTCCAAGCGCAGGGCTGAGAGACTAAAGGCGTCGATTGCCAGTGTGTGCAATTAATGTAGCGGCGGCTCTTTGTGAAGCCATGTCTGATGCACTGACTGTTTCAATTGCAAGCCTTGACGTTGTCAAGAACCCAGGTCTGCAGATGAAAATTGGACCAAGGTGGTGATTGCAGACCAGCTTATTCGGTATTTGCAGTCGTTCCAGACAGTTCCTAGGATTGAATTATCCGATGCAACATACTATCAACCAAAGAATGTGCTTGTAATTTCTATGGTATCCAAGTATTGACAATTCAGTATCTGCTTGAGGAGGCGCTGTGGCGTAAGAATCACCTGACCAATCACCTGACCTGTCTGAATGCACTGCTACGAGCTGCCAATCGTACCTGCAGGCTGCTGAATTTGCATGCACCAAGCTGAGCCCCTGGCCGAGCAATGAGCAGACGATACTCGCTAGCTTATGCGACCTTGAAAGAGTTGACGGCGCCCTCGACGAACTTCTTGGCACCCTTGAACCACCTCTTGTCTCCGGCCTGGGCCTTAACCATGTAGAGCTTGCCGTCATTTACAGTGGCGGAAATAAGCTGATGCTTGCCGCCCTCATCGCCGTCAGCAGTAGTTGTTAGAACCTCGATTCTGTAGTAGGTCTTTCCATCAACCTTCGGGGTTTCGGCGCCCAAGAAAGCGGCCTTTGCGACAACGCCGCTCTTGAAACCTCCCTCAGAGTCGGTCTTTCCAAAATACGCAGACTTGCCAAAGAGATACGAAAACTGCAAAAGACGAGCAGGTTTGTCAGCTGCATGCTTGTTGGCAGTCATTTAGGACCAAGGGTAGACTGAATGTATCCAAATCATGCGCTTCAATGTCACGACTTGCCTCTGAACTTTTAACATCGATTTACATAATCTGAATACCTAGCCCGTCAAACGCGCGGCGCCTGCATTTGGTTTTTCTCTGAAGACCGTCCTTGCCAGGTTGAAAAATGACAGGGGCGACATTCCTATGGTGCATCATTTGCCTGGAGATAAGGCATGGCCCCTCTCTCCGGCAGCCTCTTTGGTTGGGATCTCAAAGCGGTGTTGTGTGGTGCCACAGCAATGGGAAGCGGTGTTAAAACACAGGCTTGCTTGCACCTTTGGTGCTCTGAACTTGAAAAGCGAAATATCAAGCTCACCTTGTTGACGAACTCCTCAGGAGCTCCATAACCCTCAATGGAGCTCTCCTTCGCGGGCAGAATGATCACGCTCAGGTTGTTAGTGGCATCGAAGTTGTCCTCAGCACGATAGACGGTGCCCTCGAACCTGGACCAGCACACAGCAGCAAGCTCAGGCAGTGATCGTAAGAGTTTCTTAGCCTCATTCCCCGGAAGGTGCATACTTCTACATTCATCTTCAGCATGTATCGAAAGATTGTGAGGCATTCAGTGCGCTCTCAACGGATGAAATTTTGGCAGAGTTAATTAAGGAAGCGCCTACCAAGCGACAGTAAATACTGCAACCAATGTGCGCACAAAGAAGACCCCTGCAGTTCGCCCAACCTGATCGTGGCGGTGTGGTATCCAAAGAAGAGTAAGCTCTGCGGATTCATTGACCACAAGGAATGCTCCACCGTGAGGTACGGCATATCAAAAATGGTGCTCTGCAACGGCGGCGCAAGCAAACCGGAAACCCTAAAGTAAAACTTGGTACATCTATCACTCACTCCTCCTCCTTGCTAGGGTTCCACTTTGCAGGGACATCTAGCGAGAAGCCGCTTCCCTTGTAGGCAGCGAAGCCTGCAGATTTGAGATGAAATCTCTCAGATGCAATCCTTTGACGAGATACGGACGCGGAATACCATTTTCATCCTTGACCAGCCATCCTCGTCATTGGAGCGGGTCTGTCCAGCAAATCGGGAGTGCTGCGTTTATGGAACCAGCAACCTACTTGTCAACCTTCACACTAAGCTTTGTGTAGAAGATTGACGGGAGGTACATGTAATGCTAATTTTATTCAGCAAAGCTTCCTAAAAGTCAATGGCCACCTTTGAGAGACTCCAGCGGTCTAGTCGACACCCAGGTTGCACTCAAAACCAATTACACAGGCTCCATGATTGGCTCGTGATAAATGATATTACTAGTCTGTGACAAGAATATGGTCCCGTCCAAAGGGTATTCTGCATCGAGGCTGCATAGCAAGGGGACAGATAGCAGCAGCAAAGAGAATAAGGATCAAGAATGCCAATGCCACTTACTTGTGTCCTTCTTGGGAGCTCCAAAGACATTAGCAGCCTCGCCATAGGCAGCGAAAGCTGGGGTAGCCTTGGTTGCGGCGATGGCTGCAAGGAGGGCAAACAGGCATACTTTAGCGCTAATATACCAATAAAAACCAGTGAGAAAGACATTGCTAGCAGGAGCATGAGCCATGGTTCGTTGAGAGCACGCGAGTATGGCACGCAGAGCCTGCGAGCCCTCTTGTATGTATACTTCAACAGTATCTGGACTGCCGACTGGTTCATCTGCTCAAAGGAAGACGTCTCTGACCCCTTCAGCCTTAACCACGCACAATGGCATCAAGTCGCTTGCCAACTCAGCAATGCTATGAACTGGTTGATCCAAAGCACCATTCTCTCCAAGTCTGCATATCCCATTCCTTATGACAATGAGTATTTCTCCAGGAGCCTAAGGATGTTAAGCCCAAAATCTACAGCAAGGGACTGACTTCCTTTGATTGTAAGAGTCTCAAGTCAACCACCACATATGACCCTGGAGACTGCACTTGCTTGCAGCTTGCAAGTTTTCAGCCAATGCAAATATTAAAACCTCAAGATCAGCCAATGCCAGATGTGCAATGCCTTGACTTTAAAAACCACTTGTGGTCAGCTTCTCTTTATGAGATCACATAGGCAAATATTGACGGCTGGGTTGCACAGATGGCTGATCTCTCATCCTTGGGTCAATAGAAACTAATTCCAATGTTCACGGCAAAACAATGTGAATCCTAAAGGCCATACCGGCAACGAAGGCAGCGACTGCTGCTCTCCTGCTGACAGCCGGCACGTCTGCCTGTGCCTCAGCCCTGCAGACCGTCTGCTTCCTGGCCGCAACAGTCCTCGTGACTGGTGCAGTGACGGCATTCCCGCTCAGACCATTCTTTGAGGAGCTCAACTCCAGGCCCTTCACGGCAAACTGCGTGGACACAGACTTGAGGCAGGCAGAGGAAGCCATGGCGTCAGAGGAGGTGGCGCTAGAGTTGCTTCTTCAAAACTTCTGCAACTCAGAACGCCTTTCTGCAAGTTCAACCGTTGAAGGCGTGCTCTGCAAGAGATGGTGGATTTTGGTTCTTTCCAAGGAGGTGTAGGCGACGTTGTGCCCCATGTACGGGATTTTCATGTCGCCGAAAATGATTAGGACCCAAAGATTGGGACGGATAAGGTTGGCTCACACGCGTGACTTTGGACGGCCGAAGGCCTTCGTCACAGAAGGTGGGATGGAGATCTATGGGTCAGGCAGTGTTACTTGACACTGAGATCTGGTACCAGTTGATCAACATGACATTGCGTTCTGCTGGTGTCAAACACCCCCCCTCTTTCACAAACCGCTGTTTCTAGGGGGTAAAATCGAACCCAAAAAGCGCCCCATCGCCACGCTCGATGGTGCGGCTCGCAATCCTGAATCTGCGGTTGAGCACTTGCCACATCAGCATGGTCTTGACCACCCAAGAGAGCCCTTGTCACGTGCACCGTTGAAAATCTGAGGATATCTTTGGACGGTTTGCACGAGCTGGACCTTTCATCGGACGACAAAGAGGAGGTCGGAGGTTGCGTATCAGTAAGCGTGGCCGTACGTACCTTGGTGCGTACCCAGCGGTACTGGTCCCGGGAACTCCCTCGAGCTCACCCTGGGCATTAAATTGATGTGGCAGCATGGGGCTGCTACACTGGAGCTGGCTCTCAAAAAGCGCTTCAAAACTCTTCAAGTCCAGCTACCTAGTCCAGCCCGCCTCGGAAAGGGACTCTCTGGCTCCTTCTGTATTAGCAGACTGCATCTTCAAAATCGTATTCTGTTGATTCTTGCGGAACCCAAAGTTCAGCTCAAAATTTGAAGCGGAGGCGTTCAACGTATTGTAGGCTGCAGCTTCTGCTGCAAGGACCAGTGTTCATTACTCCAAAATGTTGAACATTGGTACGTCAATGTATCAAACATCCTGACAAATCTGTCAGCAAATGCACAGATACCACCGCATTGTCACAGGGTATGCGCAATTTGTGTGATAAAGTTTCAAGTCACCGCTGCTGAGCGCCCTTCCAAACAGAACGCCTCGCGCGCAGGGGCTATGATTAGTCAATCTGGTGAGTGAGCTGACTCAGCAAGCCAACGGGATTTAGAGAAGCGTCCTCGTTTGTCAGCAACTTTTGTGCAAGGAACATGAATTGCCTGATGAACTACAGAGCCTCTGAGTTTGTGTGTAGTCTCAAGCGTGTAAGCACTAAGACCATGAACATGTCCAGACGCAGAGTTGCAGAGTTCTTTTTCTTTTGTTCAGCAATGCAGCCATAAGCCTCTCTAATCATCATTCAGAGACAGGAGTCAATCCTGCATTCCGCGTCTTGTGAAGGGACCCCCAATTGGAAGATCATGAGTAAATCAAGAGCACCATTCAGTTGATAACATGTAAATAAGCACAGCCTGAATTCGCCTAAGGGTGGCACAAAACAAGCAGACCACTGAACAATGATCATATGCAGAGCATCCAAGCAGCTTGTCTGCTTCTGGTGATGGGAAGAGTTTTAAGGCCTCTTTGTATGGCTGACGACATGTACAAGTAGCAGATCTGTCCAATCATAATACAGTGCATGAGGTGCCCGTTTAATTGTACGTCACAACTTGCAGATTGAGCTGGCATAGGATGATACTTAAAGGTTTTCATCCCTTAGAAGAGTATGACAGAACATAGGGGCATCTCTGAAATTGGCCCCTCTTTCAAGCTCCTGAAACTTTTTGTTGGGCTCATGAAGCAACGTCCGGTACTTGCCCAAACTTGGTGACGTCTTGAGAAAGTGCCCTTACTCAGAAGCTGGTCAAAGGCCCCTCAGCAAGCATGATGCAACGCCAAACTCCCCTGTGTGGGTTCCTGACTTGAGACAGTCACTCACACCTGACCCTTACATTCATCAGCACATTCCGCTGAGCTTTTGTATTAGGATGCCTCAAACCCCCATGTTATTGCCAGCTGTCAGGGCCGAGTTGTCCTAACAACACGTATTGTTTCCTTTGCAGACTGTGCGGTTGAAGGTTGAAAGTGAGCTTGGAAACTCTTCCACGCCAACGCAAGTTTTGTCGCCTGCCCTACCGAATTTTGCCGCTTTGATCGTTTCCCAATCTACAGCCCTTTTTGAAACTCCCATCAAGCACGATGTCGACATCCTCCCCCATGCAAACATCCTCGCCGCTCAAGCCAGAAATCGCAACATGCGCCGACCTCTCTCCCCCTGAGCTTCAAGCTCTAGCGGAGCGCTTAGCAGACCAGCTACGCAAAGATGAGGAAACGCTTTCCAAGGGGGGCATTCCCTCCCCCCTCGCCATGAATATGCCGCGCAAAGGCACTGCGATCGACAAGCAAACCCGCCTCGCGCACTTAGTTGCACACTCTCTCTGGCCCCCCCGAAACGAGGCAGAGGAGATCTGGAGCCTGATCAAGTACGGACAGCTGATCTCGACACTGTCGAAAGTCGTCAAGGGGGGGTGGAGGAAAGCGGAGGCCGAGAGGCTCGCGCTGAAGCACGCCCCCCGGGTGCACATGGACCGCGGGGCGTTTTGCACACTGAAAACGAGGGGGGTATCCCGGGCGGTGCGCGAACCGCGCGCGATGCCGGTGGCGCTGACGGACGCGGCGGAGTTCCGGCCCTTCTTCGACTTTCTGAAGGCCGACCAGGTAAGCGTGGCTTGTGTCTAACTCTGTAAGCGTCACACAAAAGTTGAAGAAAGCATGCACACAAAAAATCAAAGTTTGTGTGTGCATGCTTTCTTCGACTTTTGTGTGACGCTTACAAACTCCTTTCAACTTGCTCTTTGACGGCACTTGTCCCCAGATCTGTGTATATACTGAACAACCAGAGAATTTTATCAGCAGTTCTTTGTTTTTTGTCAGGAGAAGACTGAGGTCGTAGCCCTTACGTGCCCTCGGTATCCGTTCCTGCTTTTGTTGAAGGCTTTCGAACCGCATGAAGAAAAGCGGATGGATGCGATGTGCTTTCAGCGATCTTTGACTTGACGATACCGGAGAAGTAGGCTAGAAACTTAACGGATTCTGGTGGCCAGCTCCACTCGCAGCTCCTGAACACGCGTCTCAAAGGCGCGTTTGAGCCCACGATTGGGTCCACTAAGGGCAACTAGGCTGGGATTCACAAGGGGCTTTCAGGCGGGATTCGAAGACGTTAGAACTTCCGGCGTTTCTGGCGTACTCGAGGCTGACAAGATGCATCGGACTTTCTATTGGTTCCTGCCCATCGGTCTCCTTCAGAGCTCCCGTCGAAGCTCGTCTCGGTCCTAGATAAACGAAGGGCAGACATAGAACCGCTGGAATCAGCCAAGGTCCTTTTGTACTGTCCTGCTCGTGCTTTCCCAGATTCGAAGAGATTTCGTTTTTGACGCGTTCGGATATCGCTGAACAAGGATACTGTTCTGAGGGCTCTTTGCACCACGTTTTTTCGGGGGACTCTGTTCGATCCGCTTCCATTTCACAACGGCCAGCATTCGACTTCCTGGCTGCTGACAAGGTGGCAAACAGTGGTCAACCGGCGGTTTAGTCTTCAGCCTTCAGACTTTAATACTCATGTTTTCGGTTCCTTTTTGGGATTTCCCTCCTTCCCTTTGAGGTCGAGCCCGGCAGAGACCAGCTTCGTCAGTAAGGTCAACTTCGCAGCCTTCACAAGTCTCTTAAGATTTTGCTGTTGTGATCATTTCGACCGTTATTCGACTTCCTGGCGGGACTCCGTAATTTCAAAGCATTGCTGGATATAACGTCAGACTCTGCATCGATCTCCGGCTCCAGGCATAGGGTCACTCGATTAAAGAATGCAATCAAGACAAGAGAGAGGCAATTGCCCGAGTCCAATATCCCCGTTCTACATTAGTCCTTGAACATCTGTTTTCTATCTACTGTCCGAGACGCAAAGCAAGAAGAGAGACCATCTTCTCTATCTAATCCCAGTTCCAGCCATCATCCGCTTGATCAGACTTGGCGCCCGTCGTTTTGGACTTTCATTACGCATCCCCAAATCCTTGCGCTCAGCCGGTGTTCTCCTCCACATGTCCAGAGCGTTGAAAACCGAGTCGTCAATCGTTACGTTAGGGCTTGTTGCTTTATCTCCTTCCCTTATACGAACCGTTCAGCTCGCAGCCCTGCTCCTTGTTCCAATCGGTCTCTTGTCTCCAGGTGCTAGAGAGCGAGACTAACCTCGTTACCAATCCCGTTTTAGTGCACAAGCTCCGTCACATTCCACCCTCGCCCATCAACTCTTTTGAGTTTCTGCTCACCTTCCAACCGCTCTCTTTCCCCAGGTGCTATGGAGCGACACAGACCCCAACCTTAGGGCCCGGGTGGAGTTTCTCTCAAAGGATCAAACAAAAGTATGGAGAAGTTATGTGTCGTCGCTCGTTTGCTACAAGCATAACCGCCCATCAATCAGAATACCCTGCTCAACTTCCCAAAACGGTCATTATCCTAGGTGCCTTGGGGGGAGACTAACCCACCCGGAAGGGTCGAAAAAATCGGTAGATACGCTTTTCCTTTCGCTTGCGTTCCAACGAAACTGTCCTCTGCTCAACGCTAGCAGATTTCCCTATCAATCAGACTCCCCACCCACCTTATCCAACTTGACACCTTTCCAGGTGCCTTGGAGCAACACAAACCCCGACCCGGGTGCCCGGGTGGAGTTCCCCCGGGGCATCTTCTACTCCGACGGCCGCATGGACCTCTGCAAGCAAGTCGTCGGGCCGGGCTCGATCGGCCCGCTGATGGACTGCTTACGTCACAACTCGCACATACGTCACTTCCTGCTCGGGAACAACGTCATCGGCCCCGCGGGGGCGCGCGCGATCAGCGAGTTTATTGCACAGAACGAGAGTGTTATCACCTGGTACCTGGCGGGCAATTGCATCGATGTGAATGGGGTCGCGCGGCTCGCGGCCGCGCTGGCGGAGAACGACGTCGTCGAGGCGCTGTGGCTGAAGCGGAACCCGATTGGGCCAGTGGGGGCGCGCCACGTGGCAGAGATGCTGACGACGAACGTGCGTTTGCACACTCTCGACTTGGACAATTGCGGCTTGCTCGACGACGGGGTGGTTTCGTTAGTCGCCGGGTTCAAAGCTAACGACACATTGCGTCATCTCTACCTCAGCGCCAATGGAATCACGCCAGCTGGCGCCGTTGCGCTCGGTGAATACTTTACCGACTGCTCGACCAAAGGAAAAGCGGGCCTTGAGAGCCTTTACCTGTCGGTAAACAGGATCGGGGATTCCGGTGCCGCTGCCCTGGCGAAAGGGCTCCGTTCCAACCGGGGGCTCAAGCGGCTCGTGGTCAGCTCTAACCAGATCGAAGCGGCGGGCGCGGCCGCACTGTGCGACGCGCTGACTGGGCACCAAACCCTCGAGGTTTTGGACCTCGGCGTTTATACGTCGACGGCTGATATGGGCGAGCTGCCCAATCGGATCGAGGACGCGGGCGCGGCCGCGGTCGCGCGGCTTATCCGGACTAACCCTAAACTGGTTTACGTGAACGTGGCGCACAACGGGCTGACACGTGGCGGCTGGGGGGAGGTCGTTGGGGCGGCGATTGACAGCCCGAGCCTGGTGCATTTGGACGCCGTCGAGCGGGGGCTGCGAAAGGAACCGCATCAACAGGTAAGTCGGATCGTAAGATTCTGTCTCCTCCGCTTTCACTTTTCCTAGCTTCTTGCTCTTGCATTCATCTTTTCTTCCATTCGCTTTCCCCTTTCTTCTGCTGCTAGCGGCTAACGGAGTTCGTACGCTTCAGGGCACCTCTAAGCATCACTTTGAAAGGGATAAAGTGTACGGTGTTGACCAGTCTGCATTATGCTAGCCGCTTCGAGATGCGCGTGCAGGGCTGGTCCGAACGCTGCCACAGCGGACTGCTTTTTGTACGTCCTGACGGTTCTCATCAACCGCCGTGCCAGTCTGGTTCTCCCCCTTTTTGCATGCGCCACAGTTCCTGATACCTCATCTTGAGCTATTCAATTGCATTCTTGGCGGTTTCTTCCGCCCAGAAAAAAGTGGTTTTGCCTGGTTTCCAGTCTACACCCCTCCATGCGATGCGTGTATCCAATCTCCGAGGGACAAGTATGATTTGGTGGGGTCACAAACGATGCTCAGCTTTCGAACGCTTCTATCATAAAGCAGAAGCCGGACGTGTCTCTTATACGAGAAACGTACGCCACAACATGCTTTTGCCCAATAAGCGCATGGGTCTGGTGCAGATTCGTGCCCTTATATGTTTTCGAATACCGAATCCGCTAGCAAAACGTCGACCCAGGTGACGGTTGAGGATTGCCAGCTCCCGACTCACTGTCTGCTGAAATACATTTTGCAGCGGCGGCTCGCCGAGCAACTAGAGCGGAACATTCTCGGCCGGTATGGGATCTCCCGGGCGGAGTTCCTGCGGACGGAGCTCAAGTTCGTACGGCAGCCGGACAACGTTCGGTACATCGAGAGCCTGTACCGGACGCGCGACTTTCAGAACCGAGGGACGCGCAGAGGGGTGAAGAAATTCTGGGACGAGGGGGACGAGACGCTCAAAATGGTGGCGATGAGCGCGTAATTAGACGAATTGAAGCCAAAAAGAAGAACAGAAAGGATTCCAGAAGAGACGGTCGATCCCGTCAGCTTTCAACGATGGCTTCATTAGTGATTTCGGTCTTTCGTAGTGCTTATCAAGCGCATATAGCATAGAGGGTTGCTTGGATTGGATAGTTGTACGTACGCTTGGTTGTTGAATTCGAAGAGGACGTGCAATTTCAACTCAACATTTCATGTGCGTGCGAAGAAAATTTATAACCGTACTCAAGAGATTACCAAGAAGGAGTTGCAATGCGGCCCGGCAGAGTCAGTGCGTGTTATAGACGTAGTTGAAAGGATTTATAGAGAGCTATATAACCGGAACTCTATATAATTGCGGCCCGCGGGATGGTGTTTGCTTCATGCATCTGCACATGCGACGGTAGATTCTTGCAGGGCCACGACGTTAGCCCAAGTGTGTCGAGGACTTGTATAATGGTTGTGCATACCCGGCGTATACGTACGTCTGGGAAACCGCGGGTTTTGAAGCATCGATCTTAAGCAGTAATTATTATCGGGACGGCAACGTCAGCCGACCTGGTTGGGGCAGATTGAGAGTACGTAGCGCATGATGGACACTTCCTTCTATATAGCCCGGGTGCGCATCGAAGGCATCGGGCAGGCGACAATCCAATGGCAAAACATGTCATTGCCATATTCACATGCAGCTAGAGACGACGGTACCTGCAATTACAACGTGATCACTGATCACGCGCATGATGAGTCAGCTTTCTTTTGATTGCGCGGTCCGATCTGCGGTCGATTTATTAGTATGCATGATCACGTAGGCCCAGACTGCAATGCTACACAAAACGCGGGCCTCCAATAACCGGCCCAGATGATTTTTTGAGTCCGGCCGAATAGGCGCCAGAGGGAGTGTACTTTAATCTGCTAACCGTCGCGTTGTTTTGCATGATCTTTCACCGCGCTACTGCAATTATATCAACTGCATGGACTTTCACCTTTGTCTTCCACGTTCACATCAAGTTAGCGCAGGCGGCTGAGCCATCAGATCAAGCCATTCAAAGTTGCCTCGAGCCCGGCCGGCTGCAAATGCTCAGCGGGACTAGAAATCAACACCTCAATATCATCTGCAACCCATTAAGCGCACCGCAATGCGAGCCTGAGTCCATGTCGGGAACAACTAATCAATGTCCTCCACATTAGAACAGAGCCTTATGGGTTGGACAGTACTTCAGCAATCATACTATACAACGCTTCGCGCCTCGAAGCATTAGCCATACCTATTGACGAGGTATCCCCAGCTACCCTTTCCGTTAAGACGTCAATCTTTATGGTTTGTATGACCCCCGCTTTCTTCAATGTTACAAACAATCAATTCCACTAAGCACCGGAGCTTCTTAGAAGCACCAGCGCTGTTACTTAAGATGGCACTCAGAACTTCCGTTCCCCCAGCCTTTCGCATGGCTGCCACGTGGTGAGGCGTGTGCCTGCCACCTGGCATGGTGAACTGGAGAAGAGCAAACGCGGCGCAGTGCTGGAGCGTTTCGTACGGGTCCCGAAGCATAAGCGTGAACCGCTCGATCTCAAAGTCACTGCACAGACACAGAGTAAATCTGGTCGGCGAACATAACCAGACTATAGATGGAGTGATTCTCGCTGAACAAGAAAGCCACAGCTTTTGTCCCTTGGCTTCAGACGTTCACGAAACGAGACATGCATTGTGGATATGTAAGACCGAGGGCCTACCGATCATGGGAACAAAATTCTTGTGGGTAGAGGTTCGTTCCTGGTGTTACGAGCAATCACGAAGCGTGGAACCGCAAAAACATCGAACCGAAGTCTTGGCAAAATGGTTCGGTTGCAACAAAGATGCATGATCGTTCCAGAGTCGCGAAAGGTCTGCCTGCCACGACTGTGCGAAAGTGGGAAACTTCGGCGTTACTGTCTAGACACAGACGCAACCCTTAACTCCTGGGACGTACAACTCAACAGACCGCAGCCCAAGAAAATCTTCTTCGGCTATCCGTTTTTTTGGAATGGCCTCCGTCCATTTCTCTGTCACCAATTTTTGCACACAGCAGCTGGAACTACCCAGATTTGCTGCAATAGAAGTACCCTGACCATCACACGAATGATCCAATAAACGAAAAATAGTAAACAAAGAAGCAGGTTAGTAAGATCGCCCCTCACCTGCACCGCAAGTCCCCAACCTCCCGCATCGTGCTCGCCTCTGACGTCACCTGCCACGTCAGCACGGAGGGGCCCTTCCCCGGGAGCACCTCCCAGCGCCGCCCTTTTGGCGCCGGCGGGGCGCGGGGCAGCGTTTCCAGGTGGGGCACCTCGCTGACGTAATGCTGACTGTGCTCGTCCACGAAGGCGGAGATGCGCTGGAAGACCTCCTTGCGGTCGTCGCTCGGCCGCAGCACGTAGTGGCGGTCCTTTTCGGCCCTGAGGAAAGAAGATTTCAAAGTTTGGGATTTTGACACGAAGGATGCTTCGGGTGGAGGACTTTTGAGAGTGAGCGGCATCAGGTCCTGAAAAGGCTGCCCGACCGTTAAGAAGTATCAAAGAGGGTTTACTTGATGTTAAGTACATAGAGTCTGAAGATCGAGAGTCTAGAGTATGGAGGAGTCCCGGAGCCTTTTCGTCTTACGAAATCTGAGGATGCCATCTGCTCTCGCCCACGTTAGATTCACGATAGAGGCGGTCCTTTCGGCAGTGGGGAAATACTGGACAAGGAACTCAGAGATTGTCAAAAATCAGGGCTGAGGGTTGCGATCGTCAATCAATGTTGATGACGGGTCTTTTAGTTCCGCTCCCGGGCGTTACTTGTAGATTGAACTCTCGAGCCCTTGAAGCTTTTGGGTCCGTAACAATTAACGAGGGCACGTGCCTCACTCTACGGCAGGCCTTCCTGGTCTCAAGAAGAAAGCATGCACACTCTTTGTGTCTCTTCCACATTCACCGTCGCTCGAAATCTCCGGGATGAATGACCCGAGTATGCCGTAAAAACAAAACAACTTCGTAATCTCAACGGAAGCAACAAGACGTCAATAAACGGAAGCAACATGACGTCAAACATGCAGCCTGCAGTCACTGCAATCAAAAGCTGCTTGAGAAGATGTCACAAACCATAAAAGGATTGACTCCAAGAGACACACGGGCGTTCTCAGGGCAGACTGGCCACCGTCAGCATCTCAAACTCGCCGGCGGAGCTTGCGAGAGATTGGCTCGATTTCTCAAAAAGACAGTCTAGTCGGGCCCCAAAAGACTCTTCACAAACGTTACAAAGATTCGTAAAACGACGCTCCTGAATTTGAAAATTGGGAAGGGCCTAGAGACATGAGAAGCAACTCACTGCGAATCGCACAGGTACGATAGCGCCAGCACGGCCATGAACTTGGCCAGGAGCGTGCTTTGGGGCGACACGCTCAGTGCCGTCAGTGCTGGAATGCCGCCCTCCGCCTTGATGATGCGCGCGTTCCGCGTGTCGAACGCAAGGTTCCAAAGGACGCCCGCGGCGGCTTCCTGGACGTCCTGCAGCGTTTGAAAGGGAAGCGTCAGCGTCCGAACGGTTGACGTCAGCAACGGAACGGTTCTTACAGCATCTCAATGGGGAGCGTCAGCGTCCAAACCGTTGGGCGTCCGCGTCACGAACCTTTGGGCGTCAGCGTCCGAACGGTTTGCGTCAGCAATTGAAAAGTTGGCGCCAGCCCGAACGAGAGCGTCGGCGTTCTGAAAAGGCTGTGAGAATGTTCCAAGGTCTCGTGGTTGTGAAAAGCGGCGTCGAGAAAGTGCTTCATAACGTCCAGAAGCGTCCAGAATTGTTATGAAGACGTCGGAGATCTGCTTCGCAGACGTCGGAGATCTGCTTCGCTTGAAACGTTCAGACGGGTTGAGCCCTTTGTGGAGCACCGCACGTCTGAGAGTTGAGAGCGCCCAACCTCGAAACGGCGGTTGTGAGCAGTCGAAGGACGTGCGTCAAGTCCAGCACAAACCTTCGCTCAATTTGAAGGGATAACGGAGGGGTAACCAAGAAACAAAATCTGCTCTGCAATCAACAAAGACCTGCTCTGCAATCAACAAAGACCACGACCAATAAACGCACGTCATTTCAATAAAAACAGGAATAAACAGTCTGGCTGCCAGAGCCGCCCTCTGAAACGGACGCTCAATGAACCAGCCGAACTCTCTTAAGAAACGACCCCGGGCAAGAACGCTCGAGATGCATTGAACGTGGATCCGCCGCTGCATCTCACCTCGGACGCTGACCGCGCCATTTGTATCAACGGGGGGATCCCCCCCTCCTCCCCAATCAACACGCTATTTCCTTGACTCGCCGAGAGCCCCCAAAGCGCCCCGGTTACCCTTTCCTGCAACGCGAAAAACTCCCCCCCGCAGCACTGTTTCGCTAACCCGACCAGACTATGAACCCCACCCTCGGCGGCGATAAGTTCCCTAACCCCCTCGTCGAAAGCAAGGTTCCAAAGAGCGGTAGCCGCCTCGATTTGCAGCATGGGGGGTCCGTCTTTGGTGAGCGCGACAAGGGCGGAAAGACAGAAAGGGGTACGGGCGATTGCGACGTTGTTGCTCGTGTTGCAGTCGCCTTGTGCGGCTAGGTTGGCCAGCACGCGCACGATCTGTAGGGGGTCGTCAAGTTTGAGTTTAGGCCAATTCACTTGAGCTAACATTCGCCCCAAGCTCAAGCTACACGCACGTGGTTTGCTTGAAACCTCTCTCAGAAAACAAAAACGAGATGCGATAGATTCCGAAGCAAGCCCCGTTTCGGAGCGTCGGCATTCACCGACGCAAGTCATTTTGGGGAAAAAACTAAGGGGGCGAAGGTCTGCGTTCGACTCAGATTGGACTTGAGTCAGGCGCCAGGTTTGACCGAAAGTGCATTATCAGTTGTCAAGAGACGCTGCCCGACCTGCTCTTGGAGTCCTTCGTGCGACGACGTGCGCAGCAACCGGTTGAGGACGCCGAGGCACGGGCCGTTCACCATGGAAAAGCTAGTCGCCTCGTGGTTCGCCATGTTGGCGAGAGCGCCCGCCACACGCTCCTGAAAAACGTCAGCCTAGTTAGACCCGAAGGTGGCCACCTGTCCTGGTTCAATGCTTTTGAACGTCATGTAACCGACCTTTTGAGTGTCAAGAACCAGGGAGTCGTCTCTAGGTACTCCTGAGGAAGGTAGTCAATTGAAAGAAGCTTACTTGGACAATCTCAGCATCCTTGGGCCACCGCAACGAAACGCCGAGTAGCGACCACGTAAGAGAAGTTTTTTTTTCACATTACATGAAAAAATGCTAGAGCTCTTACCTGGACCACCTCCGCGTCTTTGGGCCACCGCGACAGCAGGCCCACCAGCGCATCCAGCACGCCCGCCGCCGCGATCCGGTCCTTCAGACTGTCGTTCATTGACAGGTTCCACAGTGCGCCGGCAGCCTCCTCGGCCACCCACCTGAAAGCAGCGTCGCGGAACGGGGAGTTAGTCGGTAATTAGCTGCCAACGCTTGAGTTCACCTTGAGTTCTCAACTTTGAAAAGTTGAAGAAAGTGTGTGTTTGATAATTTTACCGCTTGACCATTATTCACCGCTTGACCAACCGCTGTGCCCCTGTAAATCGTCGAGCGCACTCGGAGTACGAACCAGGTCTGCAGTGAAGCTCGCAAGGGTTTGCATGACAGAGCAACCCTTTCACCGCCACAAATCAACGACAATTGACTAGAACGGATTCAGAAGCGGGACATAATGTCAGCAAGTCGGGGAATCAAATGAGAAGAAGACAGACATGAGTCCGTCCACAGCTTGGCTGCTGGTTCAGCAAACTCCTACGCTGGAGTCACCTCGACACCCAAATCATCAACCAAGCACCGACGTTCGCTCCTTACTTGTTCGCCGAGTTGGCCGCCCTCAGAAAGGCCCCGATGCCCCCGCTCTGGACCACCAGCTCCGCCGCGTGCTTATTCACACACAGGTTCCCCAGCGCTTTCATGGCCTCTCCCTGGAGACTGTCCACGGGCCGCCGCGCCAGCCGCAGCAACGGCCCGATGGCGCCCTCCTTGTAGATCGACGTCGATCGATCCACGTGGGCGGTCACGGTGTCCGCCTCGTCGATGGCTAAGTCGGCTAACGTCACCGCCGCCTTTTCCTGCAACATTAGGACGCAATGTTCGGGATACTGGGAACGCAGCGAAGTGTTTGCCGAGTGTTTCGAGATAGTGGTGATCTGGCAACAGAAAGGGTCGATCCACGTGGGCAGTCACGGTCTCGGCCTTGTCGATAACGAAATCGGCTACGTCTAATGCCGCTTTCTTATGCAAACATAAACGCAGAGTTCAAGACCGAAGGAACTTCTGTGCAGAGCCGTCCATCCAGACCTTCCGTAGAGCCGTCCATCCTGTACTTCAGAGTCTATCTTTTTCCCACGTCAAACCTTCCACTCGTCCCTGATGGTATGCAACCAATTCCAGGTTACTTTCCCGCACGTAGCCTGATCGCTCCCGAGGAGCTCACTTGTACCAACATGCTCCATCGTCTTCCCACTCAACTTCAAGCCAACAGACATTTTAAGAATGGAAAACATACATTTGACAAGGTCGAAGGAACGGCGGAAAAGGAGTTGACGAAGTCCTCAACTGTACGCTGACTTGCTCGCTCCACAGAAACTCGCCAGCGCCGCCAGTACGTTAAATGCCGTCATCGTTCGCCCACTTCCAGGCAACCAACACCCTAACACCTGACGTACATGTGTAGTAGACAGGGTCAAGAAACGGAAAGAAAGGAGGCAACGAAAGCGGGCCCCTCACCTGCACGCTCGCCCACTCGCTTGCGTGGAGCACCACCAACGCCCTTTCGACATTACCCTTCGCACAGCACCTTCCATTCAGGACACAGCACCTTTTGTCAATCTCCTCTTGCTTCGCACCATCCCGTTGACGCCTTGACTAAACCCCGTGAAAATCAACACTGAACCCCCAAAACCCAGCAAACCCCATCAAAAAGCATAGCCCTCACCTGCACGCTCGCCTGCTCGCTTTGCAAAAGCGCCACCAACGCCCGCGTCCCGTTCTGCAGCCAAAACCGCTCCAGCTCCGCCTTCTTCTCCGCCGCTCGCTGCAGCCCGTGCACCAGCGCGCACTCCACCCAGTCGGCTGCCCGCCGCTGCGCTGACGTCAGCACCGCGTCATCGTTTCCCTCTTCCGCTTCCCAAACGCTTTTTCCCACAGGGGGTCCCGGTTCCGTGCATTTTAGGGGGGAAGAAGAGGGTGAAACGAGGGAGGGCAGGTCGGCGATGCTCGTCACCAGGGCTTGCGCGCGCGTTTGGACCATCGGCAGCAGATGGGGGGTTTGTGTGCTTCTCAGGGGTATCGTTTCTGCGGGAAGCTTGGCCCCCGGTTTCGTGGGCGAGTTTTGGGGGGGGACTTCTGCAGCCGCTTGAGCCACCCCGTTTGGGGGCGACCGCACGCAGGCGAGCGAGCGGGTAAGGTCGCCGTCGAGGATGAAGACCGCGAGCTTCCGGGGGCAGAGTGAGAGGAGGCGGCTGGAGATGAACGCGTCGTTGACGCAGCGGCAGTCGAGGGCGATCAAGATGGAAAGGCTTTGCGAGTTGAAGAGCAGGTAGCTCGCGTTGGTGGTCCAGATCTCGGTGCGCGACACATCGATGCCAACTAGGTTGGGCAGCTTGTGCAAGACCTGCAGAGGAAAGGGGGTATTGAGGAAAAAGGGATGCGACAAGTCCTTAAGATAGCTGCCGCTTGGATTGAGATATGGGGCTGAGCTTCGGCTGCGGGAACTTCATAAGCATTCAGGGATTCCTTGCCATCTTGCCATTACCAAAACAGAATTGAAAAGAGCTGGCTTTGCAAAGCACAGAAAGCAGTACTAAGGACTGGATAGAAGTGGAAACTGATAAGAGGCAACGTGGTCCTACTGAGTGCACTAGCTACCACTTACAACATGCTCGTCTTCTGTGCTCGTTACAGAAAGTGGTTTTTAAGACCCAAATTGTACTTGGTAAGAGGGTAAGCGCACGTGAAGCCAAAGAAGGATATAATCCCTAGCCTCGTGATCTCAGCATAGAAAAGCGAAGGAGACAGAAATGGTCCAAGATGGAAGAATCTGCCCCTGCTACTCTGCGCTCGGCGCCTTGGGTAAAAGGGTCGAACGCGAAGACGTGAAACGGCACGTCACGAAAACGAAAACATACAACGAAAAACAAAAAAGCGGAAAAGATGAAGGAGTTGCCACGAGACGGAGAGTATCCGACTCACCTCGGCAGCGATGGCCCAGCTGGACACCTTGCAGCCCGCAAGTGACAGCAGCTGCAGCTGCGTGGCTGCGGCTAGCCCCCCTTCATCCACCATTTGGCAGTCCGTCAATGACAGCTCCGCCAGCTTTGGACAGCCCTCGAACAGCACCGTCAGCGCCTCCCTGTAGTAAGAAAGCGGCACGCTTCTGATATGCTTCGAATGTTTTCTTGTTCGTCGGACATCGTTTTTGGGGCTGTCGTCCTACTTTTCCTGTCTCATCCGTGAACCAAAGCTTGCTACAGGTCGTTTTGCAGCCGTGCTCGCCCTTCACGTTTCCGCTCTGTCTGCTCGTCGAAATCGATTGCAACGCGTGAAGCGTTCGAACGAAACCAATCAGCATGCACGCTTTTGTAGCTCCGGTTCTCCCCAAAGCTGCTTGACAGCCTCGAACGAAGTTAGCTTCATCCAACACGCAAGAACTCAAGCATCCAGCGTTTGGACAAGGATGTTCAGAGCCACAATCACCTCGGCTTTGCAAGGAATCTGCTACTCACTTGTCAACGCAGTCCTTGAAACCCCCCACGCGCAGACTCTCAAGCAGCGGGCACGCCAGCGCAATGACCTCGATTGACTCGTTGGTCAGAAACGCGGCCCCGTCTAAGTGCACGCTCGTCAGCCCCTCGTGGCGTCCGATTAGGACGCCCAATGCAGCGTCCATAAGATCGGCACAACTGTCCAAATGCAACTTCCGTAGCTTTCGGGCCTGCGGGTCAGAAATTCGGGTTAGCTTTCGTAGCTGCAGGTTAGGGATGTGAATTCCGAGCCTGTGGCTTGATATCTTCACGGTAGCTCCTGAAGAAACTCGTGGGACCACCCAAAGCCTGCGGTGACGACATCTTTCGATCTTGCAATATGAGGCAGCTGTTTCAAACTACAGCATGTGGACGAAATCATCCATTACGTCCGAGCCTGCAAGTAAACAGTCTGCTTTTCAGTTTCGGGTTGAAATTGCTGTCATTAAGATCTGGAACGCAACGGCTGTCCCAAATATCTTGCAAACCTGCTGCTGGATCTGAATGGTTCCTTTTGTGTCCCTCAGGTGCGACGGGTAGAATCGGGGGCAAGTGTCAGACTTTCTCAGTTGACAAGACTTGGGTATACCCTCTGTCTTTGCCATTCTTAGTTGGAGCGAAGTGCACACGCAAAAAAGGCCGCCGCCAACTCGTGGGAACGACCAAGAGTCGGGACACAAGAGTAGATGACAGGGGGCTACATACAGAGGAGATAACAGATTTAGTGGCCTTGGCCCAGACAGTAAGATAATCTGCAACTTCATTGGTCCTGACAATACTGGGCCCTATTACAAGTCCCCTACACATCAACACTTATGGTTGATGTGGGGCAGCCTACGGTTATCTTAAGGCAGCCTGCAGGGATTTCAAGAGTGCGCTGGTTGCTCAAAAGCAGCAACTGCTCTCAACTGGAAGGCTCAAACACAAGTAACGGAAAGAAGGGGCCAAAGAGCAGCGACAGACAGCCTGGGGCCTACCTTGAGGTGTATGCAAGAGAGGGCGGCCACTGCTCCGCGCGCCGTCAGCTCCTCCAAGTCGGTGCATCGGCTGCTGATGGTAGCGGCCACCTTGCGGTCCCAGCCAAGGCCCCATGTGTCGAGCGAACGCCATAGACCTGGGCGCAGAAAAAGCAGACCTCGTCTAAAAGCCCCGTCAAATGAGCAGACGCTAGAGATGGGGGCGGAGGATGTAGAATGTTGCTCAAGGCTTTCAACTGGTCACCAGGTTTGGGTCAAACATGGCAAAAGATTAGAGCTTATGGAGACATCAATGATGGATCCATTACAATCGATGGCAGAAATGTTAGAATTAAAATTGAAGGTGCGGTTCGACCAAGAAACGTTTGAAGTGCCTTCATGAAAAGGTGGTGCAGCAACATGTTATAATGTCAATACTGAAAAGTCTGCAGAGCTATTTTCAGTCGCTGACTGCCACCATATGGACGGAGTACAGTTGACCATTGTGAAGAGCTGATAAACCTCTTGACGCAATTGTGTGCGGCAACTTTTCAGGAAATGCTAGCTCCCTGCGGACTTAACACAGGCCCCAAAAAGGCAAGCGAAAGCAGAATGACTAGAGGCAAATGCTCTGAGATCCGTGCAATTGGGAAACTTTGCTAGTCCTTTCCCAAAAGCAATGCCAGCAACATGGAAAATCCTGTTTGGCAGCAGCTTCGCACACAACCGCAAAGAAGGAGTTTGCCACTCACGTGGCCGGTAGGCTATGTCCCGGAACAGCCTGCAGACACCCGCAACACGCGCCTTCTCCAGGGCTGTCAAGTGACTGAAGATCGCCTCAAAGATCTCATCTGGCAGCACAGAGACAGCATTCGGTTGCTCCACCCGCTTGCTAGCGTCCATGACCATCGCTAATGTACGAACCACCATGAACGCCTTTGTGTCTGGAAAAGCGTCCTTTTACGGTGACAACCTAGTTACACGCCCTCCTAGAATTGGCATCTGGTTGAGTGCCCCAGAATAAAGAGTGTGTGCGGTGGCCTAATTTCCAGAGACTAAGCCCAGCTGTAGTTTTACAGATTGCCTTTAGCCAGATTGTAACTAATGTTGAGCAGAGACGCGATAAAAACCAATGCCTGAGAGCCCCGCGCCTTCTATAAGCGAACGCAGCGCTGTTTGAGCTTGGCAAAGGTTTGCTTGCCAACCACCAAGGCTGCGGGCAAGAAAAACCAGGAAGTCTGGCTTAAAGAGGCGAAGACGCGCACGCCAACCCCTTCTCTCAATCAAAGACCTGAAACACCTGTGAAACTACGTCGGGCGCACCCTTGCTTAGCAAAATATCATCATGGAAGACCATGCGGCGCCACCACAATGGTGGCTAGCCAGGAAACGCACCTTCCCTGGCGCGAAATCAGCCCCAGGACCAGGTGCACATGGGTTAACTTTTCGGGTTTACTAAACCGCTAACGTCCAACAGACCCTGAGTAAACTGGATTTCAACTGGGTTTGCTCTCCCGGTTTGGACCTTAACCTCGACAGCTCATCATACTTCAGCAAGCCAGCTCAGCTCCGACTCCGACGCCGAGTCTCCGCTGCGACACTCGCACTGGCAGTGGCAGCCTTCGAGTCGGAGTCGCAGGTCTCACTGTCATACACTGGTCACACATGACGGAGCGCGATCCGGTCGGTGGTCCGGATCTTTGGCCGCGGATCACCGTCAAATAGTGGTCGCTCA